GACGTGTGCTCTTCCGATCTCATGCAATCAAACAAAACAAAAGTAGCATATAGATAGTAAGTTTTTAAAAAGTACAACTTTCGTTATTACTAAATACAAAATGATGTTATATTCTTTTATCGTTTACCAGTTATGTATTATAATTATAATAGTGACTGTTACAGATTCTTATGGTACACTATATACATATAAGTACAAAAAAGTTTATGATGTATGGAACATTATTCTATATTTAAGCAATATTGAGAGATCGATATATGTGAAATCAATATACAATATATGATTAATATGTATTTTATTTTAATAAACTTATAATTATATAGTTATATTCAATATATTTTGCAACAATACGACATTATGTTAAAAAATACATCTCTGTAATTTTTTAATTATTTTTCTATTTTTTATAGATGACTGCAAAATATTATAAAATTGATTTATGGTATAAAATGTAATTCACTGACAAAATAATGGTCTTGGTCGTCCATTACATCTACTTTTTATGGACTTTATGTAATCAAACAAAAAGAAACTAAATAGTCATATAAATAGTCGTACAATAGACATATAAATAGTCTTTAAAAAGCAATTTGTAAAATGTTCATAGATATAAAATATTAATTTAATGTTAAACATTAAAAATGTACAAAATTAAAATGTCTGTATTTTATATTGCATATTAAATTACGTTTCCATACAAATTACTTTCTTCCTTTTAATAATTCATTATTCCGTAATACCTCGTGTGCTTATATTATATTATCTCTCTGCATTGATAAAACTTACTTACCAATTATAGAGAGAGAAAAAAGAGATAATACCTGTTGAGTATTTTATTTATTCGCAAGATTATTTGTGCTACTTATTATGTGCTATTTGATCTATCCCGAACATAGAAATGTATACAAGAATCAATAGTCATTATTCAGTTCGTGGAAGCTGCTTATCTATTTTTCATTTACATTTTCCTTGCTTCTGCTTGGGATAACGTTAAAAAGAGGGAAGATAACGAGAAACAGTGTGAGTGGCTCGTGTACGGAAACTATTACATGCATTTCAATCGTAAACTACCTATTCGCTTTAGAGCGAATTGTTGGCATTATTGAATGCCTTCTTAGCAGCAGGTTAACTATCAAGATAACAATTTTATGAGTACTGACGCCATTGTTGTAAATGTCCAGTAGATACTGCAGTGTTGGAAATCAATATACAATAAGAAGCATTTTCCTAATCATGATTCACGCAATGCGCAAACAGAAAAATAGACTATAGAATATCCTTCTAATCTAACGTAATTTTAAAAAACGCAACTTAACAAATCAACTCAGGAAACTTAGTAAACTACATAAATCTTCATATCTTTTTTTAGCACACCTCTCACGTTCATCTAAAAACATTTTTAGTTTTATAGTCATGTGCATACGATGCACACCTTATTTTCGTATTTTTAAAAAATTATTTTTCTACATCTTATATTATATTTTCCCAATACGTTTCATATTTCTATTTCTATGTTTTCAATTCATCAACAGATCAATATTAAAAGTTTATTCCAGTTTACTCTTTAGCTTTTTGACAATAAAAAAACTATTTTCGAAAAGTGAATTGCTGTTATATTGAAGAAATTTCTCATCATCATATACATTTTTTTTTCATCTTCAAATATGTCATAATGTCAGATTTGAATGAGTTAAACCGTATATATACCGTTATAACATTGTAATTCCCGGGAGAAGTTAATTGAATTGCGCAATTTATTGTTTTTGAAACTCGTTCTTCACGGGCCGTAACTCCCACAAGATCTCCATTAAATAATCGTTTATATATTTATTATAGAGTGGAACGCGCACACAGGTCTCTCTATTTCCCGTACCCTGTTATCCGAACGCGCATTTACGATCCGTCTTCCACATTTCTTCTAGCAATAAAAGCATTCAGTATACCTCGCCAGCACTCCGACGAAGTATACCTCTCGCGAAATGTTACGGTCTACTACAGCAGCTCTTCGCCCGCGAGTAAATAGAAGCCGCAAAAGGTGTGCGATATTTGCACAGGCACTCGATGTTCTTTCTTTCGTACTGCCGAGCTTGCTCGTTACGTCTCAACGAACTGGCTTACTTTTTGCCCTAATTGAGATACTCGTCAGGGAAATTATTAAGCAGTGTGCTGCGCGTTTATCTAGCAAAAAAGAAAAAGAGAGAGAGAGAGAGAGAGAGAGAGAGAGAGAGAATGCATCCTCTGCATAATAATAATGTTCCAATAACGTACCATTATATTCTCAAAACCCTAACAATGTTTCGTGCAGCTAAAATCGAATTATTGCATACATTACTAATTAGATAATTTCTCAAGTAATTTCAACTAAGACGTTTTGTTATTCGACTAATATATATATCTAGATTTCATCAGACTGTTGTTGAAAATTAATTTGTGCATGTGTTTAAAATTACGTTCGTGTGTTCATGTTCCTAAGCACTTTTCGCGTTCTTTCAGCAAGCGCTGTTTCCTTCGGGGAGTACATGACTGATCGAGTACCAATTGAATATACCCGTCTTCAATTGCATTACCATTTTGCATCGCGCATCGCATTTGCCGCGCGGGCTACCAATACCGACTCGTCCGCTGACGTAAGATTATTTCATTACATTATGTATCACAATACTTATTTTATTACATACTGTATTTTTAATCTTAGCCGCATAATGCATATAATCACGAAGCCTATTACTCCGCGAGCGCGGGCGGGCGGGCGGACGGACGGATCGAGAGAGCATTCATCCCGCTCTTCGCGTCGCTCCGCACTCTCGCCGTCGCATTTTAACGATATCGTAATTTGGAGACCGCAAACCCCCTGACGTCACCGGTGCATCGGAGCATCTTGCCGGCGTGCAATCCTCCCACCCTCCCCGTGGACCGATAATCTCGGTCAAAAGGATATTAGCGACCGACGAATTATAGGAATTTCGGCAAATTAGATATTGAGCGAATTGAAGGATTGCGTTACTATAATTCCGTCCGGAGGACGCGCCGCGCCGCGCCGGTGCGCCGATTGTTACGCCAAGATTTATTCAATCGCTGTCACGCGGCGCAGAATCTCTTGTCTCGGAAGGGACGATCGCGCGCATCTTTGCAGACACAAAATGTAAAATCCATCACACGTGATACGCGAGAGAAACGCAAATATTATCGGCGAAAAGATTGAAGTTTCCGAACGAAACATCTCTGACGCTTCGACGAGAGATTTCGCCTCGCGAAAACGCGCACGGGGTGCGTACCCTTTGTTCTGTTAAGAGAAACGCTCGTTTTCGTGTTTACGACGGGAGCGTAAGGAATCGTTCGCGCGTTTAAGTCGTCGTTACGAATAGTCGCGCCCTGCCCTTTCCTTGTCCGATCTCACGGGCGCGGCGTGGCGCGGCGCCGGCGATCCAGCCGTCGCGGCTACACACGCGCGGCCTTCTATTTTGCTCCATGCCAATCTTAATATTATCCTTCGAATTATGGGGGCTAATGTTATCCACGATACGCGCGTTCCCACTACACACGTACGAACCATCGAGCTCTAATGATCGAGCACGAAATTCGGAGCGGTCTCCTCTCCAGCCGGACGTCTCGGACTGGTATTAGGATACCATCTGGATTATTTCGCAACTTTTGGCAAACGGAGGACGTGATTATATTCGTCATTTTCATTATACTTAAGCAACGGGCGTCTCATTCCTTTTTTTTTTATTACCCTGTTTATTACACTTACACGTGTCCGAAATAAATAAAGCGCCGCGATCTTTTTCCGCGGTGTGCGAGAAAGTCACGCCGACGCAAAACGTCTCTCCCGCTTCTTTCCATCGGGCCAATGGCACGTAATTATTATTCGCCTAAGTTCACGTAAGTTTCGCATTGAACATGCTACATGCAGGATATTTCGCAACGTCACGGACGGGTGACTCTGCCATCCGTCGCGAACACGAGACATTGTCACGAGATCTCGCCCGTCGTAAATCTTCGGCGGGTATATCGACGCGGTGGAGTGACGCGAATGATATTCGCCCGTCGTGCTAGAATGCATTCATATATCGCGGCACGTATCGTGTCGCTCGTAGCCTGTCCTGGCAGGAAGCGGCTGGCTATACATGGTATAACTTGTAGCCGTGTCGTGATAGCGACACTTCATAAACATGGACTGGCGTCATGTCGCGGTGGTACCGACGCGAAGCACTTTACATCGTCGATCGTTATCCGTCCGCGCCGATGGACATCGACATTGAACGCCCGTTGCGTTTATGACCCGTCTGATGTAAAAAGAGACCGAGAACTACGACTCTTCTGAAGAATTTAGCGAAAAATCTTTCTCTCTAAAAGTATCTGAACGTATGTTTAATTTGCATATCTGCATATTTGCATAGAAAATACTATTATTTGATTGATAAAAGCAGCAGATTATTACTGATCTTGATTATTTCACATACACATATCTAATTGTAAAATAATCTAATCATAATTAAATATTATTTATAATGTATAAGTTCATTATTGTATCATAATTAAAGTGTAAGTTGTAAATTCCTCATTATTTAATTGAGTAATGTAATGAAGATTTAGAAAAGCATTTGTATCAATCCGCATCACTTTGACAAATGTGAGAATATAATATTACTAAACATTATATATTATCAATAAATTCATCAGTGAGTTCAATTCGAAAAAAACAAACTAATTAACGTAACTGTATTGGCGATTCTGCAATTCATATACAAGACTGTTCCAATTCAAATACATATTTTACTATCTTTACTAACATTGTATGTACAACGCAAATATTATTACGTATTAGCAAATCAATAGAATGATGTAATTTAAATTTCATTTGTTTAAAAAAAAGCAGAGAACGCAATCGGCAGCAAATAAATCAACCAATTCATGTTTTCAGTTTCAATTAAATAGTTCAAAGAGGATATCTTCATTGCATAATTTGTTACATGGTTTATCATCGATTTTTTTTTAAATTTATCTTGTCGAAACTGTAGTTTCTCAATTAACGTCACAATAATATGACAACGCTGAATAATCAGCGTAAATATAATTTAATTGTAAGATAAATTATCACTCACCAATTTCGCCAACGTTGATAATTCATGATTCACACTGCCCAGAATGATTTTACTCCAGGAGGGATTCTGCTGAAAATACGAAGTGATTTGTGATAAAGGCGATAACTTTACAGTTCACGTAGAAACGATTAAAATTCGATCACTTGTTATGAATATCTGAATATTGCGTAACGGCAATAGATATTCATGAAAAGTGTAAATATATTAAAATGACATACATTTTAATATATTCGCATCGACATTACACAAAACTTCTGTATGTAACTGTTAAGGTACCTTTTCATGCTGACGCTCGACGCACATTTTTGGAGTCAGAACAGATAACGTGATCAAAATTGGAGCTATTCGTCAATTTTGATTATGTGACGCTGTTTTGACGCTAAACACGAGCGTCGAGGGTCAGCCATGAAATCGTACCTTTAGACGTAGCTCACATTCTCGCGAAAGAGAACAAAAAAATGCGATTGTTGCAATAAACCAATCGATTTCAATTGGCGATTGAAGCTATATAAGCAATTTAATCGGGAATCTTCATTGTGTATTTCTCATATATACGTAATTCGATTGAGCATCGTCGATTTTTCTAAGAATTGACTCTACCGAAATTGCATTTTCTCGATTGGAGATCTATCTGCCTCAGTATAATAACGTTGAATAATCATATACAGCATAAATCATGTGTAATAAATGAATTCACTCACCAATTCCGTCAATGTTCATTCATGATTTACATCTTATATACGGAGCACGATCTTATGCCAGAGGAAATCCTGCGAAAGATACGGAGTAATTTGAGATAATGGCGGTGATAACCTCTCGCAGTTCACGCACGGAGCTACAATTCGATGGCGTATAAATGTCTATCGCGTACACGTAATTTCAACACATTCGCATCGACGACACGCGAACTCTTATACCGAATATGCTCCTATAATCTATCAATTGATATAAATTCGACTCGCGAAGAAGGGGAAACAATAACGAACGACGAGGTAAACGGACCTCAACTGTAATTGCCGTATTTGCAACTGAATAACCGGTAAACACCGCATCGCGTACCTTTCTCAATTGCTCGATCGATCAATTTTTTTGCTAATCGCTGCAAATCGCCAAGTATCCGCGATTGGCGCATTCGAATTAATAATCGTAACTGTTAACAATATATTTACAATAATCAATTACCTAAGGTATCATTTCTTGCGCCTAATAAAAGACGCTGCAGTTGCGCCGAGCATTAAAGTGGAAGGGAATAATCTCAAGGCAGTCGAGGCATGTTGACGCGCGGACACTCGGACAGGAATCGGGAGACTCTCCCTGCTGCTGCCCCTGCTCGCTCCCTGTGAAACTGCATCATCGGCGGAGTGCCGCGCGCGCGCGCGCGCGCCGATGGTATTTTGCGGCGCGCGGTTTCAGCGGGTAAGTGGAAACCCTGCAATCCGCGGGTCGGTCGCCGCGCCGGTCGGGAATCCGTGACGTCGTCGTCTACGTGCCGTGCCGCTCTCGTGTTATTCGACGCATCTCGTGTCCCGGCGATATACATATTTTTCGTACTGGCGATCGCGTAACGCAGGACGATACGGCGAGGTATCCTTTGCGACGCGAGCACGCCTGTGGAACGAGTGCGGAGCGCGCTGTTTTCGCGGGCTCGACTCGACGAGAAATGTATATTAACGCGCGAGAAAGAGAGAGAGAGGGAGATGTCTGCGGAGACGTCGTATCGCCAGGTGTGACGAGCCTACGCAGGTGTCGAGCTCCCGTCGCGGCTCTCTGCTCCGGTGCTCCGCGAAGGACGCGGACGTGGTGCGCTCGTAAGTCGTAAGAAATTCATTCGCGGGGATGTGAGGATCCGTGCGACGTGCGATCGTTCCGGTAGCGAGGTAAGGTTAAGTTTTTACAGTGCGGTGCGGTCAGTCGCTTCTCCCACCGGCCGCCGCGCGGCAGCACTGCTTAATGGCGTCGCCGCCGGCTGCGTAGCAACTCGACGCGCCCGCGCCGCGGCAGAAGTTCACGTAAAACGCGAAAATTCAACGGCTGTAAGTACCGGTTAATTAATATTCGGATTTTGGGATAATTAACTTACCGAACTGTCCGATTTGCTCACGTATGGGCATCCGAAACTTGTGAATTTGTTAAAAGACTCAGTCTATCAAACTATCCGAGGTATCGGAATTAATCTAACAAAATGGCTGTCAGAATTAAATTAAATTAATTTTTGAAAATGATTGCTAATTGTTAAACACTAGAATTTATTTTCTTATTTCCTTCGCTACAGAAAATTTCATTACAGCCAAAAAGAAGCGATCTATTTTTGGAGCGTGTAAAACATTTGAATTTTCTTTTCTTTTATAACATCGAAAAACGTTTAATGAAATTTTTATTATTTTTAGATTTTTAATATATATAATTTTTTTTCTATTTTCATCGTGCGACTCTACAAAGTCCACAAATTGTAAAGCGTCTTTTTATATGTGTATAATGGACACACGAAAAAGTCATACAATTTCAATAAATTTTGCCGTATTATGTTTTGCGATTAGCCTTTTACGCAAACATATTAACATTCAGTAGATATTGTTTTATAATTTTACAGGACTTAGAGCGATGAATATTATTATTTTTATAATGTGCAGCGATTCTCTCTCGAAGTCGGCGCAATTTGTAGCTTCTTGCATTAAGATAGTCGATAATGACTTTTCATATCATTATCAATGCAGGCTCGCCGAGGGGTCTATCCTCGGTAAGGCATTTTGCGGATTTTTCGCGATTAACAGCGTGGCCTCGAGGCCACAGGTTCAATCTCGATCAGAGGCGGCGTGGCGCGTCCCCCGGGATCGCCCATTAACCGTGCGTCTAGCGATCCGCAAAAGCGAGACGACGTCGTAAAAGGGGTGGGACGGTCACGCCGCGGCGCCAAGGCAGCTCTGGGGCAGCTCTTCTCGGGCTCTCTCCGGCTCTCGAGTAGCGTCGCGGGCGGAACGCTTCTTCGGAGAGATGCTCCTCCATTATCGTAATTTGCAAATTTCCCCGGGACCGCGATGAAAAACGACGATGAGGCGCCGTGGTTTCGCGTTGAAACGCGCGAGTGCGGCGCGGAGGGAGGAGAGGAAGCCAGACCGCTATAGGGGTGGAAAGAGAGGAAGATGGCGCGGCGGGGAGGAGGGGAGAGAGAGAGAGAGGAGGAACAGGAACCGCGAAGACGGTGGCGGATTGGCGGCCTCGGGCGCGGTTGCGGATTCTCGGCGTGATGCCGGTGATTCGCGGCTTTGGTGCCCAGTAATCCCGGGTCTCTCTCCTCCTCCCCCTCTGCCCCACACCCGGCCATATTCCTCCTCCCGCGCAACCCTCCCCCGTTCTTTGATACAGCGCGGCGGCCCAGGTCGTATGCCGGCGGTACGAGGGGCGAGGGGTGGGGGAGGGGGGCTCAATCTCGCGGTAAATACAGCAATCGCTCGCGATGTGCCGTCCGCATTAATATAATTAGTCACCGCGAGCGAGCGTTCCGATGCCGGGGAACGGATTCCGTATACCTCTTGCGCTCCGGGCGGCGCACGCATGCACGCACGCACGCACGCACGCCACGAAATATCGCAGCCGCGCTTAAGTATTTCGGGGGATGCGAGTATCGACGACGACGCACACCCTCGGGCGCCGTACGTCTGCGGCGCGACGGACAAAGTTCGCTGTCTCGTCGGCCGTTAGCCGATTTTATGCTCCGCACCACGTCTCGCGCGCGCACCGAGCGCTCGTTCCACACTCGTTCCACAGAAGACATCGGCGAAATGACGAAAATTTGGGAAAAACCCCGCGACGTATTAATGCAACGTTTTGTGTATGTCCAAAGCATGGCTCCAAAAAAGCCCGAGGAACCCGAGCGGAAGCCGCTCATCGGTCGCGTTGGTACTAATTTAAAAATGGGCATAGTCGGGATACCAAACGTAGGGAAGTCGACTTTCTTCAACGTCATCACCAAGAGCCAGGCAGCGGCCGAGAATTTCCCCTTCTGCACCATCGATCCCAATGAAAATAAGTATCTTGACTATATTCATGTGAATCTTGAGTGACGTTATTAGAATTTAAGCCACGAATATCCTCTCGAAAATCCTTCTTTCCTGACTCTAACATTATTATATTATTAAAATATGCTTTTTTTAAATTGTCCGTCGCTAATTATTTTTTATCTTATTAATAATCGATCTCTACTCATTTAAAATGGCACTATCTTATTTATCATATATAGCGAAATAATAATTTAGACAGCGCATGTATAAATCGTTTCGTAAATACGTAAATCATTTCGACTTCGCTTGTTTAACCTTTCATACGTACACAACCACGTGACAAAATATTGAAATTAAAATCGTCGATGTAAATTATCCAAAAATGTGCGACGAGCGTCTAGAAAAAATGCCGAGACGGGATCATGCCGAGGAAGTTTTTGTTGACGAATCGTTTATCACGAAAAAGAGCTTTCTACAATTAATCGGAGATTCCCGTGGTGTGCAAAAGATTTCTGCACACGTACCCTCCACAGTCGTGTACCCGAAGGCTAATTTATATTACGCTTTTGCCGAGGATGTACATCCGATGGAAAGGATTGTCACCGTTTCGAAGCTTCTTGAAAAGGAAAAGCTCTCACCGCAAGCAATGTCTCGCAAAGAACACTTTACGAATCAGGATCCTTATTTGAGAGACGAAGACGCTGTTGAACATTATCTTAGAACTGACCCAGTGAATTTTGTTATTTTTGGAAAACCTGGATTAGATCACGCCAGCGTAGCGTCGGCGGTAGCCGGCGCTTGGAACTGCGTTTCAATTTCCCCCACGTCGTTGATTCGGCGAGAGATCGATGCAGGCACCGATAAAGGTCGATACTTGGAAAAAATTTTACGGCTCGGTAGATCAGTAGGACCGGAAATCCTTACGAATTTGATACGCTGTAGAATCGGGACGCGGGACGTCAAACACCGAGGCTACGTCATTGGGTGTTTGCCGTTTATTTCTAGCGACGGGAGCCTCGATTATACATCATATTCCAGCCCCGTCCTGGATGCAGACGGCACTTATCCGGAATTCTGCGAGAACGCGGCGGTTGAGTCTCGCGAGGCGCACGAAGGTCGGATCACCTTCGATAATTCAGATTGTAGGACGCAGTTTGATTACGAGCGAGAAATCCCTCGACAGATCGACGAAATATTCACCGTGTGGCCGAGAAAACCCGTGGTTATTATTTATCTCGTGTGCCCGAGGCAGGATGTCGCGAGTAGGTGTTCGCGCCGGCGCATGGATTATCCAACGGGCGATATTTTTTATGACAATGAATTTGCGTCCGAATCCGAATACGACGAATCGGACACCACGCTTGACTTCTCCCAAGTTGCGAACGGAGGACTGGCCGCGGATGACGATAAGAGGTCGGTGAGACTAATATCCGACGTGACGCGCAATGTTGAGACGCAATGTGACCTTTACGAACGATTGGCGTTACCCGTAATCGATAAATGGATCCTCGCGCATAATCCTCAGTATGTAATTCGCGTGGACGGTCGCAGCTCCGTGCGACGAATACTCGAAATTCTCGAAACGCGTTTACGTACCTTGGCATTACTGCCGTCGATCCTTCCGAAAGGAATGATCGAACGGAATAACGCATCACGTCTTCTAGAAGTATCTTCCGAAGTTAGCGATGAGTTCATGAAAAAATCTGTTGAAGAGGCTTTCGAGATTCTGAGACAGCGAGAAGTTGCGTCGCTCGAATTTCCCTGGAGACTTTCCGCGTGGAAGTTTTACTGCCCCGTCGAGCTGGCTCAAGGACGAACCGTTAAGGGACTCGCGAAGCACGCGGTGCGATTCTTGGATAAAATCTTCTTCCTCTCTTCTCGAGAAGCCGAAAACTTATTCATCGAAAACCCGAGAACTTTTTTATTACCGCCGAATCCGCGGCCGACCTGCAAGATAGCGGTGTTCGGGCCGAAATACGCTGGTAAATCGAAACTAAGCGCAAAACTGGCCGAAGTTTTCGGCGGAACGGTCATAAATATTGATGAGATTTTTAAAGAATTAGTTGAACAACAAAGTGAAAAGTACGTGTTTCAAGAATACGAGAACGATTTGAATATAGAGAAAGTTTCGCTGAAGCCTATTGATATATCGGTTGAGGAAAAAGTTGATATTATTATACAGAACATTAGGCAGATACCCGACGAAAAGTTGGAAGATGAGCTTCGAAGAGACGGTGGGTATGTCCTCGATGGAATGTGCACGGACGTCGAGGTCTGGCGAAAAATTGTTGACGCTAACGTTGCATTCGAGGACGTTGTCGTTTTATTCGAAGAAGAGCCGTACGCCTACTTGCTGAATAAATTTCGCACTTTCTTTCATCTCGTCGATTCTACATCTGTGATCCGTATTGATACGGAGGCGGATCGTGAGGAACGCGAAATGTTGCATGAAGATGCTGAATGGGAGTACCTTGAACATTTAACGCGATTCGAATCGGAATGGACGAGATTCGAGGAACAAATTCCTGAATTCCGAGGAAATGTGATAAAATGTAACCTCGCGGATATCGAAGATATAACGGAATATGTGATAAATTACATCAGAGGTCGTTTCGATGTCGTAACTACCGCTGCGAAGACCGAAGAAAAAAATAAAATAGATGAAATACTGAAAGAGACAGCAGTCGTGGAGAACGAAGCAAATTTAGCTGATAAAGATGCTGAAGAAGAAAAGAAGGAAGAAAATCTTACATACACCATCGATCTTGCCGCAGCCGAACGACTACTCGACTGTGGCTATTATTTCTTCAGTTCCTTCGGTCGGTGGTGTCCCGTGCAAGTATATACCAACGAGATACCGATTTCAATGTTTCTACCGATGAAAGCTCGCGATCAGATTTTTCCCGTCGTACACCGTCCGTATATTTATTTCCTTGCGGGCGAAAAAGCGCTCTCCGCGTTTCTGAATAATCCCGCGAAGTACCTCGCGCAGGATCTCCGTCCGCCGCCGCTTCTTCCGCTTCGAATCTCCATCGTCGGACCGCCGAAATGCGGAAAAACAACATTGGCGAATCGCTTCGCGAAAACGTACGGCATGCAGATGATTACTCGCGGCAAGGCGTTGCGTCATATATTGAAACACTATCCGTGGACCGAGTCGGCGCGCATAATCGAGAATCAGCTCCGAGCCGGTCAGGCCGCTTCGATCGAATCTGTGGCACGTGCCGTCGAAATGCTCGCTATAGGACCGCGCGCGGCAACTCAGGGTTACATTCTGGACGATTGTCCGTCGAGTCGCAAGGAAGCCGAGCAACTAGCCGTTTTAGGTATACAGCCAATGCTCGTGCTCGATCTCAAGGCGGAACTGGAGTTCTGTCTCGAATGCCTCTCCTGGGATAACGACGACGCGAGAAGTCCGTTGAATTTCTCCGCCGGTTTCCTGTCGCGGCGTTACGAGGTCTGGCAAACGGGCCAGGCGAGTTTTCGAGACTGGCTAAAGAGATTCTCGCGGAATGTAGTCGAATTGGATGCTGCCAAGAGTAAGTGGCACGTGTGGACTCGCGCAGATCACGCGGCACGCTCACGATTTGCCGACGTCGCTCTCTACTTTCGCGAGGCGAACTTGGACAAGGTTCACAGTCTAAGGCACATGTGCGTGTCGCCCTACGAATTTCGATTGCGACAGAGTCGATACGAGTCGTACTGTCCAGTTTGCCTGTCCCGCGAGAACATCCTGAAGACCTCCGACCAATCGATAACTGATCAAGGAATGGTTCAGTTCAGAGAACACTTTTATTGGATTTGTCCGCCACATATGGACGCCTTCGTTGAGGATCCGCTGCATTATCTTTCACCTGCTACTGCGTCTCTTCTCGACGAGCGACCGCGGCTGTTGCGGGAGACGGTCGACGTGGAGCACGCTTGTTGGGCGCGGCGTCTCCAAGTCGGCGGCATGTGTCTTGTAACTTACGTCGACGGCCTGCCGGGCCGTAAGCTGACGCCGGGCAGAGTCGATTTGGGCGTTATCCTCAGGGATAAAGTGTACCTCTTCTGCAGCGAGGAGTGTCGCGAAAAGTTTCTCGCGCGGCACGACAAATACTCCGAAATGGACATCGCATTCCCCCGCGAACTCCCGCCGATCGAAGTGCGACGTCTGCCGGATCTGGGTTACCTGGAGCAAACGGTGGCGAGAACGCTGGTCGAGGCCACGAATCTGGTCGGCGCTCGTCGCCCGAAGATATTCGGCTTGTCGGCGGCGATCAGCGCCGCGATTTACATCGGCGTTTACTTGAAAACGCGAAACGTGACCGGAGACTCGACCGAGGTGGATATCTACGAGACCGCGCGCAAGCGAATCGCGGAGCGAAGCAGACTTATAAAAATCGTTACCGACACCATGAAGAAGAAGCTGAATCCCTATGTATCCGTGCCAAAATATTCCCGTTAAATTTTATTTCGTTGTACGTGATCGTCCGTGCATGAACACATTTAGTTTAAGCTGTGAATATCTGTATATCTTCTACGAAATATCGTTAATCGCTTTAATCGTCGAGAGAATTCAAGCTATCCGATTTTTCTTTTCCAGCACGTCGCGTCCCGGTGCCCGACACGAGATTCGACTACCTCTGCGAATACTTTAAACCGGCTAGGTAAGAAACAGCGACGGATGTTCCTATAAAGTACATCGAACGTGGCGCAGGGTAAATGTGTATAACAGAACGGTAGCATATAGTGCCCCCGCGCGTAAAGATGCACCCTCGTGAAGGGAAACGAGTCGGAATAACCGGGGACATTTCCATACTTCTTCGCTTTTATTCCCGGAGCAAGACGAGGGGGCGGGTAAGGGGATGGAAGGGAGGCGAGGGGGCGATCTGCAATGCAGATTGGTCTAAATTCGTCTACGAAACGCGAAGTCCCCGTTTCACCGACGTTACACGTTTTCTTTATTCGTCCCGGCACGTGATGCAGCATTCTTAATGCGATAAAGCATCGGCGGATAGATTTTTTTTTCGGATGAAACAATCGGCAAATAACACGATGAGCACCCGCTTAGATGACGGCACCTTGAAAATCATATGGAGTATCGATCGGGAAAACCGGCGGGAATCGAGAATTTTTTCGATCGTTTCGCGAGCGCGCTCGATGTGTCATCATGCGATTCTTGTTATTCGTCAGCGTGAGAGTCGGACGGTTAATAAAATTCCACTCTCTCTCTCTCTCCTCCGATCGGCTTCACACGCCGATCACCTAAATGTAAAAGCGCGCGCTTGTCTTGCGCTAGATTCGAGCGGGAATCGAAGCATTGAAAATGCGAAACAGCGTCGGGATCAAAGAGCGGCCGATTCATCGGTGCCCTCTCTCGCCCGCCCTATTATCTCGTCGCGCTCTCGTCGCCTATGTGTCCGGGACCGACCCCCCCGACTACCGGCACGTGTCGGATGATTCGACGATCCGTGATGAAAGCCAGCTAATACACCACCCCACGTCCTCCCCCTGCGCGTCTGTCTCACCGTTTCGTCAGTTCGTCCACTTTCACCAACGCCTCCCTTCAAAGGCTAATTGTTTAATGAGCCCGTTGGCATTAGCATTTAAATACACCTCGTTGTCACTGTCGTCCTTCCTCTTCCCCTCCCCTCCCCTCCCCTCTCCGGGTTTCCATTCTGCGCGCGTGCATCACGCGGCACATGCCTTCGACCTTTAATTCGCGATCATCAATGACCTCCGTTCGAAATCAGCGAGCGTATACGCGCCGCGAAAAGCGCGGCCTGCGCCATCGAATATATCGTCCCGTGTGTAATAGCAAATTATACACTTGTTCCGATTTCTCTATCTTTGACGAGCTTATATTTTTTACATGGTCTAACTATAATGTCGTCCGACATTTATATTTCTGCCTGATAATTGTAATTCAGAGATTCGGATTTTCAGTAAAGTTCCGGCCTTCCTGCACGTAATGGACATCGCTGGACTGGTGAAGGGCGCCTCCGAGGGACAAGGCTTAGGAAACAGCTTTCTCTCGCACATCGGAGCTTGCGACGGCATCTTTCATCTTTGTCGTAAGTACGCTACTATTCGATACATCGCCGTTTTATTCGTTTACACTTGTCCAATGTTCACTTGATTTGTTAAATATCGTTTCAATCGTTTTGCGCTCACGTGCGCGGTGCGTCCACGCGAAAAAAATAAATTAATCGCAGATAGGGCCGCATTTTCACGGAACCGTATCGGAACGTGGAATCGTGACAAGAGCGATTACGGCGAAAGAAGGAAAATTTTGTCGATGAAATCGAAAGATCGATCTCGAGTGATATTTACTCACTTTGCGCCCGTTGACTGTGCAATCGCGGATGCAAACTTATTTTTACGACATCCACGTGTACTTCACTGACATTACGAGCACGTGTTTATGGCCTGACTATTTTCTCGGAAATACATTATATTATTGTCCGCCACAATAATACAGATCGATCGACCTGCGCATATCTCGTTGCGAATATGTCCGTGTCTATCACTTATATAAAAAACAAATAAAAGAAGAAAATACCGTGACGTGTATAACTTTGATGGATCTTAATTTTTATGAAACATACTTATGTTCTACTAGCGTATCTTTCACGCGAATTTTGATCCTAAAATTTCTGGGAGAACAATTTAAAACTGAGAAGAATTTAATTGGTTAGCAAATTTCTGCGTAACACATAATTTTTAATACTTATCCATGTACATGAAGAAAATATTGCATTACAGTATTTATTATAATATCATAATGATTAATGATTGACAAATCAATTATATGTGCATTTCGCGCGATTAATCACATTAATAAAATTACAATGTACAACGTTGCGAGAAGTTATATGGATATTTTATACTGTGTTATATAAAAACTAAAATATATAAAATGACACAATTAGTCAATTTTTTGTCTAAAAAATTAATATCACAACTTTTATTACGTGGTAAAACGTACAGATATAAAATCGATTACACTCAGCTTGTATAAAATTTCTTTCTCTCTTTGATGAAATTTAATCACTTTAAATTGTACATTACAATATTTGAACAATTCTCTTATAAAATATATATTAAAGAAACGCATATATCTTTGAATAAAAATGTCATAATTTCCGTTATAATTTCAGGACATAACAGAAACTTAATTAAAATCCCTGTTAGAATATTTTCTCCGCGTTGAATGTAAATGTTGTCAAGTGAAAAAAATAAATTTGTCCTGCTGTATTTGCGAAGAGACATGTAATTGTCAACAAAATTAGCATGGCACGTGGTATATATTTCTCATATCCACAAGAGCCACAAGATCGTAATCTATGCACTTTACATCGCTATAATGTAACACGTAATAATTCGCTAAACGGCTGCTGATTCGTCTGAAAGAACGATCGTTAGGTATATATTATATTCGTACTGAAAATAACATTTCGAGGTAGTTCTGCCGGTTAATACGCGTTGGCAGGCCGCTGACAGGTGGTAATTTTTTCAATTAAACCAACCCGGCAATCTTCGCGTGGCGGTGGCGGCGGCGGCGGCCCGCTTAAAACAGTCAACATGCGAGCCACGCGTTGAGGCGAGCATTACTTACGAGCATCGGTGTGCAGCCCCAGCTTCGAGAGATTACGCTCCCTTCGCTCGAACGCGAGAAATCTGTTTACTTGTGCTTTATTAGGTGCCTTCGAGGACGACGATGTCACCCACGTGGAGGGCGACGTTAATCCCGTAAGGGACCTCGATATTATCAGCGAGGAGTTACGGCTGAAGGACGTGGAGTTCTTGAACGTGCACCTCGAGAAGCTCGAGAAACTTGTGATACGCGGTAACGACAAGAAGCTGAAGCCTGAATACGTGAGTACCCGATCGTGTCACATTTCAGTAGAATAGGTACTTTAATGGAGGAAACACACAAAATACACATTTCGTCCGCGTGAAAATATCATCTTCGGAAGAGCGACGGAAATTCTGAGAAAGTTCTGATTCTAAAAATGCCTCTATTCGTCATTATTCCAGAGTTTTTTTTTATCGGCATATTTAGGAAGCTTATCTTTTATTCCGTGTACTATAACTGCAATGTAATTATATATCTATGTACACACAGTGGCATACATTATCCTAAGCTATCACGATAATTTTGTAGGAAAACGAAGACATTTCGAAAATTGCCGTTCCCGACAAAGATAACGCCCAACCGACCTAATTCCGTCGATGCATAAACAGGTGCTTACGTTACTTCCTGCAAACACGATATCGCATCGACAGCGCGCAAATCACGCGATTCGCATTCGATTCACTCGACGGTTCATCTTTCTTTCAACTTTATTAATTCTATCAAAAGGATCTCGCATAATTTTTATTAAAAATGAATTTTTTGGCGAAATTGGCTGTAACTTCGCTATTTTATAGTTTATATAAGGTGAAAAAAAAATGAAATCGCATTTGTACATGTACGGAATCAGGAGATCATCGTTGATGTTGCAGACGCGTATTTTGACAAAATTTTTCTGAAAAAAAAGATTATTATGTCAAATCATTTTCACTGAGCTGCTTTTCGTCACGAAACTTGAAGAATTTCCTTGCGTCTCCTTTCAGTCCTCCTCTTACTCGATGTTCATACGCGGCACATGAAACGTCTACCGAGTACACGCAGTTGCAGCCCCCTTTGTCAGGCCAACTACGAAATTACCGGGGAAATTAAGAGAACGCGGGCGAAACGGGGCTTCCTGGAACGAGTCGATCGTCGGATTACCCTCCTTCCGCGGATTGACCCACGGCAATTACCGATCTCCCCCTCGTTCTCGACTTTGCAATTTGGCAAAAGTTTTCGAGAATTTGAAGCTACCTTTTCGTCCTTTCTCTTTCTCTCTCTCTCTCTCTCTTAACGGAGCTAATGGGACCGCGCTCGACTAGTCCAGCACGATCCTCTAATCACGATTCGATCGCGAAATTATCCTACTCGATGGCCCGCGTTCGTGCATCCGAATGTCTGAGTCGAGGATCGTCGAATGTCGAAGTCGTTACGTTTGATTGTTGGAGAACTAAGGCCGTTACGCAACAGGAGCGAATCTCGGGATTAAGCAAGGAATTTTTCATTTTATAGGATACGCTTTTGAAGGTAAAGGGCGTCCTGACGGACGAGAAGAAACACATCAGGTTCGCCGATTGGAGTGCCAATGATGTGAGTGTTTAAACATTTTGCGTGTGCGTTTTATCGTGTGAATTATTAAAGGAGAGTCGACCTGCTTCGATTTTACATTACGCTCCATGAACTTTTAGATCGAAGTATTGAACAAATATCTGTTCCTTACGTCAAAACCGATCATCTACTTGGTGAACCTGTCGGAAAAGGATTATATACGCAAGAAGAACAAATGGTGAGCGGTTTAGAGAACGGCCGAGCAAGTACACTTGTCGTAATCACTCCTCAGTTATGTTTCTCGCAATTCTCTGTAACAGGTTAATCAAGATAAAAGAATGGGTCGACAAGAACGATCCGGGCGCGGTGTTAATCCCTTTCAGCGGCGTCTTCGAAAACAAGATTTTCGATATGGACGAGGCGGAGCGCGCAAAATACTTCGAGGAACACAAAGTCACCAGGTTGGTATTCTCCTCGGCTTCCACACCGGCCGGTTATAACGATTATTATTACTTTTACCCTCTCTAAATGTTGCTGTGTCGCGCCCGCAAATAAGGGGGTACGGGGGTCGTCGTTTACCGCTGCCTTTAAAACTTAGAGAAATTCGGTAGTGTGGCTCTCGCATGTATATACCGTCGCCGCTCGTTGCCGCTCCGGCGACGAAGCGCCGCAAGATTGCAGGGGAAAAAGAAGGTCGGGCGTTCGTAAAATCGCGCGGCGGGCGCGTCTCCCTCCGGAGACCGAGTTCGGGGAGTTCCCACATTTAGCTATGCACCGAGTTATTCTCTAACGGTAATAATAATGGTGTGCCACGGTCGGGCGTCTAGACCCCTGTCCCACTCTCTCCACCACGTGAGACGGCTAATAAAAACCGTGGCCGGCACGGCCGCGGCGCATTATATTTTTACGAACGGCTATTCAAATTCTTGCAAAATTGCATAAAAACCCTCTCCCGCCCCCGCGGGCACGGCGGTATAATCGAGGGGGGGTGGGTGGAGCGAGAAGTAATCGGCGATGGTTCGGCAATTCAATTGGTTACCGGGTCATTCGTACCCCAGGGCGGTGCGTGCGTTACACGTACAGACTTGCATCACGATCTCTCCTTTTTTTTTTACTTATATGAATTTTAATCGAGCTGTACGATACAGTTGCAATTACTCGATTAGAGCATTGAACAAACGTCGAATTAAATCCGCGATACACTAGAAAGTACTTTAATAAGCGGGAGAGAAATGCGGATGTTGGGAAATATAGAAGAAATAACGGTGAGCGAGGAATATACGTTTGTTTTTTTTTTTCATTTCCTGCGACATTTATTATATAATATTTCCCAGGCTTTCGCGGCAAGTGAAGAAGTGGCAGAGAGTTCGCGAATATACCTTCGAGTTTGCCTAATGATCGGGGAATACAAACGAAAGGACGGAAGATACCGTGATTTTATTTCGAGACCGCAGATAACTGAGGGCGCCGGGGAAATAGGTCCCCGGCCAGAGTCGGAATGATAAAATTGCGGTATTAAGTCGTTCGGCTTTATGTGTATTCTCTGAACTCTCGGACTTTCGTCGGGGGCCCACCGCGCGTTGGACCGCTCCACTTGCGCTAACCCGTTATTAGACGATATTTGGCCCGAGACAATCTTATTCCACGACTCGAGACACTTCCCGAGACCGCGGACGCGCCTTATATTTTTTCGTGATTCGCGGAAAGTGAGAAACAGTACATCTCGTCGTGCCCGGCAGACACCTATCCCGGTCTCAGTTAAGGGAACACATTTATTTATTGTACGTTTCTTCTCTCTGCACAGTGCACTTGACAAAATCATCGTTCAAGGGTACAAGGCGCTACAGCTGCAATATTTCTTCACGTCCGGTCACGACGAAGTCAAGGCATGGACAATTCAGGTAAGCACATATTCATAGTGCAAAATTAAATAAAAATAGTACGATTTAATAATAACATGATTTAATAATGACATCAATGTAGAAATTTATTTAATTTATTTAAAAAAATATGTACTATATAATTATATATATATATCTTTTTTTTATACTAGCATAATTAAAACACAACGCAAATATTATCTTATTTACTTTATTAATGCTTATTAGTGTTAAAAATAAAATATGAAATATGTTTCTGTTCGTTTTGCAGAAAGGCACGAAAGCGCCTCAAGCTGCTGGGAAAATACACACGGACTTTGAAAAAGGCTTCATCATGGCGGAAGTGATGAAATTCGAGGATTTCAAGAACGAGGGCTCGGAAGGAGCAGTAAAAGTATTTGAAACAATTTCCATATTAGACAGCACGTGGCGTTTTCTACTCCATTATATTACATACGTTTTACACATTACATTACGTTTTATTGTTTGTTGTCAGGCCGCCGGAAAGTACAGGCAGCAGGGACGTAATTACGTGGTCGAGGATGGCGATATTATTTTCTTCAAGTTCAACGCAGGCGCCGGGTTAAAGGACGCGAAGAAGAAGTGATGGCACGCGTTTCTCATGTTGTTGCTCGTCCATCTGTACATCAACATGATCCTACTATCCTGTTGCATGCATCACCCACACGTCGATCAGTCCAACTCGCTTCCCGATCCTCCCTGACTTTTTCATTCACGATCAAGCAAGTATACATGCTAATGTGATTACGATAATGATAATTATTTTTATATTTTCATTCCGCCGAATCGTTAAAAATTAATAATCGTGCTCATGATGCGTTTGCAAGGCGTTCGATTCGAATAAAATTCAATATTCTTCTCAATATTCGAAATAATGCATAGAGAACAATGAACTCGAGATAATCCGCATGTTATTTCTTTTATAAAGGACAACGTTGTCCGCGCAAAGGAGATAGCATATTCACGTTTATTTTCGTGTACATAATTAGCTGATTATGTAGAGATCGTATTCTGTACTTTTCATCTTTTGACGTGAAAATGTGCGGACAGGAAGAAAAAAGAAAGAGAATGAAAAGAAAGGGGACGAGACGTGTATGTAAAGCATTTCTCTTTGTACTCTTCTGTATTTATTCTACTAAATATTAAATTACATTGACGTGAAAGGATTGTAGCGGCTTCGTCATTTGCGAATACGCTCTACTGCAATTGTTATATGATTATTCTAACGAGACGATTTGCGCTACAATCGATAAAAGTTGCGTGCATTTGCGTTATAACGTAGTCGCCAATGAATTTATCCTCCACGTAGGATGGTGTACGTAGTTGCAGAATCAACCTCTAGATGGCACGAGAAGTTCACATTTGTTTCTTTGGTACAATAATTATGAGATTATAAATAAGAGATGACTTTTTAAACTTTCTCTCCACTTTAATCCTTTTAACGCGCTAGGATTGTTGCTCAAAATTATTAGTTTCTTACAGTCGATTTTTCTGTTTTTATCGTATTTTCAGCCATTGTTGAAAGTTTTGTTGAGAAGTCGAGACTTGAGCCATTGATAAAACTCTACCTCTTGTGCGAGCCCTTTTCTCAAGGCTGCGTCTTTAACTCGTAGTCTTGAAATGGCCGGGTGCTTCTCTTTTGGTCCTGTATATAAGAAGAAAAAAAAACGGGTGTAAAAGACAGAATGACGGAACGCTCAATCGATAAGATTACATTATACGTATAGTTATATCGGTAAATATTTATACGAGTACTTACGAAAATGATCATAGACACGGATAGCGCCCTTAAAAAAATAAGGAAATTCCACTGCAAGCGCGTTTAGCGACTCCTCCATGTAATCCAGTACGCCAACAACAGGATACCATCGAATAACATTTGCTTTAGCTCGCTCCATCGCCCACGTGTAATTTTGTTCCCTAGAGGAAAAACATACAATGCGTAGCATAAAAATCAGTAGCCGGCCACTCCACGTCTGTTTTTTTCCATGTCTGCTTTTTTCGCAAAGAGATGTGTTTACCCTCACTCGGCGCCCAGATAAACTAACGGAGAAATGCCTACTCTCGATTTAAAAAAAAAACGCAATAAAATGTTACATGAAATTGTACGCAAGAGAGATTTATTTGAATTGACAAAAATGTCGATACTTACGCACAACGCGGATCCTGCCCACAAAAGTAAGGTATCGCTCCGTGATAGCGCATTCCTTCCTCTCCCTTTTCATACCTAAATCAAGTCGAATCAGAATACTGTTATTTCAATATAAAACTTCGCTTTCAATATTTTCTCCCTTCCACACCCTCCCCTCGGTCCCTTTCTCTCTTTCTCACTCCATATAATTTTTAGAAAAATTATATACCTTTGCCAGATTCGTGGATCCAGCGGATCTCTCACTAAAGATATAAAGGTAGGCCCTTGCCGTCCGAATTCCGAGAAATTCAGAAACCTTACGTCCCCGTCGAAAGTTAAAGGAATAGCTTCTTGTCTGATGATACTCGTGATCTCTTCCACCAGTAGCTCCTGTCGAATCGAAGAGCATCTTATATGATTTGCCACGTGAATTAGATTGCAAACTTCGAAAAATTTTTGTGAAATATTGTGAAAAATAAAAAAAATCTGTTTAAATTATTCACAAGATCAATTAACGTCGAATCTCGAGTAAAAGTTGGGATGGGAATTCTTTTTCGAACCTGCCGCGAACTCGACAAGAGTCCGTGATCGCCCGGCGGCAGACGTATGTGCTTGAAAGCGTTGTATCCTTGCAACCGCTGCAGGATCAGCACCATCAACTCGGCGCCCGCGCCGGGTATGCGTGTCAGCATGAGTATGTACTTTTGCTTGTACGGCAAGTCACCCAATTCAGCGAGAGACGGTGTGACGTACCGCTGCGTCTGTTTGACAATTACAATATTCGTGAGAAATCACGTTGCGCAATCATCGTGTTTTGCGCAATAACTGATTGTGAGTTAGCACATCTAATTTTTTAACTCGGGAATGATTACTTAATTATTTTTCGCGTAAATGCTCACCTGGAGTTTTTTATACCTTGATTAAAAATCATTATTAATTACGTATATATATTGTATGTTATTGATTGTTCTATAATTTATTAATATATTTTTGAGTTCATTAAGTACAGATTTAGTCAACATTTTTTTTTTAAAGCAAGGAGAAATAAATTTTGGATTCTCGATCAGTAGAAAAAAAAATTACTGTGACTGCTGTGCTTTATTTTTTCTACTGGAGGTGTAAAAATTATTCTAGGTGACTATTTCCGGGCTAAAATCATTTTTCGATGAAAAACAGGACGCGTAAAGTTAATCGCGTGGAAATTAATTGCACATGAATCGCCGAATGTGTCTGAAGTGATTACTGCATGATTTCGTAATAGCGTAAAACATAAACGAGATGCGCTTTCGCTCGTGCATATCTCACGCTCGAGGAATGCATTCTTGCGCAAGCACGAGCAGTCATCTCCGGCGCGCGTTACTTCGGGACGCTGCATCTGCCGCTCACTAATTAAATACAGAATTAAACCGACTATATATGTACGTTCCGCAGCACGTGTCAAATCCCTCTTGACTTGACATACGCTCGGAGAATATATTAAGTTTAATCCAAGATTCGTAGAAAAGGAAGATATAGTCCTGGGAAACGACGACGGAATGCACAAAATTTTCCAGTCGACGCTTAAAAATCGATATGCAATGGGGCATTTATAGTCTTATATTTAGACGTAATTTACTAGATATAAAGTCTTCACCTGATTGCGAGTGATCCATCGATCATCGGCACGCGACGTTTCCTGCTCCTTCGACGCGCCGCCGTCGTCGCGTTTCTCGGCGGTAATCGCGAACCCGAGTAACTCCGTCGATGACCGCGTGTTCAGAATGACGAGGACTATCGTCAGACACGTGAGCGATAACAGGAGACCGCGATTTCGACGCATATTTTTTTCGTCTTGTTTTTTAATTAAATTTTTTGCCGAATTCACGCCGCGTTCTTCCGACGTAATTTCGCGGATTCTCTTTGTACTGAGAGATACTCGGCGGATCGAGGCCGCCGCGCCGCCGAGTAACTGAGGAGAATGTTAGTGGGTCAGGCACCGTAAACTGCGTGATCCCTACGTCTTCGCCGCAGCCTGTACGACCCCCACCGATCGGTTGATTGGGTGAAACGCAACACATTTCACTTTCCAATGCATACTTATTATTACTGCAACGGACAGTCGCGTTTTCGCGTATACAACTTTGCATGACTAATACAACCTAAGGGCGACTTCAGCTGAACCCGGATCAACTTACTCGGCGATTGATTCAATCGGCAGAATTGCTTACAGCAAAAAAAAGTTTTGAATTACATCATTCTCTCTTACTTTCTTTCCACGTATTAAAAAATTAAAAATTTTATTTATATTAGCAAAATAAATTTATCAAGCATACTTGATAAATTTAATCGCCAAATTTGATCAAAGTTATCCTAAGAACAATTAATTTAATTGGTCATTTTATATAACTGTATATTTTTGTTATAAAATAATTATAGAATAATATTGATTTTTGATTGTTTAACATTGTGAAAGGAAAGATTAGAGAATTAGGTAAATTTTATAAAGTTAAACATATTTTGCTACAAGTTATTCGATTGAATTAATCTTGACTTGGCCGAAGTTAAACCGTGAAAAAAAAAGATTACCAACTAATAATAATAGATAATTACGAGCCGAAGTTAGAGAAATATAATTTCGCTCGAGTAATCGAATGTCTCAACAAAAAAATTGGAGTCAGCATCGCAAACGGAGATACGCTTTCTACATTAAGAGTTTAATTAGCGGTATAACGTGCGAAGGTCGTCATGAAGGATTAGAGTAAATTAGAATAGAAAAAAATGTTTCACGCACACGTGCGGTCGATTCGAGTTTCAACGAGGGAACGGAAGGATAAGTAAAAACTCCGCTCGAATAAAGATCCAGTAAGGAAAATGCTAACGACGATAAGTAAGACGTTTTACAAATTGCCAGATTATTGCGGCAGATTAGCCGTAACTGCGTCCGCATTAAATTGTGCTCCATCAACAGAATCTGTCAACGTAATCTCTGATTGCAAATAGAAATCAAACAGAATCTGTCAGAATTTTATAACGATTTAAATGGAATTGAAATGTTCAACAGAATCTGTCAACGTAGTCTCTGATTGCAAATATAAAGCAAACGAAATCTATCGGAATTTTATAACGATTTAAATGGAATTGAAATATTCAACAGAATCTGTCAACGTAATCTCTGATTGCATATTATAGAAATCAAACAGAATTTTATAACGATTTAAATGGATTATACTCTTTAAATAATTACGAATTGTAATAAATTCTGATTCAATCTGCCAATCTGTCAATTGTATTTCGTTAAAAGATTCCGTCAATATTTTCGCTACTTTTCATTCTGTCAGAATTTGTCAATAGCAGACTTTGACACTTTGCAAAATCTGTTTCCGACAGATTTGTGTCTATCTGAAAATTATAAGCGAGGAAGAGTTTCCCGACGATAGAAAATCGTCGCGCGCGTTTGAAAGTGATCGAACGGGCGCTCATCGGGCGAGCCGGTGCGAAGACCGGCCGGTGCGGTGGCGCCGCGGTCCACGTGCTTGACGTACGACGCGCGCTCTTCCCGATCTTTCTACCGACGGGTCTATTTGTAAACACCGCCCGACGTAAGATGGACGTGTACGAGCTCTGCAGAAAAGATTGGCAGGATTTCAATGTGTCGCGCGAGGAATTGAAGGACATAGCCGAATGCCTGAAGAAGGAGGAGTTTCGCAAGCTGTTGATCGAGTACGCGGAGGAGGTGACTGACCCGGACAACAGGAAGACCTACGAGCGGGAGATCACCCAGCTCGAGAAGGAGCGGGGCGTAGACGTGACGTTCGTTAACCCCGAGCCCGGTTACGTCATTAAGACCAGCGTGGACGGCGACAGGAAGTGCTTCCTGAATATCAGCAAGAACGACGTTGTCGCGCGTCCCACCAGCCAGCCGTCCTACGAGCAGGGCCACCGCGGCCTGCAGTGGTCCATCCCGTACACCCTGATACCGCCGCGCTATGACCTTGACAAGAAGAACGTGCGGTGCGTCGTGTATGACGTGGTCTTCCATCCGGACACCATCTACCTGGCGTCCAAGAACGCGCGGTTCCGCGAGATCGTCAATGACACGGCGATGGACGGCGTGGAGAGTAACTTCAAGGTTCGCACATGTCTATAAGCTGATGCAATTTTATAATTTTTGCTTCTGCAATAGCTGTCTGTTTCTAATATGTCCCCTTGCGTTTCGCTAGGTAAAGCTTGACAGGAAGAATCTAAAGTTTCCCAAGATCAACTTCAAGGGGATGACGCATCCTACGGTGATCAGGAAACCTTCGGAAACGCCGCCGACGGAACCGCTGGACATAGAGCCGGAGATCTATCAGAAGATAATGTCGAGTTACGACGAGAGTCGCCAGAGTCACTTTAAGCGGAGGGAAGAGAAGCCGCAGCGTTCCCCGCCAGCCACCACTTACTACAAGGACAAGCAACAGAAGCCCGAGGATGAGAAATACGTTACCCCCAAGTTTTCCATCAAGCATCAGTCCGACGTGGAATTGGAGGATTTTGTTCTAAGCCAGGATGCGAAGATGTTCGCCGCAATCCCTAAAAAATTAGTGATCACCATAGATCTGCCGTTGTTGAAGAGCGCCAACGACGCGACGCTCGACGTACACGAACGGTCCCTCACCCTGAAAAGTGAAAAGCCAGCGAAGTATCTGCTGGATCTTCCCTTACCGTATCCCGTAGATGGAGATCATGGGAATGCTAAATTTGACTCCAAGTACAAGAAGTTAATTGTAACTTTACCAGTCATTCGGCAATTGGTATCAGCTGGTGGCATCGACAGGGCAAATAATGGGGTTGACGGTGATGAGAACAGTGTTGAGTTAGTAACGTCCAACGATGACGAAAAAAGTTTCTCTAGTAACAGAATAGAATTAGTGGAGGTGTGCGAAAGCGCGTGCAAAGAGATAGGATTCGATAAAGCGAGTGAAATAACAGATAAGTGCGAAGATACTGCCTTACGGACTAGTAACACGATAGAAATCACCGATGCATTTATGAATCCTAACATTAAGTACAACCTTCCTGCTTACACCTGTAATATCTACAATAATCAATTAGCCATTGTTATAAATGTAAAAAACGTGAATCCAGACGCGATACGCTACAGAATTTTAGACGACAACGTAGGGATACATATCTTGCTGACGTCTACGGGCGCTGGATTCTTTCCGCAATATTATTCGTTGTGTCTTAAGATAGGAGACGAATGTATCGAGCCAGAAACACTTACGATCGAGCCGTGGGACAATAACGTTGTGTTTAACGTCACAGTGAAGAATATTGAGAATATAGCGCGATATTTCGTTGGAGTGGACACGGAATTCATGGAAGGGAAAGAGCTTCCTACACCGGCGTCGTTTACGGACAAGTTTAAGGAATTAATGGTAAAACGTTAAATGTATATTGCGTACTTTTGAAATGTAAGAGAGTTACATTTGTATCTATAATAAATAAAATATTTTTTACAGTCCCCTTCGAAAGATGAGCTTCAGGTGGAAAGGCAAATCTCCGTGCAGCCGCAGGACGGTGGTGTTGTTATAAATATTCGTCCAAATCAGCAGGATTCTGATGACGAAGAGGAGCACGAGGAAAGCGCGAGAGTTGCGAAGCGACGACAAGAGAAGAAGCACGTTATTGAGAAAGTCAGATCAGTTTCGGAGAGCAGCGGAGATGAATTGGCGAGCAACAGCAGCAACGGTAGCGTGAGACACTCGAAGGGGATACTGAAGTCGCGTCGCGCCCGCGATTTCTCGCGTTCCATGTCCGAGTCGAGTGCCGACGAGAACAGTCTACCTGCATCGTGCACGGATTATCACGACGATTATCATTACGATTCCGTGCACGATATCAATTCCGAATCTGATTGCTCCAGTTTAAAAAAGACCGTACGATTTAACGACGTGGTTTCACGACAGTTATTTAGGTATAACACAAAACAATGTCTACAATTGTCTTTCTAAGAGATAAACGAAGCATTCTCTTGTCTTCTCTCAAGTAAGTGATTAGACTCGTTTATAATTTGTTATTTTTTCCCTTTTTTAGATCTAATTCGAGTATTCTTGGACAACGGAAGAAGAATCAGCGTAAACTGCGCAATAAGAAACGCGCGCAAGATCGCCGACTAAGCGAAAGCGAGAATTCTGAAACCGAGGAGCGCGATAAATATAAAGTAGATTATAAGCGGTCTGCGAACGAGGAGACTTCCGAAAGCGTGAAACCCATACTCGCGCGTGATAAGCATTTACAGCAACAGAGAACCGCCAATATTGAAATCGCGAAATCGAACGCCGACGACAAGCATCCTTCGCATAAGCGTAAATCTAGCTTCGAGGAAAAGCCCACCGAAGATGTTCAAGCCGACACCTCGATTAAAGCCACGAAAGATGCAGTTCAACTGGAATTTAAGAGCGATCTGATATTTGATCTCGATATGTAGACGCGAACTGCGAGATCATTATGCATAATGTGATAGGCACGATCGAGGATGTTATCGCGATTTTTTTTTGTAGCAACTCAATAACTTGGTGAAACTGATAACTCAGTGCTGATAACGTAAATTTACATATACATGTATAACATTACAAACATTATTTTAGAGTTTAGTATCAAAGATACTCTTTAAATAATTTGGGAATAATTTTCTAGTGCGTTATTAGCATAGAAGTAGTAAAACAGGGAAACACCATACGAATCAAAATCATTCAAATATTAGTCTATTCGAATTAATGATAAGCGAAGCTTATTATTAAAATTAGCTCCTAATATCCTAAATTCATAAAGAGAAGTAGAGCTTTACTTAATGGAAAAATTATGTTAACTCGGAAAGTGTTCATATTAAAGTATATGACGAGGCTGTACGGTAAGATATTTTTAATCGGAGTTTTTTTTTTTAGAGAACTGATGATCGTCACTGGATGGATTTATTGAATTAATCAAGATATATACGTTCTTTTTTCATGCATGTTAAATATTACTGCCGCATAATATACGTGATTTGTACTCACAGATAACGCTTAATTAAAATCAAGAATATACGTGGATACTTTGATAGAAGTTCGTACACTTTTAATGAATATTACGTGAATTTAATGCAAAAGTATGTACATTTAGATTTTGTAATATATACGCCAACAGTTTGCACGTGTATACAGATACGTCGCGTTGCAATGAGCGCTTGCCAAAAGATCGTGATGTTTATGGTGATAAAAATGGAAATGATTTTGCTTCGAAAATTGCTAATTATGTGCAGGATTTTCGATGGTTAACGTTATCTAAGTCATACTTTCTTGTAAAAATGCCGAAAGTCTATTTAGAGAAATTTTCCGTTGAATATGATACAAAAAATTAAAATATTTATCGATTTTATATATTATATATCAATATTTTGTAATTAAATTGTACATAAGTTATTTTTGATCTGGTTGATGAAAGAAGATGTTTACATATCTGCGCTCGTAGCACGTTTCATTCCTATGTTATGTACCGTGTGTTTTTACCGACAAGCAATCCACATAAATTAATACGTACAATATATTCCTGTAAACGATATAACGCAAGAATGAAATAAACAGACACAAAATGTTTTTATAGGTGGGACGTTTGTATTGAACTAGAAACAATTGATTGCGATATTTAAGGAAGGAATTTAAGGAGTTGAAATATGAAAAGATCATTTCTATATTTGAAAATTTTATTTAAGGTAACAACCAGCAAAGAGCGATTTAAATCTATAGTAGTTTTAAATTGAAAACTGTCCAAGATTTTCGCTATTAAGTATTAATAGTGGTATCGGGGTGTTCTTTTTTTTTTTTCAGTCAAGCCGATCTAGCAAATGCGGAAACTACGTCGATCGTGTGTCACGGCGCGTATCCGCGAAACATCGGTGGGGTGCCGGGTCGTGCAATGCCGTGACACGACGTGAAAAGCAGGACCACGGGGCCAACAACGGGGCGCTATACGGGCGAAACGTGATGATTGGAAAGTAGGACGCGGCCCAACGGCGGAAACAACCGGGCCGCGCGCGCTCCGAGCCAACGGATGAGAGTTCGCCCCCGGAGTTCGAGACCATCGATCCCGCTACTTGCGGGGGGAGTTGTAAGGTCGTTAAACTCCCCCGGTCTACCTGCACGTATCTTTCGCCGCATCGCGCACTACCCCGTATTATTCCTATTGATGTACCATCCAGGTAAGGGGACTCGGCACGGCTCGACACCACGCGAACGCGGCGCTCCAATTTCGCACGATCGCGATCCCATCGGTTTATTGTCGTCATTGTCGTCGTTGTCGTCACTGCGGCGGTTCGTTTCAATTGGGGTTGCACGGGTTGCTACGCGGCTGTGGCGGGAAATGGCGCGGCAAGAAGGGGCGATCTTAAAGAACGGATATAGCTTTATCGTTACGCACGATATTTGATGAAGCTTCATTGAAGCTGCGTATGTATCTTTTAATCTGTGATTTTTAGATATTTTAATTACAAAAAAAAAACTCATAAAATTCTCATCTCAATCATTCTTTCGATATGTATTGCGGACGAAATTGAAATGAAATTCGGTAAGCTCTCGGCTTTGATCACGAAAAATCGATTGTCCTCTCCACCCCTACGGACAGACTCCTATTTTGCGATGAAATCTGCAATGTCTCGAAAATCGTTTGTCTGACGTATCATCATCTTGACGAGGGTTTCTCCCGCCGAGATGATAATGTTTGTGTAGCTATATTCATCTCGAAGGCGACGGTCTTCTGGCCGAACAATCGGAGGGATGTTTGCCCAAAGATGATAACGAAAAAATAACGAGATCCCATTTTCCGAATGCTTAAGCGGAACAACATTATGTGATTGAGGTACATGGGATTAAGGGTGGTAGGCCTGACTAGCATCAGGTCGATAAGCCGTCCACCCCTTAAGGTTCAGAAAGTCGGTGGCCTGTACCGGCGAGGGTGCACGGAAGAGGGTGGGGAAGGGAGACGAGAGGGGTGAGGGAGAGGAGACGAGGGCGAGGGAGAAAGGGCACGTACCCCGCGTGCCGCGGTTACGGCCGGCACGACATCGGCAATGCGGCAGCCGACGGCGTTTAATGTCGCTCCACGCTCCACCAGCCCGTCGGCCAGTCGTTGCACCTGGCACCGATTCGCCGGCTTGGCGAACGCAGGTGGAATCAGGGGAGGGTGCCAGCGGGGGTGGCCGATATTAAGGACGCGGCCGCTCGTCGGCCCGCGTAACACGGTTTCGAGATTGGGCACACTACTCGAGCGGGGCGAGAGATATCGATGGCCCGCGCCAACGTAGATAAAGACCGATGGTGAGCGATCGTTACGCGTTATCTCGAACCTGTGCTACCTCAATGAGGGAGAGCTACGATAGCGAAGTGCGATAAGACGGAGCCGGAAGGCTCGTCTCTTTGAAGGACGGAGGTGAATCTTGATTCTTCCTGCCGCTATATATATATATATATGCCATCCGTTTTGGTCTCTCAGGGTGACTTCGATTAAACTTCGCAGGTTATTAACTCAATTTCAACTGACAGAATTACGTAGAGCAAGTAAAATTTCCAATAATTCGTTGTTCCTAATCTAATCTTTTTTTTTTCCCGGTATATATACCGGTATTCCTTGATAAATTAATCGCCAATTAAGTTATCAAGGAATAATACCAGTATATGGGGGAAAAAAAGATTAGATTGGGAACAACGAATTATCGGAAATTTTACTTGCTTTAATTCTGTCAGAATCGAAGTTTGAATCGAAGTCATTATACCGGTACCCTCGATCGTGTCACTTGGAACACTTTTGTACATACAGGTAAAATCGTTAATGCCTTAACTGACGAATTTATGCACTATTATCGGAGCAAATGTGTATTTCTCACGCACGTCTCGATAAGCGCCTAATCTCGCTAAATCGACATCACTTTTAGTCTGACTGTAACCGCCGACTAATCTTGTAACTCGTCGCCCGGACGACGGGCGAAGCTGTTCCAAGGTATTTCCCGCTTAATTCGTCGAAGCCGCTAATCTGTTTTGTTGAAACCGCTAACTTCAATGGAAATCCAAATACATTCCGGGAATGCGATTCGTCACTTTTACAATTGCGCGTGATTGTGCGCGCGGACGGAAGGGTCTCTGCTTTACCGTGGAGCGTACGATTTTCCGAATCCCATAAACAAATAACCGCGATTATTTCGAACGCAACTTTATTTTCCGAGATTTCACACGTCCCTCCGTGTAGCGTACCTTCTCTTACCATTCCGTTTTCCCTTGAATAATGTATGAGGTACCGGCGTATCTGTTCGTATTACCGCCTTGGCAGTTTGGAACTTACGACACACATGCCCACGTCGCGCAATAGAAATCTCACGTTTGAAAAAGTTTTATTTCGCGGAGAGGCATCGTGGTTTTTAACCGAAAATATCTAAACAATATTCGCAAGAGCCATGATCGATAAATATCATCTTACAAATATTACGTTAATAATTATTAATCAGCACAGAGTGGCGAAATAAATTGTATCGTAAAATAATTGTAAATAATTGTGAAATGTTTGCAAAAACCACGAGCAATTAATATATATTGTCTTCTTCTTGCAAATATTTCGTTAATAATTACTATTTACTAATCATCGCAGAGAGGCGAAATAAATGTACCTTGCCGATATTATACTGTACCATATTGAAAAATGAATAGATAAAATCGTTGGCCCATAAATGTAGCTGACGATTAAATCGCGGAGCGTAGCGAAAGATACACAAAAGATTTATTGTTGCGAGAGAGGCGGGAGCGAGCGAGCGAGCGAACGAGCCCAGGTAGCATAAAGACATAGAGAACAATTAAAAACTGCGAACAAATCGTAAAAGATGAAACTCGTTAACGTCGCAGTTGTTCGTGCCAATGACTTTTCATCCGTTTGGCTATTAAATAGAGCAGCGAGCGGCGCGCACACGCCATGTTTCCCGTCTCTCGTTTTTCATCGTTTCATCGTTTCCTGCCTTTCTCGTTCTCGCGCCTTCGTATCTGTCCGCGGAGACATTCGAAGTAGTAGAGTATCGATTAATGGACCCCCGTGCTTCGTAACTACACGCGCACTCCGCGCCGTGTCCGGATAACCCACTAACACTGACTCTCCCATTGTTTGGAGAATTTTTCTTTTTATCAGACTCTTTGTGGCGCTGCTAATGCAGAATGTATGTTTGAAAATGTATTACTTGCCGTGCGTCTGAGAGCAGCTCTTCTTAAGTCGGGAAGAGTCGAGGTGGGACGTAATACGCTGGAAGCGCGCGTGGTTGCGACAAAACAAGTGTGTGTGTGTGTGTGTTTTTTTTTGGCTCACGCAATATACAGAAGAGACGACGCGTAATCGCGAGAGATTATGTAAAACGCGACGCGTGTGTATATATATATATATATGTATATATATACACATATGTATATGTATATATAGCATACATGTATTAGCATATTAACATATATGTGTATGCTAATATACATACATACGTGTGTATATATATATATATATATATATATATATATATATATATGCTACGATTTTATATGTATATCTTGCGATAACAAAGGGAGTACAATTGACGAAATTTTGTTGTTCTGTAAAATGTTACTTATGCATAATAAAATCATACGGTTTACACACGCCCAGCTGTTTTATTGTGTCTCCGACTGTCTCGCGATTGCGACAGGGCAAAGTCGTGACGTTTCGTGAGCTGCGACACTCTTCAGGGAAATATCTTCGATTCTTCCATGTTCTTTGGAGCACAACTCGTTTCTCATATGCATCTCGAGTTCGTCGGACGATTCGTTCGTGCGCAGAGCAGAAATCCGTTCGCTTGGATAATCTCTCAAATGCTGTGGCTACTTCTCTCGTAGTGTAAGAAAAGGCGACACGTTTTTCCAAATTCCACAGTTTCCTTCTCTCTCTCTCTCTCTCTCTCTCTCTCTCTCTCTCTCAATTCGACATACAATTATACGACGTGACGACGATGTATCACTCTTGGAGTACGACGTACGAGGCGACGACCTGATGGATAAACATCCATTTCAGGGGATAACGATACCCGCCAACCGACCGCCATCGCTCTTGATTAACCCAAATGTCCCGATTTCGCTTCCGGTAACGGATACCGCATGGGAGATCCGCAAGACGGATGTATATTGAATTTTATTCAGCGGCGAACCCGCACGTATCTGGGGAAACTTTATCGTTTGACTTGCGGAAGAGATAGCCTCGCCGTGAACTCGACGTAATAAGATATAGCCCTACATCAAGTTACTCGCGACGCAGCAGCCAATTTCGATGTTATCAGCGCCCGAGTTCTATATATTAAGATTTAAAATAATTCATAGTGGCTGGTTAAAACCCGAGGCCCGCCCCCGTGAACTTTTTTTTTTTTGCGACGGAGATCTATATCGGGAACGGCTTGCAGATTGCGCGGCCTGTTCATGAAGGACTAGCACGCGAATACAGTCATCGACCCTCTTCGGTATGAGCGCGTTATACAATACCATCAAACTGACCTGCAGCAACGTTTTATTCAATATAGACCTCGATGCAGCACAGCGTGGCGCGGCGCGGCGCACGAACGGCTTTCTATCAACCGAAAAAGTGTCGATCTTTATCACTGCGAAATATTTTTTCATCGTTTCCAATCGTTCTTGTTATATATGCACATAGCGATTTGCTCTACATGCACGTAGCGCGAGTTGAAATCCAGGTTTTCCAAGACGCGTTAAAAGAGGCGGCGCGGTGCGCTGGAAAATCCCAGATTTTCGCGGCTATACGTAGGTACGCGGAAAGGAGAGAATTCTGCGTTCTCTCGCAACACGTTTTCCTTCCCGACCTTGAAAAGATAAGGTAAGCTTGGTGCCGTGCGTCAAAGCGTCGCGCCGTAACGCCGTGTCGTAAAAGCGCCGAGCGGAATGAAGCGAGCGAAAATATATTCGACACGGGACGCATTCTTTGTTGAAGTGGAAATGTTTGGTTAAATAGGCGCCGCTTCGACGTGAACGAAATAACGGATGTGCCACCTTACCGCGGGCCTTGTCGGCCGCGTCAAGAGAAGGAAACCATCTCCACGGTGGTGATCCGTCAGTGTCGCGTATGATGGGATTTTGTTTTAATTTGACAATAACAGCGGCCGCGCGCCGTATATTCGATCCTCGTATTCGAACCAAGTGTTCGGATTTTCCTCCGAAAAAGTAATATTCGCGCCACATCAATTTCCATCGTATGCAAAACCAAATTGTCAGACTTTGCAAATTGAACGATGTGCCTACTTTCCTTTTATATGTAACAATTGAAGTAATAGGCAGTTCCGCGCGAAGAGAGATTATTAGAAATCTACCCGATAAAATTGCACGCGTCGTTCGATATCCGCGCGCGGCGATGCCGTCGACCTATCGACCGAAAACTAGTGAACGCGCTCTCGAAGAAGAATTAAAAGCAAAAACCACCTAAGCCGAAAAAGCCCTCGAGTATTGAACTCGGCCAGCCTGACTAAAAGTAACAGATTTTTGAGATATACATGCGCGCGCGCGAACGGGTGATATGGTGTGTGTGTGCGCGCGCGCGAGCGCGCACAACCCCACGGTGGTCGGTGGCGGAGCACGGGATGTCGTGGGGGTGGCGCGGGGTGTCGCGCGGAGCGACGCGGGACGGCGCGCGGGGGGGTGTACACACTTATCGGTGGTACACGCTCGTGCCTTCACCTACGCCTGGGACGCGTATGTGTCTGTTACCTTCCCACGGTTTACCACATGTTGCGCTTCGGCGCGAGGGGCGCAAGTCAGCCAGGAGCCCGGGCCATCAGGATAGACGGCATCTCTCCCCTCGGCTCTCGGTCAGTTACGCGATCGCCAGCGAACGATTCGCGCGGCCGGTGCGCACCCCGAACTGTGCTGGTAATCGCTGGCTGTCGATCCCACTGTGCCGCTCGAACGAGTGCATCGAACTTGACGGACATCGGAGGCGCGAGCGTGTCCCTTAATCACCGGAGCGAAGGGGGTGAAAGAGATCGGGACTGTGGATGTAGACGGTGGTGGTGGTGGTGGTGGTGGTTCGAAGATGCTCGAACAGTGAGCGGGCAATCGCGCTTTCTCGACAAGGTCGGTACCATCGGGAACGGGATGTCTGTCAAACTTCCTGTAATTTATGCACGTCGCGAAAGAACAACGGGAACAAAAAATGCATGCCACTCGACGTATCTCGAGAATCTCTGTACGAGGAAGCTGAAATAGAGAGAGGCAGCTTGCCTTAATTGATTATTAATAATCTCGGGATTAACAATGTTACGATTAATATTACAAAATTATATTGCAGTTATATATCTTATTAAATATAATATAAAGTTCGCTTACAATTATAACGAGAAAAATGCCATTAAAATAAATACATTTTTCAAAAGGCTTCTAATTTCTCGCGAATACTCTGAATTCTGGAACAACCTGTTGGTGAAGGAAACCATTTTTACTCGACGTTAAATAAATGATACTCATTCCACCATTTTTATTTCGACGTAAAATAGAACGACATTACTTCATTATAAGCAATTTAAATGAATTAACTTCCTTTTTCGATTACTATTACAAAAAATAACACGATTCTCTCGAGCATCGCTGCGCTCAAAAGTTTTATTATTTTAAAATCGTTAAAGCTTTTTAGCGAGAGATAAAATTTCTCGTCTCTATTCGTAGATAATTTATAGCCTCATGAACAGCTTGTTTAATAATATGAATAATTAACACCGCCTATTTCAAACGATCTATCATGTGCAAAATGTTGTGCAAACTTAGATAACCAACGTGATTTCTCGCAGCTTGTGCCTCGATCTATTTTAGCTGACTTGGCGTATAAATAATTGATATGATCATTCTAACATACAACGCTGATAAACCATCGAACATTGCATTCGAGCAAAATGTAAGTTTACCGTCTTCGAGGTACCATATGTGACTTGAAAAATATCTCGGTGACGGATTGGCTTTACCAATTTGATTATCGAATTTCAAATTCGTATGATATGCATAATTCATTTGATTTCTCATCGTTGCAGCGTCCGCGCGCGACGCATATATTTGTAATGTTACGCACATCTCATAAATTTTCGTTCGTATGCAAGAGAGAATAAACGTAGATAACGAGCTCGCTTCTTCGAAAGAATAGCAATTTTTTTTAGAAGTACAAAAGATCTCTTTTTATTATTAACGCTAAAGAGAGAAAATCTGTATCACGTTTTCCATGTTAAAAGCGAAAAATTGTTAAGCTATATGGGTCTCGTTCTGAAAGCATTAAAGACCGTCGTGTATATACGGCGCACGAGGCTAGAATAATTTACACTAGATGTACATAGAGTGAGATCACATAGAATTTTCGTTATCGGTAAATAATATGAGGACTTTAACGTTGTTCATAAAACAAAAAACACAGTTACGTTCGGAAACGTATAAATTGCGTAACGTATTTCGTGTCAAATTGTACACACGCAAGTACATCAAACAGTAAAAAAAATTACCGAAATAAAATGCTCTAGCAGGTTACTTAATAATATAACGCTGACATTTATCGTATTATCCCTGAGATAAAAAAAAATCACGACACGCCGTCATTATGTGTGCGAATCATGTACATGTAATATTACGTATATCGAATATACGCATATATTGCGATAAATATATGTATACAGGATATATAATTGTTATACTGTTTATCACGAACAATTTTGTGATTTACTCTCGATTATACAAACACTCTATGAATAAGCATGCGATTAGTTTTTCACTATTTCGACTGAATTTATAATTAATTAACTAAATACGCGAATGCCCCTGAGGTAATGATAACGCGCACGACCAATTTGCATATATATTTCCGAGATATGCAAGACGCAATAACCCGGTTATTCACGAACGGTCAATGATTTCTCGGCTACGGGAAAATAGAGGCGATTGGATTAGTTCCAGAAAACATTTATTGTATCAGCTCGGGAATCGAGCAACGCATGTTACAATGGCACTTTGTCTGGTAGTAGAGAGATTTGAATGATGTTGACTTACAGTATATATTCTCCAATGAATCGTATATTTCCGTAAATATACTTTGTAATGCATGGCGATGAAAATTCAACACGTTCCCGGGAGAATTTCGCTGGAGGATATGTAGACCACACCGTGAAATACTTTTCGCATCTTCATACATTAATTTGTTTTTGCAGATAATACACATGTGCAATTATTTATATATATATATATGCAAATAATTTAATTATAATATTTACTTATGATATTTAATAATAATATTACCCATTTGCGCAGGTTTGTGCGCTTAACAGCGCGGTGGAGCGGCCCCAATGCCGGTCAGGAAGGGCCTCCTCGCTCCACAGAATACTTTCTTGGACACTATCGCGACTCGCTTCGATGGAACCCGTAAGTCCTTTGTCTATTCTACTCTGCACATTTGTCGTATCCTCGATATAATGGTTACATTAACAAATGCCGCTCGCGTAGGCGGATCAAGTTTCGGAAAGATTTACGGCCGCAGGATATTAATTAGCTCTCTCCCCTCCGCGCTTTGATTAATTTCCGTAAATCAACGAGTTATCGCTGTAAGTATCGAACAATCCACGCTGTAATTCACCCTCCGTAAATCGCAGGAAAACTCTGTCTGCGAAACTTCGTCTTTTAAGAGGTAAAAAGTGGCGGGAATGCCAAAGTCGTCGGCGTCTTTCGATTAACTTTGATCCCCCATACGCAAGGGTCGCGCTCCCCTAAGTACTCTCTGCATGTTGCTATAGGGATACGAAAAAACCGATATGACGGTTCTTCGTGCTGCTTTACATCGACTCCAGCGTTTTGTCGGCGCTACGTAAACGTATTCGAATTAAGGTAATTTAAAACAAGATGCGAATGTGCATAAGATAAAATTATCAATGTACATTTCTCTCTCTCTCTCTCCCTCCCTTGCATTATAAACATCATGCTTTAGGCTAAATCCATTCAGTTTCGTATTTCATTCGTCGAGGTTTATTGTTTAGCCCCACAACCGGGCCTACAATGCTAATGTCTCTGTATCACGCGGCTTTCCCTAATGCCTCGATGCGTGCATCGGCATTAACTGCGGAGACATTAACGATGCAAGAGGCGTAGGTCGCCGGTAGCCGATATGCCAGGTGGTGCAGCTTCATGATTATAACATCCAGCCCGTTGCAGTACGCTTGGGCGCCAAATGAATCGAGGGCAAATCCTCAAAATATCCTTTTTTTCCCTTATTAACCGCAGAGCCCGTGATTTTATGTGTTTGAAACTCGAGGGAGAAAGCTCAGATTACAAAACGCAATGGCTTTTTCTGGAATTTCAGAGAGTCAGCTAGCTGGCGGTTGCCACAGCAACGCTGCCTGACTTAGGAAGATCGCGAGGAGGCAATTTTCCCTGAGATTTTTATCGCAGATTCGCGTACTGATACAACATTGGCAATCCCGCGCACGGCTGTGATTAATGTGATTATTCCCATTTCAATCACATGCCCGAACGAAGTCTTTATGCTGGCTGTTTATGCCGCGGGTTAGTTAACGTTTAACTTTTGTGTGTTCCGGCGTCAATGTAAACTTCGGTTCCTTTCGAGCTAAAAGAGGAAATCCAATTATAAGAAGTGGGCGACGCGCGGATCGTCATCCTAAAATTGCGTCCTCGATAAGTATCAGCGTGTCCTTTTCCTTTGTCAACAGTACCGAGAAATCTTATTCGACGACTTTGAAGAAGGGTTACATTTATTTAATGAATTCAGTATACCTCTGTACAATTCAATTACGCGCGCACGCGCGTCTATCGATTAACATTTTTCATATCCGTCGTTAATCTATTCGTCTATTCTTTTATTATATGTATTTCCGTATTCCTTTGTTCTGCAATTTTTATCCCCTTCCTTACTTATTTCCAGCGCGTTCTTATTTCTAGCCATTTGCGCGTTCCAATTAATTATTTTATTTTCTTATTCCTCCGCAATTTCCTCTCGTGCATTCTTGAAATTGAAAATATTTCGTATTCTACGCTTCTTGTTTCTATTGTTGTACAGCGACGTGTATTATCCTCTGTGCGTGTTAGGTAACCCCTCGTCATGGAACACCTGATGAAACTTGGCGTCCATCGACCGTCTGCGCGTTTTGCTACGTTCCCTTCGCATGTAATATTAATTCAACATTGGCGCCATTGGCGAATCGATTCTGTTTTCAATGGTGGTTCATCATTTTGTTCAGATAAATTTCGCGCGAAGGAACATCCTTCTAATCTATTATTCGAAACACACACGTTACGCGCGATGTCATCGTCAATGTATCATATAACTCGTGAAATCCGACTGCCTGAGTTGTGACTCACTCGTAGCGAATGGCAATTATTAAATACGCGAATTGAATAATGTATACGGTATTTGCGTCGGAAAACTCTCTACACGGAAACAAAGGAAAATAATAATGTGTATATCAATACCATTATACAATATAAGTTACATTGCATTTATTGCGTATCAATTGCAAAATGTGGATGCACATATTTGTTTACATATTTATGCGATCTATTAATGTGTATTTAAACGTACGTCTGTTACGTTTCACTAAATATACTTTGCATTATTATTATTACTATTATTATTGCCGTTATTATTATTGTTTTAAAAGATTTTATTATTACTGACTGTAATTTATTTATATGGGTTTATATTATAGTATATACACATATAATTATTATTATTAATTTTGACATATTTTTTTACAAATTCAATGTAGCCATAATATTGTAAAAAGAAAAAGTGGAACGTTACAGATATAATTACTGTCATAAGCTATTATTCATCGCATCATAATTATATATTACGGTAGTGCGAATGGAAGAAGCTGCATGTATTTTTCGAAAACATCCGACAAATATGACAATTCCGTCGTAACTCCGACACGGTATTATTCAAACAGCGGTAAAATTTATATTCTATTGATTTTTAACGTTCAGCTAGTGTGTGCCAAAGGATCACGAAGCGTGAATTTTTTTGTGCGAACCTTTTCTCTCTCTAGCTATCTACTGTTAAATTTTATTATTTTCTCAACGCTCTCGCGTACACACGCAGATGCATACAGTCGAACGTTACATTCAAAAACTGCGATCGAATGTATACATCGTATACATTTATTATCAATTATCTCAGCTCGTAAATTTTTTCTAATTTTGAAAATGGCTAAACTCAGTGAAAAGAGATCCAACTTACGGCAGGAAGTCGTAAAATAGAGTCGATGAATAAAGTTCGCCGGGTCGCAATTCTTTTATCACGTATAAATGCGGCGCGAAATAACTGGCAATGACTGGAACATATACCGCGAACATGCTCGACTTGAAGAACACTTTAAAGACACATGGGAATCCGAATGTCATAAAGGAGATAGGTGCACAGAGCGTGGCCAATATCTCTGGTTTCCAACTTCCAGTTATACGATGCTCGGTCCTCTCTCGGATCGTATCCACTCTGAATCACTATAGCTGTCACGATGTTTGGACGTGCGTACCTACGTACGCACATTGCGCGTCACCGACGGGAGAAAGAGAGAGAGTGAGGGAGGGAGGATGGATTTCAAGCTGTATTACCTTCTATACGTCAAAAAGTTTCGCTCTCACGCGTCTATGACACGTACATACGTACACTCGTGTTACGTTAATTTTCGACGCTTTGTGCACATTGCGTTTCCGTGTACGTTCAAAGTCTCGTTGTAGCCGCGTTAATTGCTGCGATAACTTACATCTCTCTTTGACGGGTAGACGTCTCATAAATATTATCTCAGCATAAATCGCTACTTAATTATCTTGCACTCATTGTTAGACATTTAGAGTATCCATTATGTTTTGAATTTTCTGACCAACTGATCAAAACTTAAAACAAAAAAAAATCGATGAAAAACCTAAACGGATATTGATAATGTTGTAATCTGCTTACGACAAGGTTTGATAATAAACCTCGGAAAAAATAAAACCTCGCGAAATTGTACTGGTAAAATACAACTTTTGCAAGTGACTTTCGCAATTACGTTTTGTATATGACGAATAAAGTTGTACGTACAAAAATATAATATTAAAATCTCGTTAAGAAACCCATGGCCGGTGCCAGCGCTGCGCGCTAAAATTGGAGGTGGAATTCACATATTTTGACGGAAATACGATTTTGCTGGATATCGTATGTCAATCAGAACTTTGAGAACTTCATGTAAACAACGAAGGATACGTCTGGTGCATATGCAAAGCATGCGAAATGCTACTCTTACGAAGTTGCGATATAATTAATTCTCCGGCGAAAAGTTTACGCCAAGTTTAGTCCATTGTACATATATATTTATTATATACTACAATATATGAAGTTATCTCTGAAGTCTCCTCCATTAATCTGTTCCTTCGGTAAATAGAAAGCGTACACGAATAATCCACGCGTATCGATTGACACGACGGGAGTAATGATGATTACTAAATATGGATAGCACGTATCTTATCGTAAATAACAACGGGTACTGACGCAGATAGATAACTGTCCGACGACGATGCTCACACTTATCCGTATTGCTGTCGATACAACATGATAAACTACAACGTTCATCGATAAAACGATATATAAAAATGATTTAAAATGTAAAAATGGCTAACTCCGCTGATAAAAGAACTTAATTCTTTAGAATAAATTACCTTTACCGTTTTATTATATGACAAATAAATAAAACAAAAAACAAGTAAATGAAAGTAATTAAATAATTTTCTAGTAAAACTATGCTTAAACTCCACAATCATTTCTCAGTAACTTACATTAAAACATATTACAACATTATTTGTAGTAACAAGCTGCTTTTATCCGTGTTTATTCATCGCTGGAGAGCGACGGAACTGAATTAAAGTTATGATATCAGCGACGTGGCAAACGAATCAGCCCTATTTTCTCCAAAGAAATCCCACGAAATATATTCGATGATACCAACGAACAAAGTTGGTCACACGAGATTTCATAAGCTTTAGACCTGACGTTTCTCAAGGTTAATCTCTTGATATCCGCGTCAAGAAAGTATTGTAATGCAAAGGGAAAAGTTATTTTTTTCTTCCCTCCTACGAAGGAAAAACTAAGGTTATCGCGCGAAACTGAGATTGGATAAAAGCTATTTTCTGTTTCGGAAAAGAATATCGTTTCGATTTTCGACGGATGATAAATATTGCTTTTGTTTCTTCATCGAATATTACTTGACATTTACAAATAGCATTTGTGATATATTGTTAACGACAGGAAATATAGAAATATGTAAATATAGAGATATAGAAATACATATTAGAAAGGAAGAGAAAGAGAGAGAAATTGAATATTACAATATACTGGCTTGCGTTTATTTATAAATTTATCAAATTATTCTTTTGTTTTCGCCATATAATACACGCATGTTTACTGTAGTAGGGAGTTAAGATTTATTATACGTAAATATGATTGTGAATGAAATCGTCATAATGAAGTCTCGGATGGTTTGAAAAATTCGCGATGGCACGATGATGGAATCGATGTAAACCACAAACAAACACACACACACACACACACATACGCACGCACAGACGCACGCATGCATATACACATCCTCATATACATATATATAGATATAGATAAACAAATATATATATATTGATATATATTTGTCTCTTTATCAGTCCCTGCGACCCTTCGTATTCAAAATTTTACGATTAAAACCAGCAATTTACCATTCCCCCAGTAGAGATTACCAAGTTACCGGTATCGTTTATATATAATAAACCTGCCGGAATAATAAATCTTTCTGCCGCCAAAATTATGCTCTGATAAGCGGAAAATTTGTATGCCACATTATCCCGATATAATCTTATCATTTCAAACCGGCGAAATATATTTTCCGATAGTTTAATAGTAACATTGTGTGATATTTTAAGAATTTAAATTTGAAACGTAGCAATTTGTACAAACAAAACATTACTAAACGTGATGTACGAATTAAAAATATAGAAAAAAATGGGCGCGTATAATTATCTAAACGTTTAATTAAAATCGATTATTATTATTTCCGATTTTCCGTAATATTCTCTTGTGTACTGCAAATGTATACGCATCGCGACCTGTACGGAATACAATTCTAAAGAAAACGTAATGGAAAACGCGCACTCCGTGGCCGCCTTGTATATTAATCGAGTTGCAGCAAATTATATTACAACTAACAATAAGAGAGAGTTTCTTAATAGCGGGTGTACGGAAGTGGCAAGGAAGTAACATTGTTCCGTGTTTCCAACGGCTTCAACAGCGGGCGAAATGTAGATCTACATCGTCGCTTATGATCCACATCTGTAGTACCGCGCGCGGCGGATAGCATTTCGCTGCAACCCCGGAGATGCAACCGCGCGCGCGAATGCGGCAGAAACAATAGGATAGAGCTCTCTCTCCTTTGGCAGGTCACTAACCCTGTTCGCGTGTAATATCGAGGAGGCTACATGTATATAATATCGACCCGCGGTCGCGCTGATAATGTACTTTTAACCTCGCAAGAATATCGCGCGCAAGAATACGTATCGCTCTGTAAACTCGGAGATGAATATTGGCCCAAGTTAGATTGCTTCGGCCAAGTTCCGACGTTTCCCCACTTTCAATCTGAGGGTGTATAACCGTGACGGTACGGTTGTGATCCTCATCAAGAGCCGATATCGAATATATATAAAACTCAAATAAGCACGCTGGCCATCCGACTGTGTCGCCAATCTGCCGCGATCTCTTCGCGGGAGCGGGAGCTCCTGTAATTATAAGCACTTTGAAATTTTGAACTTTTGATCTTTTATGCAGATCCAAGAAAAAGGGAATTGCCACACTCTGGCTTTATAAAATTATCCTATTACATTATCCCTATTCGAAACTCACTTGCAACTAAATCCGCGAAACGTGACGCAGCTCGCAAGGTCGTGGAACATCCATACGTGTCCTTACGTGTTATCCGTGGAAATCCATGATGGCCATGATAATGTCGCGATTAAACATTGACACGCGACTGAAAACTGGCAACTGTGTAAAGTAATATTATTATTTTTGGCTGAACATCACGTATATTTTAATCCATGAATATTCTATGAGCCAAAGACAACAGGGAACGTGACTGCAGTAGATAATAGCAACGAATGCGCATCGTAATATGAACGTATCGCGTGCTATTCTCTTATATTCGTGATAATTTTCCATAATTAGCTTAAAGCCATTGTTTTAATTAAATTCGCGTATTGATACTTGCTGTCCGAAACTAATACCTACGTCATGAAATTATTAAATCGCTCCCCCGTGCTAACGACCAAATGTTAAAAATAATATCTATATATATTGTCTTTATCCTATTAAACAAATTACTTTTTTCTTGCTGTATCCATTTTGTAATCTACATGACCACGGCCCTCAAAATTTTTCACGAATGATTTTTCTCTTTTATTGTCCGCCAAAATTGCAACGCGCCATTATTGCAAGAGGATTGGAAAATTACGAAAAACAATTAATGCGCACAGCTGACATACCTATATCCTCTGTTCATGAAATTTGAAACACTGCGTGTTTGTTCGGATTAATGAGTGCAAAAACAATAATCACGCTTTTAATAATTCGGATTGATTTTTTAAATTCTCACTTTTAGTGTCTGTAGAGCGCAAAATTCACGACCTTCTCAAAACTTTAAATAACTGAATTCCCGAGAAATGTAGGAAGTATACGGCAAGCGCGCCGCCCACGTTTCCTGCCGTATCCAATTCTACCTCTTTAGATACACCCGAGAAAAATCCGATTGTGCTAACGTAGAGAAACCCTTTCGCATCAAACGCGGTAGAGTACAAATTGAATCAAGGAGAGCGGCCGTTGTGTCGAGCAGCTGAAAGTGTGTGCGAGAAGAGAAAACGATTCGATTGACACTTTAACACCGTGTAATTAGTTATTTCGTTTGATGAGTCGCTCCGGCCATAACTTACGCAATTTGCCCGGGAGTTTGGAAGCCCCGTGCAGGGATCTCCGTAATTATTTGGTGTTACCGCCTCCGGAGCAATCAGGCGAAACTACACCCGGGACTTTTCCCTGAACGACCCGTTTGCTACCCGCGCTAATAATAATCGTTTAGCAGTTTGTGTAGATCGATTTATCACCGCAATCAAACCAACTTGCGCGAATTAACGTTTCTAGCTTCGTACTGTTGTGTATCGCTTTTTCACACAGCCAGTGACGCAAAGTGTTGAGAGTGTTACGGACAGCCGAGAGTTACGTAAGTTATATTGTTAATGTCTTGTGCCGCGTCGCGCACAAGATGATGACACTTCGGAGAAAAAAAAAGGAGCGCGTGATGCAAATGTTGCATAGTTGATTATCCGGGTCGTTGGACGCGGTAAGCTTCGTCAATGATTCTGACGTCATCGTAGTCTCTAAGGGATAAAAGCGCGATGCTATTTTTTTAATATTGCACTTGACCTTGAGATTTTTCCCACTTTCCATTATCTCAGACAGCAGAATGACGGCATTCTCGAATGACGCTCTCTACCTATGACGAACATGTCCGACGAAGCAAACCTGCGTTACGATGTTACTTCATTATGCAGCGGTTTTCGTATGGTGGGTTTGCTCCGTGCTTGCTCAGGATTCACACGTATTATACGCCAATGCGGGCTCTCGGAAGCGGAAAACGCGTAACTCGTGAGGTGCATTTAAATTAATACGGGGTGCGGTAAATGCGATATTGTTTTGCAAACACGCGCGTTTTCTCGAGCATAAATTTTGTCGGCTAAAAACGAGGTCGTCCTCGCGCGAACGTGCGCGCGTAGAAATTGCTGTATATCTACGGGGGATGTCAGGACCAGCGGGATTCCAAAGTGTATAGAAACAACGGCGTGAACTTTTTCCGAAACGAAATGTCCGATACACACATACTACGCGTCTTTTCTCTTTCGGGTTAAGGTAAGAGTTTACCACGCGTGCACGAACGCCTTTATCAGTGCGGGACATGCACATTCTGCATGTGTCTCCTTTGTCCCGTGCGAGCGTCTGATTCGATCGTAAGGAAATATCCGGAAACGGTATCGTTTGATGATTATAGCCACCCTTCATGCGACGCGGAAAATAGGAATTAACACGAATAATGTACGGGAGGTTGAACCGTGAAGGGATTATTGACTAAAAATACCTCCCCGGGGAAAAGCAGCAGCGCTTTCCTTTGGGGCGTTCGATGAAAATGTCAGATTTTTAGGTGCGCTTTCGCATCGCGTGAAATCCTATGCGACATTCTAAATTCTAAAAATTATAAAGGACAACGTTGGTTATGAAGCAAAAAAAAAAAGTAAAATCGGATAAGGACTGGCAGTTTATATAACATTTTTTCCTCGATACATTTACGAGAAGAATAATATATGTTGCTGAAATATTTAAAAAATTGAAAGTGTTTTTCACTGATCGCACTGGTGCACACTGAGTGCACACTTGTCGAGAGTAACGTTCATTGAGCTTTTCGGTGCGCACGAAGGCGGTGCGCGCTGTTTCACTGGAAGACTTGATGCCGAGTTTTTGTATTTTAGTACAAAAACGCGGCACACGCTCCAAGCGACGGTGCATATTCAGTTTCTCCCAGTGAAAAACGCTATGAGTTAAAGACAGATCTGAAAATAATTTTATAGGACCATCAAAATAATTATGTAGGACGTTCAAGCTGATTGTTAGAACATCAAAATGTTTTGCTCATCATACTTGAGTTGTTAGAGAATTTTGTAGATTATGAACTGGATATAATAACGCTAAAATCATTTTCCTCGTAGAACAACTTCCGGTAATACAATTTTACAAATTACTTTCACGTACGTTTCCTCAAAACGCGTCTTCGCCGTTATCAGTTGCGATCAATCTTCGATACGTATACGTGTTCTACTTCTGTTCGCAGACAGCAACTTTGTACTGGGAAATGCGCAGGTTCCGTCGATCTATCCGATCGTCTATTGCTCCGATGGGTTCTGCGAGCTGACAGGATTCGCGCGAGCGCAAATCATGCAGAAGGGTTGCGCTTGCAAGTTTCTCTACGGGCCGGAAACGAAGGAGGAAGAAAAGGCCATGATCGACAAGAGCCTCGAGAGCAAGACGGAACTGAAGATGGAGGTTGTCTTCTACAAGAAGAACGGTGAGTTTCTCTCCCCCGATGAGATATCTCCAATGACGGGTTGTTTCTGAACCGTGAGCGATCGCGCTGCGAGTATTACGCCGGCGTCCTAACAGGTTACCTCCGCTCCCATCACAAGAGATTATACATATTTTACGATGCGTATTTTCAATTTCGGTCTCTCTGGAAAATTACAATCGTTCGCAGTTTGATTTGCTCTTATCGCCCGATTTTCCTTATTTAAATTATATATTCCATTTATTAGCTTTAATTTTTCAATCCTTTAGAAGGTCGAAAGTGGAAAAGTTGAAAATAAAAGTTTAAAAAAGTCATTATGTAATATCGTGCAGTTTTATATAATGTGGACATAACGTGATATAGCCAATGTATTACATTAAGGAATATGGAATCTTTCTCTCTCTTTCTCTCTCTTTCTCTCTAATGATGATATTCATATTTTAAAAAGTCTATGAAGGAAAAGTGTATAAAAGAAGTGAAAAGAGGGAAAGAGAGAGCGAGAGAGAGAAGGACTTCATGGAATGGAGAGTCATTATCGATTTACATTTTTCGAGCTCGGGCGACATTAAGGAATACGATATTTTCTAAGGAAACTTGCTATGCAAAACCAAATGAAGTAATCTTGTGCCTGCACCGCTGTGCGGCCGCGCTTCGTTATTTCTTCGCGCAACGAGGAAAATCAATCTACGGTAAAGTTAATCGGGAAAGCCTCCCGCAATACACTTCTTCGTGTTATTATCTTGACCCAGAATTTATTTCTACCGGTGATGTAGTTTAACTAAGTTTTTCTGTTTCGCGCCCCGCGCGATTGCGAGTGGTAAGTCAATTGCCGATTCGCGAACTTCGCAAGGCCGCAATGCTTTGACGCCCCGGGAAGAGGCGAGATCAGAGAGCGCGATTACTTTTATTAAGTCCTCCGAGAATATCAAAACTATACTTATCCAACGTCGTCGTTCGCTGCAGCGCTTCGCATTACATCCGTATAACGCGAATAAAGACTAATGTATCGGAAACAAGAAGAAAAAGAAATCAGTTTTGAATGCGGGAGAGATGTCTCGTGTAAATAAGGGATCGTAAGGAACGTGTCGGGACGACGGAAATTCCCGTCAGTACACGGGCGCGATATTTCCTTTGTAGTCCACACCGACGTCGCATTCGCGGCAATTCCATTGGGAGGCATCTAATAAAACGTCATCTTATCTTCTATTGTGTAATCACGCTGTATTTTCATAAAAGCTGAGATACGATGTGCGCGTTTGCGGCGACCAAACGCGTACGTATTTTCGCGTTTTTCTTTTTCCTCTACTTTTTATGTAACACGTTTCGCAATTTTCCTCCCAAAAAATAGCTCGTTTTAAAAAAAACTTGACGTAATCCGTCGACATTTCAAGTCACGTTCTTTTTTGCACGCACGTACGTACGTACGTACGTACGTATATACGTACGTTTATACGGTATACAGTTTTGCAAGCGGAGCTGACGCAAATATCACGTAGCTCATTATCGGAGCATGTGGCTCTCAGCGGCGAGCGATTTACCGTCTCGCATCCCTACGGACGACGACTCCGCGGTCTCGCTCTAAAATTGATAGCCAATGATTATTATCCTTCCAGTTTTTCGCTTGCTTTCGGTAAACGGTTCCCCTCCGCCCTCTGTCCGCAGGAAGTCCATTCGATTGCCTACTCGACATTGTTCCGATAAAAAACGAGAAGGGCGACGTCGTACTGTTCCTGGCCTCGCACAAAGACATCACCCACACGAAGAACCTTCAGCTCTGTGAGTTGCACGATAGTGGTGAGTTCTAACCATGCTTCGCTGCTAAATACGCGCAAGTGGATCGATTTTAATGAGGAAATGATGCGTTCTCTCTCTCTCTCTCTCACGGCGCCGTGTGCCAAAAATACGACTTGAATTCGGAGTTTACGAGTTTCGCATCGCAGGACGGGTAGGAATTGGCCCTTTTACGTCTTTCTCTCACTCAAGCGCGTTTTTAAACGAGCCACAATACTTCGAGCACCGCGCGACACGCAACACGCTGCACGAATTCACTATCGCGGCGTCGGGGTTGGTAACCGAACTGTTCGCTCTTTGAAAAGTTTTCCCCGGTTTTAATCCCCACGCTTGTCAATAAAAGCATGCCCTTTTCCCGGATTTTCGTATGGTATTATCGTCAGTAAGAGTGCTCGTTCTCTCGAATTCGAATCGTAACATCAATTAAACTGGATTAGTCGGTTACAAACTTTACGCAGGATACTCACCAAACACAAAGCAATTCACCAATGCAACTAGAATTTGTATTATTATGCAAAAAGAATTTATTTATATTTTATTGTGTATGCAGATACTATTTATAATATTTATTTCTGCAAATGTATATACTGAATTTTTTTTCATTATCTCACATAGTTATAATCGCTGCAAAATAACAATGTTTATAAAGAGAAGGAAACTATCCTTATAACGAAATCTTTTTGTAATATATATTCGAATTTATTATTATATATTTGTTTGTATGTATGTATGTCTGTCTGTCTGTTTTATAGGATGTGTGTGTGTGTGTGGGTGTGTGTTACGCGCGCGCGTTTCTGTTTGCATATCTACTAATTAATGCTTTTTGCGTGATTTTTGTCTTTTAGTTTGATATTTCGATACGATTGTACATACGTAATCTCTCTCTTCTGGTCCAATAATAGTGCAATTTACAATTCCAGACTCGAATGGCAATATCGACCCTGAGGCACCGCCTTCCAATTACGGTAGAAGAAGAAGTCGCGCCGTCCTTTATCAACTGTCGGGCCATTACAAGCAGGACAATAAGCACAAAATTAAGCTAAACAATGTACGTTTGTTTATTTCGTTCAAAATTACTGCTGTCTTTTATGGAAGAAAAATGATGGTTTTAAAATGGGACGGTAAATTGATAAAATAATGAGAACTTATATTATCCATAATAATGCCATTATACTGGAAGTTGACAATTATTGCCTTTGTTCGTGAATAAGATTAAAATAATATAGATATAAATTTTCAACGAAGGATATATACCAGCATGAGAAATTTATTTCTCGATAATTAGCTTTTATGAAAGTCATTTTGCGAGTTAATTTGCATTCGGAACAAAAGCACTTTATTGTGCAAAAATACTCTAGAAACTGATATATTGTAGCAAAGAGTAACTTTGAAAAGTAAATACGATATTATTCGACCGCCGAGAAATTCGGTAACATTCAGGACGTGAAAGCTCGCTTCCTTTTACATTGCATATCATTCTAGACGCTTCTGCATTCAACCGCGCCGCCTTTACCGGAATACAAAACGACAACCGTGAAAAAGTCGCAATTTATTCTTAGCCATTACGGCGGTTTTAAATCCTGCTGGGACTGGTTGATTCTCATCGCGACCTTTTACGTGGCAATAATCGTTCCCTATAACGCGAGCTTCGTCAACACCGATAGGCCTACCATGGTCAGTGACGTTGTCGTCGAAGTGCTCTTCATTATCGGTGAGTATATCCCACCTACGATTTTCGACCCTCGTGAAACCCTTTAGACCTCTCCCTTATCCCTTCATCCCACTGATGAGATTCTCTGACCGGTAATCCTCCTGGATCATTCTAGGTAAACGCGACAATCCTCGAGTTAAAAAAAGAAAGGGTACGATCCTATCGTCCTTTTGCTCCGACATGCCGATAAAATGGAAATTAATTAGACCCCATCCGTGTTCGATATTGTTTTCAGTTTAACATCGACAAATTCATACATCGGCCCATTAAACATCGCGCTATATGCGTGTCGTGTGTACATAATCACGTAAATGAACGGTGCGCGCTGTTCCCTTAAGTAAGAAAATAAATCAAGGATCCCATCGTTACCTCGTAGTTTAGAAATCGATTGCTCCCTATCCTTTTGGAATAATGCTTCCGAGAAGGAAATGAGAAAAGTCCACCCCATCGTTCAATTGGCAACACGTGGTGCTCGTTAGACCGAAACCAAGAGAAGTGATCAGCCAACCTCTTTTCTCCTCTTAAGTGTCGCGTTATAATGAGTGGCTTTCGGGTTTCAATCCTCGAGCGGCTGCAGTCTCTTCCAGGAAAATAAAAACTTATCGGTTGTTTTGCGTAAATACATTTTTACAAAATGTAGAAACCTTTCGATCAGCTGACAAAAGTGTCTTAGGGAGTGCTAGGAACAACTAGCAGCGACGCGTTTAATCGAGTAAACAATAAAGCGGCTTGAACTTTTCGAAGGAAAGTTATCCGATAGTGGAACAGGTCAATTACGAGGAGGGCTTTTTAATGATGATGGAAAAAAGCGGTTTTTTTTGTCTCGAGAGTACCTTTAGCTTAATGACGAGCGCGCATTATAGTGCCGATCCTTTGATTTTATTTTTTTCAATCGTCCGCGATATCGAGGCCGCGGGCTAATTCTGACGTAAACGTTTTGGAACGTAGAATTCTGCAGCGATGTGTTGCGCGAACGACGATAAATAAACAACAGGCATTTTCAATACGTTCGCTTATAGTTTAACATCGATTTTTAACTGTCGAACGAAATTGCGCTGTCATGAAGTTGAACGAGGCAGATAAAATTCATATTAAGAGACGTCCGCATTATAAATTGGAACGGCACTCTTTCGTTTCCTTTCTCGATGTGCGCACGAACACGCGTACCGCGAAAAATTTTAACGACAGATTCCTCAGTTAAGTTTATCATATTGACGATTAGTGAATAAAATTAACGAGCAGCGATATACACCTCGTCTAGTATGTCGACGCGTGATATGTAAAATATCGACCATCCGCGACTTTTAAACGAAGTTACTTCACGAATAGGTGGACGCGGGACGTGAATTTCGCGGGCTAAAATCCAATTTGCAAACGGGATTAAAAGGCATTCATCGCACAAAGCCAAAGTTTCGCTCAGCTGCTTGATACGTTTGTAGGAATAGAAACCCGGCAGGACAACAAGGTAGGGGAGCCAGTTTCTCCTCTTCGTTTAGTTTAGACGATGTACACGCAGACTCGGCGTTTACATTTACTCGCAATCACGATTATTGTCACGCCCCGGGCTGAAAACAATGTTCCCCCTCCGTTTGAGAGCGAAAACGTACCTAATTGACACTTCGCCATAAAAAAAAAAGATTAATTTAGAAACAATGCAGGCAGACACGCTAATGGACCGCTTGTTTGCCGTAATTGTGATTTGTTCAGCAAGATTGACAATCTTTTCTGATTGTTAAAATGTAAAAAATCCATCTAATTACAAAATGCTCAAAAGATCTTAATTTAAATCCCACTCTTCGTTTGTCGTCCTTGTATTAATAACTTCCAAGATTTTACGGTTGGAGAGTGACGGTTATCAGATGCCGTCTCGTACTATGTGCGAAAGATCCCGATCGTTCCGTGCGCACATTGCGAATTGTATGCATGCTCTATTATTCCTCCCCAGATATCGTTTTGAACTTCAGAACAACGTACGTGAGTAGGAAGGGTGAGGTCGTCAGCAATAGCAAAAGCATCGCCGTGAATTACGTGAAAGGCTGGTTCTTTGTCGACCTCGTAGCGGCATTGCCGTTTGATTTTCTCTATGCCTCGGATGTTTACAGCGGTGAGGTAGGTATCTTTCATCCGCTTACAAATGGCTTTATGAGTTAGCTTATTTACCTTCGTACAAAAAGCAGATAGCTTTACACGATAAGCTCTTCTTTTTATTTTCGCAAAATATTAAATTTACGATCTCGTCTTGCAATCTTCAAGAGATTGGATCCAACTCTTTAATTGCACTTTCAAACTTTTAATCCAATCCAAGAAAAATTCCTCGTTTTTCGATAACATGGAAATTGAGTTAAAACAATAACGAAATATTAGTGCGAAACAAAGGTTTGGATAAGTATTTGAATTGGAATAAATAAATCTGTGTAGAACGGTTCTTAGTTTGTAGTTTTCGCGTCCTAATATCAATTTTGCGGTAATTGCTAATTTCAAATTTCCGTCATGCATCAACCCAATGAAGGGGGTAACTAAGCTAATTAATTTGCCCCAGGTGTAATGGAAAATCGATACCTTATGTCAAAATTAATTATTAAATTTTGTCGCGGGAAATATCTTCTTACTAAACGTTGCCATTTTTAATTGAATAAAATTCTCATTCGCAAAGTTATATGTATAAATGTTTTTAATGAATAAATTGCTTTCTGTTGAAGTTGGTAGCTTTACAATAAAATATACAATTAAAATTGCTACAGTAGCTACATATATACATACATACATACATACATATATATATATATGTATATATCTTTTAACTCGTCATTTTTTTAACGATTTACATTAATTAGACTTTGTACAGCGTCACCGATATATATATATATATATATATATATATTATATATAATATATAAAGTTAAAAGAACGTTCTCTTTGTCGATCTCTGTTACAGGAATCAGCGCATAGTATTCATTTAGTGAAACTCACAAGATTATTGAGACTCGCGCGACTGTTACAAAAAATGGACAGATACTCGCAGTATAGCGCGGTAATTTTAACGATGCTTATGCTCTTCTTCATTGTGGTGGCACATTGGCTCGCTTGCATTTGGTACGTAATCGCCGAAAAGGAGCGCTTGCGGAACGATAAGGATTGGGATTTAGGTAAGTCTCTCGAAGCAGCTTCGGCCGTCGTTTATAGTAATCGCAAGTTATATATATACGTACCGCGTTTCCGCAACACGGAACTGTTCACGGGGGAAAAATGAGACACCGTGTACATGGAAATAGTACTAGATTGCCAATCCCGCGAGAATACCCAAGTATTCTCTACGTTTGTACAAAAACAATCTAAGGACGTCCTTCGTGACCTATAAAAATCGCTCGACGCTATCTACCTCTTGAGAAAGCATGTCTACACATTCGACGTAGAATTGTGCGAACGGATTTGTAGCTATATAGCTAGAGAGATCCTATCGACATGAAAACCCTTGCATAAGATTTATAGGGATTGTTATCCAATAGTTGTTGAGAAAAGTTGTTTCGGAATCGCTTCTCGGCAGGAATATAAAAATATAAATGCCACGTCTCAAGTACAAAATATGGAAATAAAAATATAAATATACAAATAAAAGTTTAAAAAAAAAGTATAAAGCTGAATATTTATGCAGTCGGATATTTTTATTAAATTGTATGAGATTATTAATTGTATGAGAGTATTAATCAATACCTCAATGAGACGAAAGTATAGATGATAAACAGTCTACTGAAATAAAAAAAAAAATCTGTGAAACGCTAGAACTGCCATTAATGTGTTCCAGGCTGGATACATACGCTGGCTGAGAAATTGAAAATATCCGTGCAAAACGTCACGCACACAGAGAGCTACATAACGGCATTGTATTTCACTTGCAGTAGTCTAACTTCCGTTGGTTTCGGAAATGTCTCGGCAAATACGTTCTCAGAGAAATTCTTCTCTATTTGCACGATGTTGATTGGGGGTAAGTTTCAATTTTATCGATAAGAAACGAGATTGACGGGTTGGCCCGTTAGATTAAGTATTACGAATTTCGCGCTACTATAACGCGCTATAACGCTATTACGAATTTCACCATTAGTTCACGCGCTTGTCGAAAATTACTCGAGAATTATCCCTCTCCTGATATTGATGGCAATTTAATGTGAAATCGATCGTGTTCCATGTATATTTAATGCACTCCACCGCGGCGCATTGTGCGCAACATTGTAAGATTTATATTTCAGCTCTTATGCACGCTGTGGTATTCGGCAACGTTACCGCGATCATTCAAAGAATGTACTCCAGAAGATCCCAGTATCAGACAAAGTTACGGGATCTCAAAGATTTTCTAGTCTTACATCAAATCCCGGAGGAGCTCAAGCAGCGAATGCAGGATTACTTTCAGACTATATGGTCATTAAACCACGGTATCGACGTGCATGAGGTAAAAGTTATACCGGGGCTTTGTTCTTTTTAATTAAAATATTGTAACATGTACCGTTAAGTTCTGTTACATTAAAATTAAGCAAATAAAAAAATAATGATAAAAAGAATGCACATCGCTACGATAACTGTCCCATCATCGCAACATGTAATAATTCTTCCGTAGACCCTGAAACAATTTCCCGAGGAATTACGGGGAGATGTTTCAATGCACCTTCACCGAGAGATTTTAAGTTTACCGATATTCGAAGCCGCCTCACAGGGTTGTCTAAAGCTACTCTCGCTACACATCAGAAATAACTTTTGCGCCCCCGGCGAATTTCTCGTCCACAAAGGCGACGCGCTATCGTACATCTATTATCTGTGCAACGGATCTATGGAAGTTGTGCAAAACAGCATGGTGGTCGCAATCTTAGGTAACGAACGCAAATCAATACCTGCGTTTTATTATCCCCGATTTATTCTTTTTTTTTTTAATTTGTAATTAATTTTATTGCAAATTATGGATATATTTTGAACTTGAAACGTTTTACATTGGGTAAACATTACGTTGAGCATGTTAATTTTAGATGGGTTAAGATTTGTTTAACTTGATACGCTTCTCGATGCATAAAGTTATTAATTTGCGAGCGGACCTCATCCCTGACGTATATCTTTCAAGGGAAGGGAGATTTAGTTGGGTGCGACATAAACGTTCATTTGCAACACGGGAATAATGGCGGCGGCACGACTGGATCTGGCTCGGTTGACGTAGTAAAATCCAGCTGCGACGTCAAGGCGTTAACATATTGCGATTTGAAGTGCATACACATGCAGGGTTTAGTTGAGGTCCTCCGGCTCTACCCCGAGTACCAACAAGAATTTGCGCACGATATACAGCACGATCTTACATACAACCTACGTGAAGGATACGAGGCGGAGGTAATTAACTCTATATACTCTCTTAAGAGAGAGAGAAAGGAGGAGAGGAGTAATAAAGGGAGAGAGAGATAAAATTACTAAAGGCACGAGATGTGTAACTTTAATTATTAAAGACATATTTAGAGAACTATTAAAAAGAGTTTATTTAAATAAGATATTTAAATATTTCAGAAGATATTCATTTTTACAATTTTCAATAGTAGAGATGCCTAATTTTATATATATATATATAAAAAGTAAAAAATATATGTTATAATATATATTATAACATATAAAAAAATATATATATATTGTTTTATATATTTTATATATGAAGCATATACTTTATATATCTTACGAATATTTTAATAAATACAACGAGTAGGAAAAGATTACATATTGAATATCTATACATATATAAAAAATAATGATATACGTATTATCATTATTTCACAAAGATCACTGAGCTGGACTTTGTCCAGACGTGAAATTTATCAGTTTTCTTGTCGTGTAAATTTTAGCAGGAGTCCGATATAAATGGCCCGTCATTGACACTACCCTCCATCAGCGAGGACGACGAGAACCTAGCCGAGGAGGGCGAAACTTCTCCCCTCTCACCCCCAAACAAATCACCGCTTCACACCTCTTCGAGCCCACGACATGCCAAGTTCAGGTAAGCCCCTATTGAAAAAAGAGTAGAGAAAAAGCGATTCTAATATTGAAAAAAAAACCGGCAAGGTTATTGAACTGTCTCTGAATCGAACTGCATACGAAAAGCTAAAAAGGGAAGACGCGTTAAGTAAACGATGACAAGATAAAAATTTTAACGGTTGAAAAAAGAAAGATAATAGACAGACCGTGAGAGTGGAAAAAAAAGTTTAACTTGTAGTTTCGAACTTTTTGCTTTCCCACTTTTTTCCGACTAAACTTTTTTTTTACGTCCATCTTTTTCGAGAAAAATATAGCTTAAATATATATATTTAATTCTTTTTATTTATCGAATATCATATTCAATACATTGTTACTACGAGAAAAAAAGCATTCGTTTTTTTTTATAATGGTTTAAGGAATTTATCATCATTTAATTAAGTGCAAAATAAAACTGAGGTGTAAGAAAAATACTCCGGATTGTAAGAGGCGCAATTTGTTGGTACCCTCTCTATACAAGAAAGAAATCCTCAATTGTGAGATAACACGATTTTCCGCTCGGAGAACTTGGGAATATCCCAAAGTCGCGTTCGAGTCGGCTTTAGACGATGATATACCTATATCTGTCTGGTAAATTGTAGAGGGGTATAATCCACTTTTGTATTCCTTACTTCGGGATTTTCGCGCCGTGATTCCGATATCGCTTCACTGAGCGTTCTCGATATTTCGGATCGGAATAATGAGGAGTAAAGTTAACTTTGTTTGGAATATCAGGGAGGATTATAGGGAAGGGCGACGAGCGGGAAGGGGCGTCTTGCTGCGAGGAGGACGGGCTGCGCAAGTGATCGCGCAAGAATCTGTAGAGGAGCACATCCGAGGATCGGTTGAGAGACTCGATAATCAGTTTTCCACGCTGCATCAGGACGTTGCGACGCTCAGTTGCGAGGTACTTTATACGGATCCTTCGTTTCAATCCGGCTCAGAGACATTATGCAAAATTGTTTTACACTCACTCAGCTATAACCGGTACTTCTCAATCCTCCGAGACTTCTTGGCTTTAATCCTTTAATCTAATTTCTTTTCGTATTTGAAAAAAAATTACGTAACGTGTAAATATTAATCTTGAGATATGAATTACACTTTAACTATTATACTACAATAATTTAATAATTTAATATAAAAAAAGCAGTCTTTTGAAGCAATTTTTAATGTAGCACGGCATATATATAGAATAGTACAATACAATAAAATACTATAGCTATGGCTAAAAAAATAAAATGGAATTTAAAAATATATAGATGTAATGAATTTATAACTTCAAAATTATACGACATTATGGAGGGATTAAATGAAAATCTACGAAGACGTATAAGAAACGAGTAAGTTTTAAGAGAAACTTTTCGGAGGATTTTTTTCTAAAACTAAATTTCCAGTTTTAATTTTTTTCTGTTTTTTAATCCTGTTTGGGTAAGCTTAAAATATACCCACGGATTATTTGAGAGGAGCTCAGCCGCGAGATTAAAATGACGCGCGTTGAATCGACAGGTGCGCAACGCCATTCAAGCGTTGCAGATGCTCGCCTGTTCACCCCAGAGTAATCCGAATCTGCCGACCCCGGCGGCGAACCGGGGCAGCGGGGTCCTCGCGAGGAGCTCGTCCCATCCTCCGGACGCCATTTGTTGGAATCCACCGGCGAGATTAATCGACGCATCGACGCAGACGGATTGGCCGGTCGACCTGTTCGAGACGTGGGTGCGCGCGAATCCCCGCAGGGCCCTAAAGGCCCTCGGCCTCGATCCGGACGTCGTTCTCAGGCTGCCACCGCCGTCGCCGACGCCGTCGCCGTCTTCACCCCCGCCGCCGCCCTACGAGCCCCTATCACCTCTGGCGGGTTCGCCGCAGCAATCGCCCTCGCAATCTCCGACTGCAGGTAATTTCGTCCCGCTATATATACGCTATATATATATATCGAGGGGACTTTCGCGTTAGAGGCATTCGTAAAATAAATCAAATCGCAAGGGATTGCCGGGAGCTTATTAAAATAATGGCTCGATGCAAAAAGATTTTCCATCAATTGAACGACGAGGGACAGTCTCTTGGGTAGGTAAGATACACGTGGAAAAATAACGCTTCTTAAGGAATAAATGTACATTCTCCCCTGGGGATGAGATATTTATATATTACGAAAAAGATACTTCTCATCATAGGGAGGGTAGTCACTCGTACGATTTCGTGGACATACATACGTTTCAACGTTTTTCGCAATAGGGATATTTTTCCGAAGGAGAAAATGCTCCCTTGTGTGAAAGAGTTTCTCCATCATGAGAAATACGTTTTTCAACGTAGCGCAGAGACGTCTCGTTGCGGGGGTAGCTGCGAGCTCCGCTCGTACGTTTTCCACAAGAAGGGTTACGCGATGGCGGACTTGAAATGGGGTATCGTGCAAAGGGGATACCTTTCACCTTAGCGTCCTACACGGGACGTACTTTTGCAAGTTATTCGCATTTGTGGTTTTTCTAGCGGATATTTTCTCTTTTGGCAAGAATATCTCTACGTGAAAAATAATCACGCCATGACACGTCTCTGACAAACTCATTTATTTACCGTACAAGTTAACTCTTTGCGCTCCACAAATTTAATATTTTGCTCCGCCAATTTTTAATGAAAATAGAAGGCGGTACGCAAAAGGGGCCTGCGCAAATTTTAAATACCTTTTTTTTATAGAAAGCAAAGAATACATTGGATATTTTATAATATACGTGTTATTAATATGTTTAAAAAATAATTTATTACATTTTGATTTAAATTTTAATGACCTCATTGTAATAATATAATATCGTTTGAAGCATTTATCCGGATGAAGTGCAAGTTTTCTGTCGTATTAAATTTAGGTGCCAAAAATTCAAATTTGTTAAATATTTAACAACGCAGTAACGAGAGTATATAAATCGAAATATTGAAGTAATACGAATCATACAGATATCAAAACTACTTTTAATTAAAAAAAAAAACTCGACATTGGACATCTTAAGGGCTAATCGTCGCAATTACAAATTCTGCCAACTTTCTGCGGTATACATGTCTGTAACAAATCGTTCGCTTTGTTTCGTACATCCACGTTGTTCGACACGGAGACTCGGCATCGTTTCGCCGACAAGAGTCATTTGTACGTCGGACGTTTTAAGATGTCTTTAAACTGATTTCAGGAAATGACAGCTACGTTTTCGGAATTACACGCGACGCTCGCCACATTCCCCGGTTGTACAGGCCGCCCAATTCAGCCTGGGATCCCGACAACAAGCTGTGGCACCGCTTCAGCGCCGGCGACGCCGACAATGCGTCGCTGTACCAGGCGTTACGACGTCTTCCGGAGTCACGCTCATTGAAGTTCGATTCGTTCGATAGCTGAGCTGGTTAATTACTCACGAGCCCGCGTCCCGCACGAAGAAAAAATTCATTTCCCGTTGCCGACGCAAACGCGGAGGGAGGAGCGACGCCGGATTGAAGAAGAAAATCGTAAATCGCAAGTCCAGTAAATTTATCGATAAATTAGTTTTATGCGTACCTACTATCTTGTACAGAGGAACGTCTGGAAATTTTTTTTTCAAAGGCTTGCGGCGAAAAACTGGTACGCTAATCGGAAAATTATCAAACGCGATAATTTAAAAGCTACTGGCTCGAGGCAATAAATGTTTGATTGGCAGGTCAATCGCGTTATTGTCGAACTGTTGGACATTCATCGGGATAAATAGCCCGTCGGCGCTTTAATGGCACGGACAGAATGGAATAATTTCTGATAAAATAAAAACTGGGACCGTAGAATAAATTGCTGGAGGGGGATTAATCGCGCAGTCCGCAAAATAGAAATGGGATACATATGACGATATACGTGCGAGATTGATCAAAAAGCGGTTATTTCGAATCGCGCGATAAATGCGCATGCATGCATACGTCCGGGCCCGTAATGCAACGTTTATCGTAAACGTAAACAAGCGCTCGTTGACGCGACACTAGATTACTCGTAAATTGACATTTACGTTTCCTTTCGCCGTTAACGTCAATTCGTGATCTCGTTGTAATATTTAACTCTTGAATGCATCCCCGGCTATTTTCGATTCGGCACGAGATAAATTAAGACTGACGTAACATGCATATCAGAGCAAATATGCTTACAATATTCCGTTTAGGCACGCAAAAACTGCAAGAGAAATGTCATGTATAAAATAATATTTTCTATGCCTTATTGTACCTAATACAAATGTACGCATATATCCAATTACGATATCTCGCGTCCAGCGATACACATAATTTATTAATATTACATTATCTCATTTAATACAAATCGATAAATAATAGATGATATATATCCCAACAAAGGTATTTTTGAATACAAAACTTTTCAAACATTTTCGCGACGTCTTAGCACATGTTAACGGAAGATTTCATTAAAGCGCCGTGCATTCAAGGGTTAAGCGATACTGTGTACATTGTCCTAGGCATTTCTCACTGCCAAACAGGATAATACCTGACTTTAACAATATCTCTACTCTTTCGTTCTCAAAATAATATATATTCATCCCTTGAACAAAACAAACTCTCGCCTGCGTCACTCTACGTACGTATAATCCTATATTATTTAATGATTATGTACAAAAAAAAAACGTACGTTGAAAACGTACGCTCCGCAACTAATCCTATACCCGAAAGAATTATAATTATCCTGCCGTCTGCAACTACCTACGAAAACATTATCCCGAAAGTCTAAAACCTAATCTCCCACCTATTACAAATCTACACCACGAGAAACGTTTTCTACTTAATATTAAATGACGTATAATTTTGTAGATAGCCGTATTACGTGCGCGTTAAATTTAATTCATGCTCATATATATATATATATATATATGTATATATAAGCACAGCTTGAGGGGTATCGGGTCTTCGCTCTATTACGTTAAGTTGCATGTCTCTCCGTTGAAACAAGCAGGTATACCGCTTCGCGCAGCTCCGTCACTCTTGCGAAGCAATTCCATGAGATACCATACGTATATATCACGAAGGAAGTTTACGAGTCGCGTTTATTCAAAAGTTTAGGGTAGCAATAATGTGCACACACAACACATTTTAATGTACACCGTCGACGTCCAATCTAGAGAGTATCCGTAGTATGTTCGTTAAGTAGATATAAAGATAATGAGACGCGTTCTTCGCGCGCCAGAAGAGACGACGACGACGACGACGACGACGACGATGATTCGGAGAAGTGACACGATGCCCTGTCTTACGGCGCAAAATAACTTCGAGCACATATTTCCCGCCGAGGGAGAGAGAGAATGCCGTGTCGATCGTAAGCCATGTGTCACGAGAATCTGTCTTACCTAGCTGTAAGTACTTCTTAGATTATAATCATGACATGTACATATTATTAGGGAAAGCGACGTTGAAAATATGTGATAAGGCACGGCTTTGGCCATGCACGACTACGTTCGTTCAAGCGACTTCCGTCGTTATTTGTGAAAAGTTCGACGGCGCCGCCGCAGTTACGGAAATGGCAGTTCGGTTTATTCATTTGTCGAGAAATTGAGATTCCTGATTTATATTCATGCGGCAATCGCGCGAAAAAGGACTGATAATCATGGAACAAGTCTTCTTAATTTGAAATTTCGAATTAGACATTGTTAACGTGATGAGACATTTTCGCAAATATCGTTGGAAGGGGAGCTGTTTTATAAATATTTCATATATTTTGTTATACTATTTCTATGCTCCTCGCATTATAATTCAAGCTAGGTACATATTACAAAACAAGTTTTATCTGACACCCTTTCATGACTTCTACCACTTTTTACACTCCTATAAACGCGGGGGACTGCGAAGTAAAGTAGCACGATCCTTCGTGGATTCTATCGTAATAAGGTCAATAAGCACAAACAGTAATAGAACAGTTTTCTTCCTAATTATCTGTTCGAAGTCGAGGACCTCTCTGAAGTATCTTTAAGAGTATTTTTGACCGGCTTGGTCGTACGTGCGTACGAAACGGACGTTACACAGCGCGATGCTGTGCTCACGTTAATCCCTTACCGCGTAGTCACAATTTTCCGTCGTAAAAGGTTGCATGCACTCACAAAACAACACACGTGTGTGTGTGTGTGTGTGTGTGTGTGTGTGTCTCAACGGTGTATAAAAATAGATATTAAAGTATTCTACCTCTTTAAAGGAGAGATATAGAATTTAATGTATTTTTATCGGCAATAATACAAGAGGATTCTATTGACGACGACGGATGGATTGAAATATGTAAATACATTTCCCCGCGCGAAATGTGACGCAATAAAATCTCGAAAGAAATATAATAAATTTTGACAAGCCCATCGGGGCTTGTGCGTGTATTTCGGTGATGCTGTGCCGTAAGGGGTTAACCCAGAAATCATTATACGTGTACATACGTAACTGCGCGTACAAAAATAAGCCGCAAATTTACGTGTTGAGAAGTCAAAGAGATTAATTCTCCTAAATTCGCGCTCCGCGCGCAGCCGTGTCTCTCATTGTACATTTTATCGACAGAACTAGTTAGGGAAAAACTTCAAATGACGGCCTTAAAAATAAAGATTTATTTTTTTCACGATGATAAATGTCTGGCAACAGGTGAACGTAGCGAAGCGCGAAGCGATCTCTAAAAATGATTCGCCGAGCGTAAGACGCGAAACGGAAATAAAACAGGAAATGCGAAAGAGGGAGGAAAAGAGAGAGAGAGAGAGAGAGAAACAGATATTTCTTCTACGACGTTAATCCTTATAAAAAAAATATATATATATATATATCTCTCTGAACGTTTGTAAATATTTTTAAACACTTGTACAATGTGCTTATAAGTGGCATTCTTTGTTCGACCGATGGGTTATAAATAATAATAAATGAAAAATAATCATAAGCAAATACACTGCGAACATATATTCTGCGACGCGAATATTTTCTCCGTCAGAGTTTCTTCCCGAAATATAATTAATTGCAGAAAAAAAATGCGTATACATATATTTTCTTGTATAATACAAAGGAATACGAAAGTTTGTCGCGTCAAACTTTGCATCAATTATCACGGACGGTGCACGAGAATCTGGAGCTATATTAATTTATATAGCAAAGCACAGCAGCCGAGGGAAATCTCACAGTCAAACTCGCGTAAAACTCGTGTGGAAATGCGAGTCTCTCTCGCTTTCGCGGCAACCGTAAACGGACACTTCTACGGATGGCGTCTACTTTCCGTCTACGGTCCGCCGAGATTTACTCCCCTGCGAGATGCGAGATCGAGCGCTGCGTCGCAACCCTGGAGCGCGCGCGGATGCTGGATCCTCGCCGAACGTGTCTCGTCGAATCGCGCTCCAGCGCGACACACGGACGAAGATGCGATACAGATCGTGCCGCGCGCGAGAGCAGAAAATAAACGTGTTACGGGGGGCTCGCGGCGGGCCATTTTTGGGATCCCCACCCCGCAGAGGCGACGTGACACGCGCGTCCTTCCGCCGCGCGCTTTTCGCCTGAACGGCTTTTCCGTTCTCCGCTCAGATACTCGTCTCACGCTGCTCCGATCGCTCGGGTTTTGGTAAGTGCATCACCGTCGTCGGCAGCGCGCTTATCTCCCGCAGTGAAAACGCTTCGCTTCGCTTCTCTTTTCTCTCTTTCTCTCTCTCTTTCTCTGTCTGGCTACCTCTCTGTCTTCTACGCTTTACCCCGTGACAGCGCGATGCGGAACAAGCTCCCGTTGGCGAGTGGAGAACGGCGGAAGTGGCGACGAAGGCAAGGATCGCGCAACCCCGCCCGTCGCAAGGATAAATCGGCGGATCGATAAGTGCTCAACTAACCAACGGCACTTGAACTTTTAAGAAGGCTTTAACTCTGGAATTTTAGCGACTCGTCGGCCTATTTAACGGCGTCCGTAAGTAGTATCTTTACGATGCAATCAACCCTCTGTGCGGATGTTGATCGTCGCAGTGAGATCAGTGAAGGGTATCAGCGAGAGGAACGCGCTCCGTTTATTAAAATACGAGTGTTATTAGAATGTGCAAAAAAAATGCATCCCGAAGAGGATAAAGTGCTCTGAAAGAAAATCATACTAAACGATTCAGTGCTGATAGTTATTTAGTGCTTGAAATTAAAAATTGAAAATTTCTGCGTGGCTCGTTTCCAATACTTAACATGTGTGTTTCTAACGTTTCGAACGACAATCTTCTATCTGCTCTAGCTTACGTTATCTGTCGTGATCCAATTTATATTTTTAACTTCTTTTTTTTTATTGGACGACGGAGACGACGTTTAACTTCTTACAGGAAGCTATTCGTTTCACGAAGGCACCCCGCAATGTCTTGGGGACTGGACAGCTTTGCGAGACTTTCTAACCGCTGCCAAATAATAACAGCTCTGCTAACGCTTCAGGAATTTGCTTTCGGGCTTAACATAAAGGCAATGCCGTAAGTAGCATTTGTAACTGTCAACTGCGTGCATGTGCGCTGATTCGTTATGTATACACACTTTGTTAAATATAATAATATTCCCTCGAATAATACTCTTTATGTAACACGATAAGTCTATCGATTTCGCACGAAGAGGAAAAAAAATTGCACGTGAAAAAATATCCGCGCGATAATTACGCTCAAATCGTAATTTTTTTTTCTCGACGGTAGACATAATAGATATGATATTACATCACTTTGATATCAGATGACAAATGTAATCAGCAGCTCGGCAAATTAATTATTAATACCTCGGAATCAGATATTACATGTTGGAATAATATTTTGCTCAGTTTTCGTAATTTGTAAATCTCTTAAAATAAATAGAGTAATTTGATTTTTTTTTCGTTCTTCTGGTTGGGAGAAACGTTTATTTTATGTGGCGAGCACAGGCACTTGAAAGATAGCTTTATACATATTGAAAATCAATATAACATATATTACATATTGTTACGTGCAACTATCTCCTTAACGGCATTTCTGCTTTAATGTGTTTTCATACATATTGGGCATTGTTTTGAATCTCTCCTCCGCGCTATTACAAATTTGATTATTCTATGTCACAAACAGTATTACATTTAATATACGCGAATTTACATAATAATATTCTCTCGTTTTAAATTGCGATATTATTCTACGTGGCATCGAGTATTTCATTACGTCCCACGTTAATTTTGCGATATTGTCGCGAAGACTATCATCGCGAGCCTCGAAGCTTCGCTCGATTCGCGAGCGTAAAATTCGCGCGAGGGGCCCGCCGCCGCGATCGCGCGAGGGACCCGCCGAAGTTTTGTAAAATGCTATTAATACGCGTCGGTTAGATCGAATGTCGGTCGACGGTGGCGGCCAAGTAAAGCCCGTTCTTCTGGGTTACACTCGTTACGTTTTGGCTTCTTCTTGCGCCGCGGCGCGGCGTCAGAGCTTTTGCTCGCGCCGTCGTTCCGCACATATTTATAGAATCGGGCTGTAGATGCTATTTCCGTAGACGCCCTGATGCGTGCTCCTCCTCGTGCTTACGCGTTGCGATCACCTACAGGAATTATGGCTTTGCGGAGAACGTCGGGCTCGATGGCTCGCAAGCCGCGCCCGCGCGGCGGGCACGCGCATATTTTCGGCGAGAGGCCGAAATGCAGCCGCCTCGAGCTCAAAACACGGCTCCCACGTCTTCGCGCGTGAAAAAGCACGAATACGCCGTTCCGTCAACGACGATGGAATTTACAGCGCGAACGTTTATGTTTTTCAGCAAACTCGGTAATTTCGTTGGTACGGTCCGCAAAACAAAGCCGCCACCATGGATGTCATCAAGAAGAAGATGCAAGCGATGAAGCTTGAGAAGGACAATGCTATGGACAAGGCCGACGCCTGCGAGGGGCAGGCAAAAGATGCGAATTTGCGCGCGGACAAGGTCCTCGAGGAGGTCGCGGACCTTACGAAAAAATTAGCTCAGGTTGAAGCCGATCTCGAAGCTAACAAGCAGGCTCTCGAGCAGGCCAACAAGGATCTCGAAGACCGCGAGAAATCTCTTACTAATGTAAGCTCGTTATGTACATATTGCTTGTTAATTTTAACGACATTCCTGAACTAAAAATAAGACTTATATACGTATTATATTATATATATAATAATATATAATATATACATATTTTATATATATTATATATTTATTGCTATATTTTATAAAATAAAGAAATGCTGCACGAATTCTGGTCCTCACACATTCGATCCTTTTAGGCTGAATCCGAGGTTGCTGCCCTTAACCGTAAAGTCCAGCTTATCGAGGAGGATCTCGAGCGCTCGGAGGAACGATTGAACACCGCGACCGCTAAGCTGACCGAAGCTTCGCAGGCCGCCGACGAGTCTAGCCGGTAATTGCACGACTTAATCGATCTACCCGTCCGTTGTTACCGCATTACGAAATGTGATACGAATTGCAGTATGTGCAAAGTATTGGAAAATCGCGCGCAACAGGACGAGGAGAGGATGGACCAACTGACGAACCAACTGAAGGAGGCCCGCCTGCTCGCTGAGGATGCCGACGGAAAATCTGACGAGGTGTCGCGCAAGCTGGCCTTCGTTGAAGACGAGCTCGAAGTCGCGGAGGATCGCGTGAAATCCGGCGAGGCGTGAGTGCCAGATCATTTGGCTTAATGTCAAAACAAGTAAAACAAACTCGGTTATATTTTTATAACTTATCCGTTTCCCGCTTTCTCGCAGCAAGATCATGGAGCTGGAAGAGGAATTGAAGGTCGTCGGTAACAGCTTGAAATCTTTGGAGGTCTCCGAAGAAAAGGTACGTGATTCTTAAGTGTGTTAACAATAAATATTATATACTTACATTCAATAAAAATGTTAAAACGTTCAAAATTCAATTAAAATGCTCTTTGTTATCAGGCCAATCAACGAGTCGAAGAATTCAAACGTCAACTGAAGACTTTGACGGTCAAATTGAAGGAGGCCGAAGCCCGCGCCGAGTTCGCCGAGAAGACCGTCAAGAAACTCCAGAAGGAGGTGGATAGGCTCGAAGGTGAGTTCCATACATTTAAATATATATAAATATCATTTCCTGTCACGAGCGGCGCATGTGGAAATAAAAATTATCATTTCAGATGAATTGGGCATCAACAAGGACAGATACAAGTCGTTGGCCGACGAAATGGACTCGACGTTCGCCGAATTGGCAGGATATTAGATTACTTTCTATCTCACTACTCTTGTGCCTAATAATCTTCTTGTCGGGATATCAACATTCTGTGTTTTTGGCGAAAACCCGTTACTGAAGCTCGATGTCGATTCGTTTTGACAAAAAAAAAAGGAAGAGACATGGTCGGAGTTAAGTGCCTTGGACATAACACACGTATTACACTTCACGTCCTTTGTAATTAATGTTGTTATTGTAATGGAATTATCGACGCGTGACCAAGCCGTGATTAATTCTACTCTGTTACATTATTGTACGAAAGATTAAGGGACATTCAATAAACAGTAACATAAACTCAATAAAGGGAATATAAAAGCGCATTTCTGCACCAAACGATCAAGCGATATTTTTACGCTTGGCATTTTCCTCATTTGTATACAATGGCATACAGTCTAAATATCACAAATTCGTATGTCTGCAGTGTAGCTTCCTCATGCGGGAATAAAAAAAATAAATTTTTTAAAATAAATTTTAAAAATGATATACATGTAAACCTTCGGATACTGCAAGTCAAAAAGTTTGATACTATGAGCAGGAATTTAATTTTCTTTACGTTAGGTTGTGAATGAACATTTATTCCAACATTTGAAAATAAGAATATTGGATAAAGCTTCACAATAAAATTAGCTATTCTAGTTCTCAAATCGATATATCTTCAATTTTTAGTTCCACCTCTTAAACAGCCATCAACTCGAGAGAAAAGAACAAACGGAGATAATTGTATATTATCATATTAATTTCTAAGAAATTCTCAAAATACATGTGTTTTGATTTACGAGTTCCAACCCCTTCGTACAGGAATACTATCCTATATCTTTCTAATATAAAAGAATTATTCTTATAAAATACGCGATAAAATTATCACTTCGGAACTTTAAATATTCTAAGTTTATAAATAAATATTTCGCAAAATATTTGCATTTTGATTTTTTAGTTACAATCTCTTTGCAGAAATACTACTTTTACCGGCATAGCACAATTTGAGAAACAATTAATAAGCGAATATTTCATAGGATATATATTATATTAAGTGTTAAAAAGCATTTGAATCGTTCTCAAGACATTTAGTATATTTTTAATATATTTAATAAATGTACATAGAACGTATATCATCAAATGGGATATAAATCGAGCAGTTTTGTCTTGTACTATGTCTCCAAAGTCATCAGAGCACTTCTCATTCCACACGCCTACCTTCGTCTACTATGTACAACGCAAATAAGACTCGTGAGAAATGATATTTGTGCACCCTATAAGCTTCACATAACATTGATCTAGAAATTCTTACAAAACCGCAAATACAATGACCTTAGCCACTCTACGCATATGCAATTAAATATTATGCTATAATGATTAGATCGAGTTTACTCACAATCAGACGCATACGTCGCATAGTACTACTATTAACGTACATCGCATATCACCGTTCGAACATGTTTATAAACAACAATAATCCATACATTCAACGTTAAATTATTGTGGATGTACGATATTCAGTTCCACGATATAACGTATAAAGAGTGATCTTTATATTAAATAGAATTTGCGACCTTAAAAGGCTGTCGTAGTTAACGCGGTAAACAAGAAGACGATCTATGAAAGTAGCAAAAGATTGCGTAATCATGCAGCAATATATCCGACTGCGCACCACGATAAAAATGCGTGTACTATTGCAATTCATAAGCATTTATGAATGTCTCAGATTATAAATCCGAAGTATCCGTGGATATTTAGGATGCTCTATATAACGTGACATAGATTTTTCTTCGATCTGCACGCGCGACGTTGATTTAACACATCGGCATCGGATTTTTATCGACATTCGCAAAATTGTTAACAAAAAGTTCGCTTTGAAAAAGGCATCTAAAAAAGACTACATCTAGCCTTATCATTTTATCTGTCTCTTCTGAACGATGTAAAAAATACCTTACTATTTGATTACACGAAGAAAGCGCCTTAATGTGTGTTGTAGGGAACATATGTGTCGCAACTGACACACTCATCAAAACAAGTTCAAAAAGTCTTTGTACTTTAACGCCGATCATGCGATTAGATATGGAAGTTAAAAGAAAGGAAGATAGGTTCAATAAACAACGGTGTCGATGAAATTAATTACGAATTGCAATCAAACCGCGACATTCTGCAGTAATCTATTAAATATGTCATAAATATGTGAGTTAATTAATTTACTAGCAGGCAATATGGCAAAAACCGCATTCATATAATGATATTCCGATTTATGAGTGCGAAACTGCATAACACGAAAAAAACGATTTCACTCTTTAACATCCCACAGTATTACCTCTCACGTGACAATGTAAGTATCGTTCTCAAGTAAGTTGTAAAATTTTCTGAGATATAGATCTACTTGTGAATGCATGTGCACATCTTTGGGTAGAAATTAAAAACGAAAGACCTTAGAATCTCCTGCTATAATATCTAATAAAATAAGAAGTCTTTTAAACATCAGCATTTATATATCGTCGAACAAGAAATGTAAATAAAATGGTAATATAAACACGAGTGCATTCTTATCGCGAACGATAAAACGTTCTCGTGAACGCGTAAAATTATAAAATAAAATGTTATTCTAAAAAAAAAAAAGAATTAAAAGATGTTAGATTCCTAAGACGTTCGATGCGACATCGGAAGGACATTCTTTCATTTATTCGTGTTTTTGTTACGACAATGCATGCAGAACGACATAACATTGAGTATTTCAATCGACAAGCACACATAACATACATATACGCACGCATGTGTATATATATATATATATACATTTAGTTCGATAGACAACAACATACTTTTCGAAATACAACTGCGTAAAAGCGCGTGACATTTCACGCTCTCTGTTAATATTCTTATGAATGGCATGCCACAAAAAAAAAGAACTATACATAGCGCCTTAATTTATATAAATATACACATATTTCATCATTTATTCTTTCTTTATATTATCAAAAACATTAGATTAGGTTGATGTGATCAATTGCACGTAGCATTATGACTGATCTATGATGCAAGATTACATCGTTGTACTATATACATTTTTCGACGCTGCGAAAATGAAAGATTAATGGGTTACGAAATAAATGTGTGTAAAGAAGATAATTTACGTGATATATAGTGTCATAAGTACACCAATACTAAATTAATATAAAATTTATTTTCATTTAAAAGGAAAAGAGCGACGAGAGGCGAAAAAAAGTGAACTGATGCAGCATACGATTACATACATTCATACAGCATTCTAAATTTTGGTATCGAGTTTATACCAAGATGATTACAATCGCAACCATAATCTTAAAAAATTTAGTAGCAATACGCTCTGTGTGTTCGACAGAACTGTGTCAATAATACAATTTGCAAGTAGAAAATATGACATAATTTCTTTCGGGAGAATTTCTTAAGAGAGAGATGCTTACGATATTTTATCTAATGTATCTTAACATCACACGAGTTATGCCATAACTCTTTCATTTCCTATATCTTGTATAATACATATATAAATACACAATACATTAGATCATTTTAAATATGAATATTATATCTCCTTTGTAATACGTGTAGATATATATTTTTTCACAGTAAACACTACTAAATCATTGCCTGCTATTTCTATGTTTAGCATAAAATATTAGTCTATAATTATTTATATTATATTAGACTATATAACGCATCTATTAAACACAGAAATACTAGGCTTGCAATGATCTAAATGTTTATGTAATATAATATTTAAAAAGAAGGGAAATGTATACGTTTATATGTATTACAAAGCAAATATGATATACATATATGATCATATTCAATTACTTACAAATAGTTTTTCTTGTATTACTAAATCAGTGCTACATGTGATACAATATATATCAACTTTCTTGTGTCCATATATAATATAATAAATGCATTATCAAGACGATTTTAAATACCCCAAAAGAACATTGCAAATACTATAAAACATAGCGAAGCGCTAAATCTTTGTATATGTTTTCTATAATCTTCTATCTGTCTTGAATAAATGTTTGAATAAATCTTTATACGCTGGGCTTCTTTAAATGTTGTACCTTTGTATATATGGTATCTTTTATGTTGAATCTCTAGTCTATATGTTATATCTTTGTATCTAAATTGTATGTCGTTAGGTCTATGTTGCCGTCTTTTATAATACCTAGTTGGACATTTACACATCTTACAAACGTTTCGCGCTTTATATAAATAAAATTTTTATATTTGTTACACAAGTTAAATTTTAGTCATCAATAACAAAAACTGTTGATGTTAAATATTAGATATTCTACTATAGACTACTATTTTTTATATATTCTGACGAAATTAAAAGTAAATTTTTTTAAAAGCTTTAATATTGAAGAAGAAATGATAAAGTTAAAGACGATAAAAGAGAAGTCGGAGAAGTCGAAAAACTGAAAAAGTAAAGCAGAGAAATTGAACGCGGAGAAACTCCAAGAGTATAAATCATCAAAAATCTCCACAGTCCGGAAAAGAAAATGATAAGACAAAGACGATAAGTTCATAAAAGAGAAATCGGACAAAAATAAAGTCAGAAAAACGAAAGATAGTCGATATGATAAACATCGGCCAAAACGCAAACAAAAAAAGGAAAAAAATAGAGAAGCGAGCCAATAAAGATCTCAAAACAAAAAGGAGAAACGCAACAGGAGCAATAATGAATTTGAAAAATAGAACAATGCGTCTTCTCTGATCGGAACATGTTGATGTAAAAAGATAGGTGAAACACTTCTAAGGATGCGTAGTCGTCACTTTATTTCAACCAATCAGAAATTTGTTCAAAATGTTAAAAACCAATATAAAGTTGCTATTAGAAATTTACCATCAATTAGAAATTTGTCTCAAATTTTATTCATCCGACATTGTGCACAATGTTGCACACCTGCCTTCTTACACCAACAATCGGAAAATAGAGGATAGTAAATATAATAAAGGTCAGCCGAAACGTAAAATAAAAAAAGAGGATAAAGGATAATCGAGACGGCAAAGGCCGAGAGAAGCATATTAGCAGCAAAAATCAAGCAGAATATATTGAACATAATATAAAGGCAAATGAACGGTAGATTCTGCTCCATTTCTGCACATCAATCTGCTATCAATGTCATTTAGAATGCGTCAGCGCAGTCGGCAGAATACAGCCAGATTCTACTCGATTTTCATCGCTAATCTGCGCTGGGCGATATTACAGATTCTACTTGATCTTCGCTATCGCATTTACTTGAGAAATTTTGTTAGATCTTATGCCAATATTGCTGTCAAACAGCAATCGCTGATTTCTTAATAATTGTAAAAAAGAATTATAAAAAAATATTTCATTTTACATATTGTACTTACTATCACAAGTCTTGCACAAATTACTGCGAATGGTGTATCTCTAATCTACATAAGTTATTGCAATGATATGATCGAAATGAAAAATGTAGTCAAAAATTCTTTTGGGGTCTCAAAAGTATATTACTTTCTAATTAAAAAGTCAACTGCGCTGATTGTACGACTTAATAGTCTTTTAAATACGACCTTATAATTTTTTTTTCCATAAATATATCTATATAAATTAATCATGTCATGCCTTACATTACAGATGGTCACGACGCAGAGAAAAACTGTTGGAGGCGTTGCACAGTCCTACGATCCAATGCGCACAGATCGAAGTCAAATGTCTTCTTGGTGATTTCGTAATGGCCAGTTTCCGCGATTACTTGCACGACTCTTTGCAGCTCGTCATTATCTTGCAATGTCATTATCTTTTGTTGCAAATCCTTCAACTGCGACACGTATTCCTCCGAGAACACTGGCGGCTCACTGATGTCCGCGTCGGTGGTGTTCGTGGAGTCCGGGGCTACTTGTTCAGGATCGTTGTCCCTGCTGTTTACCATGCTGTCAGCGGTGTTGACGACGTGACCGTCCTTCTTCTTGAACTCCTTCTTCTCCTTTTCCGAATGATGAACAGAATCGACGTCCATCGCGACGGGAGACTGGCTCGACGAGACCGGCTCCAAGGGTGGCGAAGTCGATTGACCTCTGCCCTTCTCACGTTTTATCGGGGCTACTTCTTCGTCCTCTTTGCTTCTCTTTCTTTTCCGATTTTCTCTCTCCTCGCTTCTACCCCCTTTGGACTTGTCCCGTCGACTGCGATCGCTCTTCTCCTTCTTGATCTCCACCGACATACCGGGGGAGAGTGGTTTTGCCGTTTCCGTTGGTATAGTGGATATTACTGCAAGCTCCTGCGGTTCCTTCTTTATATTAAGCATGGCTTTGTTTTCAGGTAACGAATCGTCATCCACCGGCGAAGGTGGCGAATCGCTGCTGTCTCTCTCCTCTTTTATCTCCGTCAAAACGGATGATAATGGATTTCTGGTTAGAGAAGCCGCGTTATTCTGTTTCTCGAGTTCCTCCTTGCTCCTGTCGCGCTTCTCCTTCTTCTCGCGGTCCTTGCTGTCTCGCTTATCCTTTTTCTCCCTCTTTTTGTGCTTGTGTTTCGGCCGATCTTTATCAGATCGGCCGTCCTTTGTTTTTTCTGATTTGTCATTTTTCTCAGATTTCTCTTTTATCAGCTTCTCTTCTTTGAGCTTATCGTTCTCTTTTCCGGACTTTGGAGATTTTCTATCGTCTTTTGATGATTTGTACTCTTGGAGCTTCTCCTTGTCCGATTTCTCCGCTTTTTCAGCTTTTTCAGGTTTCTTCTCGATCACTTTCGGGACATCTTTAGCATTACCTTTCTCCGACTCTTTATACTTATCCTTCCTCTCTTTGTCCCTGTCATCCTTGTGTTTCTTCTTGTCTTTCTTCTTTTCAGACTTCGAAGAATCTACGTCACTTCTGGAGTTATTTTTTATCTTCTCCTTCTCTTTATTATCCTTCTCTTTTTCCAGTGCAATTTTCTTCGTTTCCTTTTCTTTTGGTTTAGGAGACAAAGGCCGCTTTGTAGATAACAAAGGACTTAATGGTTTCTTGTTAGCCACGGGGGATGCTGGTCTTTTGCTACCTGGACTCAAATGACTTTTGTTTCCAGGGCTAGGTGGTCTTTTGGATTTCTCTTTATTCTTGAGTTGATCCTTAGAACTATCCCTAACCTTTTTGTCTTTCTTCTCGTCTATTTTGTCTTTTCTACTATCTTTATGAGGACTTTCCTTTGATTTAATCGTTTTATCCACTTTGTCAGATTTTTCGGTAATGGCTATAGGTTTAGGAACTAAATTTTTATCAGCCTGACTTGTCTTCTTGCTATCCGGTGATATCTTTACAGGCGCTGTCTTTATGGGAGGGCCAAACAGATCGTGAAACGAGTTAGAAGTCTTAGACTCGGTAATGCGGTGCTTCTTGTTTTCGTTGCCATTTAATTTTGGCTTGCCAACCATCGCGGATGTTTTTGTATCACTTTTCTCTAGAGATCCATCTCTACTAGATACTACAACCTAAAATTATTTTAAAAAAATCATTATATCAATTCATTTTGCTTGTTATAATATTATTGATTATATACCACATTTTAATGTCAACGCAATAATCTAAAAAATTTCAAAAAATTATACTTACAGCTCCGCCTTTCAACAGCTTTTTCCTAAAGTCATCCGAAGGATTACGGATTACTTCTACATGACGTATGGTCTTGTTAATAGGCGGGCCACTTTGTTGCAGATTCAGATCGTACTGTATTTGAAACTTCTTGGGTTCATCTTTATTTTTCAGATAAATTTCAATCGGTATTATAAAGCCTGCATAGCCGGATTCTTTCACTACAAATGGTGGCTCTTTCAGCACCCTTTTAGGATTCCGAAACGTATCGTGCAAGAGGAATACCACTGAAAATATACGAAAACCGTCTTTATGGAGAGAATATTAAAGAAAGAGCTCCATGTTATCCTAATAACATAAATATTGCAAAATAAGATATCGTACGCGACAATTTGTCAAGGATATTCCATGTGATGTAAACAATAGAAAGAAAAATGGAGAAAGTACAAATACGTAAATTCCTGAAGACATACACATCAATCTTAGAGTTCACAATGAATGACTGGCCCGCGAAGGCAATGCCCGTACCTTTCTCGATGTAATGATGTATATCTGTATTATCCACACCACGTACAAACACCTCCCAGTCGTGCGTGTATCCCTCGGGAGTGGTGCGCATACGTAACATCGACGTGTGCCCGCATTCCAACGTGATGCGCACCGCCATCCTCACGGCCGTGAAAGACGTGCGATCGCCGCTTCGCAAAGAGTAAAAATACCCCTCGGGAGGGGGGGGGGCGGAGTAGGTAGCCTCAGGAGAGTCGTTCCTCGGGTCGACGTGCCGAACAAACACACTGTTTACATCTTTCTCAATCGTCCTCCTCGCGGTAACCGCCGACGATGGGGCAACAACGGTCGCTGGTGGCGATGGTCCGGGTCGCGCGCGAAGCTTCTAGAATTCGCGCGTGCGAGCGGGCAGAAGCAGCGGCAGCAACAGCAGCAGCATTGCCGGTCCGGCCCGTACTACGTGCGAGCGGCGCGAGTAATGACAACGCTTGTCTCCCGGTCATTAAGGCACGCGGAACGCGGGCGGGCGCGTAGTACACCTCGCCGCCAACGGCACTACCACGCGCGCACGGGGTTTTCTGTATGAAAAGCGCTCACCGTGAACGGCACACGAGAAAACACCCGCCGACACGCGCGATCGCGCGTACACGTGACGCGACTCACCGAGGACACCGCCGCTCCGGCGGAGGTGCTCGCCCGAGAATCCAGCCGATTCTCCCGCGCCAGATTCGTGCCCGATTATCAACAGGTAAGCCGTGCTGCAGCGAGACCCGTCGGCATCGTCGACGATCCCCGTACATACGTCCACCCGTATGATCCGTGTAAACCTTTAAGTGCACCCTCCCCCGCTCGCCCCTCGCCGTGTGCTCCAGAAAAATTTAAAACCGCCATCTGTCGGTGCTGCCGCGACTGGCAGCGTCGACGGGCGCGTCCGTATGAAGCTGCGCGTGGACAAATTGGAGTAGACGAGTCTCCTATTGGAGCGTTCACTGGGGACGTTTTGAACAGATGTGAGATGTCACGTTATTTTATAACGTCAGAAGTGTCAATTAGTCAGAAAGTGCGCTCTGTTCCAGTGATAGCGAGAGGTTTGTTGTCACTTGTTGTTTACAATTTAAATTTTTCTACGACCCGTTCTCTCGCTTTCTCTAATTGTATACTCATTTTATTTCAAGCACGGAGTAATCGACGAGACATTTAATACGCGCAGCTTGCTTCGGGCAGCAACTGTCAGAGATGTTATCCGCGATCGTCAAGGAACACCAGAGCAAGCAAGTGGCGAGAAAAGAGAGGCAGGGTAAAATATGAAAATTATTTAATTCTAGTATGTCAAAGATGATTATTACCTTTTAAGATCTATGTGTGATTTGACAGAGCAAAAGCGAAAAGATGCCGTCCAGGCTGCGAGCAACTTGACGCAAGCCCTCGTCGATCACCTGAATGTTGGGTAAATAAAATTTTTATTCATGATTTCATATAATTCAATGTATGTCATACGCATACATGTGTGTGTACTGTACACACGCACGCACACATATATACATGAGATTAAGGTATTATTGATATTGTTACAGGGTAGCTCAAGCGTACTTGAATCAGAAGAAGCTGGATGCGGAAGCAAAGCAACTGCAACACAGTGCGACGAATTTCGCCAAGCAAACGCAATTGTGGTTGAATTTGGTGGAATCCTTCTCGAGCTCTTTAAAAGAAATCGGGGATGCGGAAAATTGGGCGCGCAGTATAGAAGGAGACATGAGAACGATAGCCACTGCTTTGGAGTACTCGTATAAAGGTACAAAATTTAAAAAAAAACATGTATAACTATATTTTTATGTAACAAAATATTTCTAATACACTGGGTGTATTATTTTCAGCCACGCAAGAGAATCAAAGTGCTGGTAATGTTTAAGGAAATCAGTGTGTGCAAGCGGAACATTGTTTCCTCTTGTGAGCATATAATGTGATTATCATGAGCTGATGTGAAAATTTCTCCTAATAATTTCATAATGTGAAAATTTATGTTAAGATGTAGAGTTAGCGCAATTTAAGTTATCAAAGGAAAAAACTTTTGTACATAATTTTTTATAAAGTTAAATAGATATGGACTTAATGTCTTATTTTAATTTAAAAAAACTATTAGAATGTTAATGAGATATATATATATATTTTGTTTAATTCAAAATACGCCTTTCTATTCCTTTAATTTTACATTCTATATCCCATACAATGAATAATTATTGCTATAATAATTTTCATAGTTTTTCGTTTGTGAAAATCCACAAAAGCAACTCTAACCGTAAGCATCTTGTATCTCAGACTTGTATCTCATGGGGGAAATGCTGCATCACGATGTATTAAATACTATACATCAAGGAAATCATGTTATATTAACAAATTACTCAGAACGCGGATTTTTAAAGATGTACGCCTCGAAATTAAAGCACAGTTTTCGAAATCTTGTCGAGGTGTACGTCTCTGAGAGAGATAAGGATCCATTACAAATCGTGTAAGAGCTGTTAATAAAAGAATAAACAATGAAAACGCAATTTTTATAATAATTAAACTCCTATATATAATTTTAATAGATTATAACAGACTGATAAATAATATAATATAACATAATTAAATATAATAAATTAAAAAAAGAAGTGCCAGTGTAAAATTGCATTAAAAAATATTTATACTCTGAGGCTTCTATAATAAATATCTGAGATAACGTTTTCATCATTAAAATCACACAGTTATATTTTGTACAATACAGCACTGTCGCAAAATAAACGTGATCTATTTATTCACAATTTGTGCACGTAGCACGATTAGCACGGACACGAACCACGTCCATATATATTCTCATGCTATGATTTGATCGATTATGATTATAAATTTGATCGACAATGTTATAAGATAGATGTGATACGTAGTTCCTTTCTCGAAAACTTGGGGCGCTAGTGTAGATCGCCGTTCCCATCCATAAAGGCGGCGTGGCATCTCGGCCTCGGGAGTCACGCGATTTCATGCTTCGTGGCCGTGTGTGTACTCTTCGCGTTCGCCATTTTGGAAGGTTTGCCCAGAAGTAATTGACGTTCCTGGATTTTGTTACATTTCGGCGTCGTGCGTTTTCCCAGGTGAAGCAGCGCGTCAAGCATGGGCGAGGATTTTAACGGAGGTGAGCAATTCGACGGGAGTCTCTGACGGGATGCGCTCCGCCGTCGGACCGTCCCCGTGGCGTTCCCGCGTTATTAACTCGGCCAGCCGATCTGTTTGCGATGCGTAATGGCCGGAACCAGTAGTAAACAGTTCCAGCGATTGATTTTTCGAGACGTGGCCTCCGTTATTTTCGACGTCGAATTTATTTAAATTCTTCCATTGTGTTTGTGTTATAACGAATTCGTGCAATTTGAAGTATCCGTATTTGAACACACATGTCCACAAGTATATCAGTATTTGTTAAGAATATATTGTCTATTAATTTCGTTGAATATATTTTTGTTTGATATACACAAATATTTATATTATTTGTATATATATATATATATTTTGTATATATTTGTATATGTATTTGTATACATAGGCGAATTTAATTAATTACATTTAATCTATTATGCAATTCGATGATCGAGGTGTGCTCCAATTTTCTATTTTTATCCAGATCGTGATAGACAGGATCGGGATAAGGACAGAGATCGGGACAGGGATCGCGACAGGAGGCACAGGTCGCGCAGCCGAGATCGCAGAAAGCGCTCCCGGTCTCGCTCGAAGGAACGCAGGGACAGAAAGAGGAGTAGCTCGCCGAAGAAGAGCCGTAGCTCCAGAAGAAGAAAACCGTCTTTGTACTGGGATGTGCCGCCGCCCGGTTTCGAACACATTACTCCCTTGCAGGCAAGATTTCTCGTTATCTTTGGACTCTCTCTTGATATTATTTTAGATATTATCATTAAATCCGAGTAGAAAGACCATATATATGTAAACATATATGTTTTTCTTTCTGTACAGTACAAGGCTATGCAAGCTGCTGGTCAAATACCTGCGAACATTGTAGCAGACACACCACAGGCAGCTGTACCTGTAGTGGGTAGCACTATAACTCGCCAGGCAAGGAGACTTTACGTAGGGAACATTCCATTCGGTGTCACCGAGGAGGAAATGATGGAGTTCTTCAATCAGCAGATGCATCTCTCTGGACTTGCACAAGCCGCTGGAAATCCAGTATTGGCGTGTCAAATTAATTTAGACAAAAATTTCGCATTTTTGGAGGTATAACTTATCACGTACTCATATCAGATACATATTTATATTCGCTTCTTATATATCACTAAAAATATAGTGTACACACACACACACACACACACACACAAAACGTATTACGAGTTTCAATTAGGCGTCACTGATTAGCAATTTAGGTACTGGCAACATAATTTTTATTCTTTCTCTTTTTTTTTCTAAATATAGTTCCGATCGATAGACGAAACCACGCAGGCTATGGCATTCGATGGCATAAACTTCAAAGGGCAGAGTCTGAAGATAAGAAGGCCACACGATTATCAGCCAATGCCGGGAATGACCGACAATCCAAGCATGAACGTGCCAGGTACGGTTCCTGGTATGTTTTAAACATACATTTTCTTACATTTGATAATACTTACACCACGGCGAGAATTTGCATTTGTTTTAATCGCGCGTATGCACCTCTTTTTCAGATTCGCCGCACAAGATCTTCATTGGCGGTTTACCAAATTATTTGAACGAGGAACAGGTATGCCGGCAAATCCGTGAAGTAACTTTATTTATTGCACACCTTTGGATGCAGTTCTTCTCCATTGACGCCTATTCCGATCAGTCGCATTTAAATCTGTTGAGTCGTATCGCTACGGCTGGCACTTCTTTTTTTTTTTTTTAAATCAAATCGAGAGAATCGGCTTCAATGTTCGACGAAAAATTGCATCGCGTTGTCGCAACGGCAACGGGATTAGCACGGGGACGCGTGCGTATGCTAATCCTGTTGCGCGTTTCAAGTTACCCTCAAAGGACTAAATTATAATATAGGTATTTAGCTATTTAGCAGTGAGTGCACTCACATAAACGCAAACGACCGAGAACCACCCACGTCTTACACAGGTTCAACAGAGGTATGTATGTGTTTCCATCAAGATTTCGGCGTCGATTAGGGTACCTTATTTAGGTAGAGGTGCGTCCATTCTCGGGTGGACCGTGTGTGGCTCCGTTTCACTTTTTTGTGTTGTGTCTTCGGACGATCCGCTTCTCGTTTTCCTGTCGAACTTCCCTCATCATTCCTCTCGCGTCTCGTCGCCATTTCCAAACGTGGCGTATCTTAGTTTAGGGAGCATTAGTGGCGTTTACAGCATTTAGGTGGGGTATGCAGTTCGTATCAGCGGTTATCCTTTTCTCTCTCTCTCTCTCTCTTTCTCTATCTCTCTTACAGCCTTTCTAGGCACGTCGCGGACCCAGTCCATCACGAGGAGATACGAGTCTCTGAAATCTAGGCAGTCTTTTTTTAGGAAGGTCAACAGGGAAGGGGGTGAGGGGGGAGGGGGGGAAGAAATTTTTGTTCCGACTAATATTCAGAAATAAATCGATCAAAGGAAATAGACGATCATTCGCGCGTTTTCAATCTGTCTGATGCAGAAAAATAAAATATAGGTACGTGTGACGTCTCGAAAGAAAGCTGCTTAAAAAGCTGTCTACATGACTTCTATTTCCAATTTGAAATGCCTTTACAGAGTCCGTCCACTTTCGTGCAGCAACGATACATGTGTTGCAAAGAAGGTTCTTTTTTAGGTCTGCAAGAAAAGCATAAGATCAACGTTTTTTTAACATGTAGCAGAAGTTTTTTTTTTCCTTTTCTTTCTTTTTTTGGGATTACAGGGTCAACACATAATTTTATGTGCATCTGGTAACAGCTCCAAGTTCTCCGGTATACATTCTTTTCAGGAATGCCTTTTCCTTTTTGCAGCTGTTCTTTTTACAGGCTTTTCAGGCTTTACCGCACGTCTCGTCTTGTGCCTTGTACGTTACGTTTACAGGTTACCGCGAACGAATGATCTTCGAATATATCGCTGCATTGAGAGAACTTGACAAAAAAAAAATGACAATGCAAAGAAAAACGGAAAATAGTTAAAAAAAAAATAATTTTATTGGACATTAACAAGTTAAATGTAACGGTATTCTTACAAATGGACTATGCTTAAAATTCGTAAGAGAGTTAAAAACAACAAAAAAAAAGAATATGAACGTCTCGTTATTATGTAGTAAACTGTGGACTGATACCAGTACCCTTTCTCCCCATTTCTTAGCTTAGGGTCGTGCCGATCAAAAGCATTCGCTTACCACTACCACTACTTCTACCACTACTTCTACCACTACTACTACTACCGAACATGACAAAATACCACACTGCCTGGAGAGAGGCTAAGTCCAGTCCCTCGAGGCAAGTACTTAATACCATTCTCATGCCTTCGTACATTGGGTTTATGCGACAATTTTGTAGCCCCCCTTCCTCGATGCGTTCTCGGTTCTCCTGGTGCCCACCAATGGTGCGTCCTCTGATTCAAATAGTTTCACATCAATAAAAGCATGTTGCTTAAATCAACTAAATCCGTGCCGAGTTAATCAGTAATTATCAGAGTCGAGTTCGCAACGGAAAGAAAATTCTTTAACGCGAGAGCAACATGCTGTTATCTAAGAATTTTGAGTTTTCAGTTTCCCAGTCCATGGAGATGTAAGTAAAAGTTAATAATACATATATTATAATTTTAAAAAGTACGAAGTGTCAGAGGCAGAGATGTTCGGTGTTCGAAAATAAGCGAACGAATGTAAGGAATCACGCCGGAGCGGCAATTAAGCGGAAATTGTCGGACGTGAGGGCGGTGTGTAAGGGAGTTACCACCGAGGAAAGAGTGATTCAATATGCAAGCATATCTATGCATTCATATTTCGTTTTTCTCACATTTAGACGATGCAACTTTTTTTTAGATTCTTCTGTAGAGAATTGTTTGGAGATTTTGTTAATTAAATATTTGCCATTATTTGGCGATGTTTTCTCTTTTTTTTAAAGTTATTGTAAAATTACTCTTTTAAGGTTCTTATTTTATTTTGATGTGCGATTTAAAACCGATTAATCTTACTTAATTTTCTAAATTCAAAATTTGTAGATAATTACATGTAAAAAAAATGTTTTAAGATAGTAAATACCGTTTATGTTTTAAAATTTTTACATCTGATAATCTATATTTAATTGTAAACATTTTTGTGACTAATTGATATCGGAGTTGCATAGTCTATATTTAGATTCGAAGAATTTGATACGCGAGTGAAGGAGTAACATTTTTCATGATAATACAGGTGAAAGAGCTGTTGATGAGCTTTGGACAACTGAGGGCATTCAATCTAGTAAAGGATTCCGCGACCGGTCTCTCCAAAGGATATGCGTTCTGCGAGTATGTAGACGTCTCGATGACCGACCAGGCGATCGCCGGATTGAATGGGATGCAACTGGGTGACAAGAAATTAATTGTACAACGCGCCAGCGTGGGTGCGAAGAATCCCATGATAGGCGCACAAGCTCCAGTACAAATTCAAGTGCCTGGTTTGTCAATGGTTGGCACCAGCGGACCTGCGACCGAAGTAAGGAGCCAAATCGAACAAAATTGTCCCCTGCGAAATAATGATGATTTGGCGATCGGATTTATAATTTGTACGATATCTCTTTCAGGTACTTTGTTTGCTCAATATGGTCACGCCAGAAGAACTTATGGAGGAGGAAGAGTACGAGGATATCCTCGAGGACATTAAGGAAGAGTGTAATAAATACGGCGTGGTGCGATCCGTAGAAATTCCTAGACCCATCGAGGGTGTCGATGTTCCTGGATGCGGCAAGGTATATTCAATATACGACATAAAGCTTTTACATGTTATTTACCACTCTTTATTCTGTTACAGGTATTCGTAGAATTCAATAGCGTGATTGACTGTCAAAAGGCGCAACAGACTCTCACAGGCCGAAAGTTTAATAATCGCGTCGTAGTTACATCATATTTCGATCCCGATAAGTATCACCGTAGAGAATTCTAAGCGGATTTCTCTTTTCATACCATTTAATAATTATATAAATATATATATATATATAATGCAATGTATATGTGAATTTGAATAATCTAAACTATTCTAAGATAATTATACATTTACCAATGAATAATCGATGAGTAACGTTAAGAAATTGTCACGTTTAATGACAGAAATTTTAAATTTAACAATTAGAATTGTAAGTATATCACTACACCGACAGAAACTCCGATACACAATCGCGTGATCACAGATGCGAATTCTTCGCGCTTTAAAGACACAATTATGAACATATGTAATAATAACAAATACATTTGGTCGTTAATATAAGACGAAGAATGATGTCCGATAATAAAAAAATTGATATTACCTGTTTATGAGATTAAGAGAATAAGTAGACGACTCCCTGCAAAATGGCAGGATAGTAGATCAGGATAAGACCGCAAGATTAATAAAATAAGAACATAATGTTATTTCTACAAAAAGTTTTATTTAAAATTCTACATATAATTTATGATGTTGATTATTTAGTATAGCGATAGATGAAGATTTTTTTCATTTTTGGAAATTTCGAAGTAAAACCGCGTGACTCAACTCTCCATCTGCAACGCGGGTGCATAGGAATGACTCTCCCCGGTCTCCCCGGCGTCCACCACGAATTTCTGTAGTAACGCATAAAGTCCGCCACCGAGCAGTAGCATGCTGATACCCGTTATAAGTACTATGGCCCAAGCCGGTATAGCCGTGCCTCCTAAAAATAATTTAACGAAAATATTCAGGCTCGGGACACTTCGATGACGCGCCGCGATTCCGCACTCGCCGTCATGGACTTACTGTAATAACGTCTGGTTATGGTTTTTCGGCCCCTCAAGATTTTGCGCCTTGCCTCGACTTCCTCCAGGAAGATTCCCATTAGAACTAGTGTCAGTGTTGTGAAAGAAAGATTAATTCATTTGCAAGGAATCTTTTCCTTTCGCGTGCTATCTCGCGTGTAACATTAGGATTTATTGTCAAAGACGTAAAGATAATTACATTATCGTGTGAGAAAAATGATTAAATTCTCGTTTAGAAAATGTTACGAATGATTACATTTTCCGATAAAACTCGTTAATTATTTCTGATCAATCGACAATGGTTTCTATAGTGCGAATGGCGTGGAAAGTGGAACGCCTTTATTTTTCTACCGTCGACTATAGACGGGCTTGTCGACACTTTTCTCTCCGCATATTAAAATCAAGGTTTACTTACGTAAGGCTATAGTTAAATAGCACACAAATTTTTTCGAAAACATTTCTCTCTCCCGAAATAGGATCAATAAATGAGAAAACGAAAGAACAGGGTCGAAACGCTGTCGTTAACTGTACAATGTCTGCGCAACGCGTACTGAATCACACCTTTGATAAGAGATAAGTGAGTGTACAGCTTATCTTATTTTAAGATAGTGAGATACACTTTCGTTTGTACTTCGTTTATATTTCCGTTTTTCTATACTTGACAATGTTGCACAAACGTGGGACACTCTCGGATTAAGAACCATCTGTCGTCGCAGTTCCACTAATGCACTGATTATTATACAAAACTTAATGTTCATATTAATAAATAATTTTTCTAAAAGAACGAAATTTTTCTAAAATGCTCTCTTGTAACGATCGCTTAAAATTCTAAATCGACCATGCAAAAGATATGAGTAAGATACGTTCTTTTATATACGACCCTGGAATCGCTGTGTATCGAGATGGATAAGGATGAGGTAGCGGGATCAAGGGATTTGTAAGGATACAATCGACATCTCCGGCGAAGAATAGGGTAGTTTCAAAATCCGTATTCATCCTTTTATGATCTTTTATTGATCCAAATTAAGGGAACCGAATTACATCTACAGCAAATTATTACAGAATTATTGCAATTACGATTCGATCGATGCTAATTGAGTAGTCGATGAAATAACAAGTTGAACTTATCGAATGTGCGTGTGCGCCTTCAAATTGAATTTGAACAGATGTAGAACGACGCAATTTTGCTATAGAAAACAATCTTGAATATAATTCGACGAATATATATATATATATACATACACTGAAGCTTATAATGACAATGAACGTAAGAATGGTGGGGGAGGGGCGGGAAGAATACAATCTCGAATAAATTAAATAAAAAGCTTAAATAAAAATCCACCGTACACACTTCATGTTAGACTAGAATACATTTTTTTTTTTTTTTACGCTTGTGGAAGTTAGCATCGACGTGATTGTAGTAATTCGCACATTCAAGGCGGTCCCTTGCAAAGTTGCAAATTTCTTCCCTTCTTTTGTTTTCTATTCCCTCTCTTTCGAAGAAGTGCGACCTCGCATGAAACTTCGAACACAATTCGTGAATACAATTGTTCGTAATCAATATAAATATAGCTGGCACGTATACAAAGCATTTCTAAATTCCGTTTCACGTTTCGATCACGCAAAACGCGACTTTTTCCACCCCCTGTATATATTAGCATATACTCATTTACAGTCGTAACAAGGATCGAAAACATTTCTCCTTCTCTCCCTCTCTACCTCTGTGCCTCTTCTCTAACAATTTTATTCGTCAGCACCGTAAATTTCTCGAAGAACGTTCCTTTCCGTCTCTTAAGCGAAGACACGTAGGAAACCTCGACGCTCTGAAAGCTTCGTAATCAATAATGTTGTCGTAAACAACGACGACATTTAACGACGAGCAGACGTTTCTCTTGCGTCTGAAAGATCGTAAGGGAAAAAAACAAAAAACAAAAAGAGGAAGAGACAAAAAGGGAAACAATTTCTGACAAATACTGGAACGTCACTCCGACGTCTAGCATGACTCTTAAACTGATCTGGGAGCTTCTTTCTCACTTCTTTTGATCTTGCCACCTTTTTATATATATGTGCATCATGAATAATACAGAAAACAACTCCCTCGCCCAAGATACGTTATTCATAAACGTTGAACAAAAACATAAGCTAAACGAAATAAATAAGTAATACTGTTTATGTCTATACCGTTCACGGTGCACCTTAGTTGTAACATATTAAGTAATAGTAATAATTTATCATTAGAATGATATACTCAAGTAAAACATTCAGATCAGTCCTTCCTCGCGATGATACAACGAAAAATAATAGGAATGAAAGGAGAATCTACCTCCGACGAATGTATGGAAAAATCTCGCCCAACAGAAGATGGACAGTAAAGATAATGCATTTCTTCCTAAAACTCTATCCTTTACAAGCTATGCTAAGAAAATTCATAACACCGGACATAGCCATCTCGTGGAGATCTCATCTAGATATGAATATCTTTTTTTTTTCTTCTAAGCTATGCCTTTACGCGCCTGCGATTAAAGTCTTTAATAGTTTTTTCGCTTTGAGAATATTCGTAATACTTGGATGGCATAGTAACTTCAAGACGTACCTCGACATAGGAATAACCGGCGTATTTGCGATTCCGATAATCATTAGTGAGGAGTGCGATCGTGAAAATGCACTGCGCAGAATTAACGTATTATTAATTACCCTTTAAAATCCTATTGCAGTTTTCTCATTAGTTCAGCATATTGTTACTCTTCCACATCTTATCTCTCCTTTCTTTTTACAGAAATATGAATTTCGCTCATATTTCCGCACTACATATATATATGTATACATATATATATATATATATATATATATATATATATATACCTTTTTAATTCGCTAGATTGAGATTTAAGCTATCTTCTTATTTGTCACAGACGACGCGTATAATACCTTCGCTTCAAAACAGTACGGAACTAAATGCGAGAACAGCGTTACACAAGAGTATCTTTTTTTTTCCTTTTTAAGTTAATGCCGGATATTGAATGTGAATTTTACAGTTCGTCTAGATAGTATACGAAATCATGTATGTATGTGCGTTATATGTATGTGCGTGTGCGCACGTTCCATTTATTTTATAACTATAATCGCGCTTTTAGGTGTCGCTATGGTTATTTTCTCAAAACATTTCTCTAGCTGTAGAGCAATAACTGACGTGGAGTTTTTATTTAGGAATTATCGCATCGTTATACCATCAATAGATACGTATCGCAAGAGTGTGTGTGTGTGTGTATATGAGTGTGTGTATGATTCAAAATTCCGTATGCAATAAGTTATCAGAGAATGTGTATACATATATGTATATATAATAGAGAATATACACATATATATATATATATATGCATTCCAATAAATATATTTGGATCTCTTTTATTACCGAATAGCCATGTAATTTAAACGGGCTAAGCATTTCGACTTATGCTTACTTTTACCTTGTGGCTAGCTGGTGTTTTGGCTCGAAGTATTCTTTTTCGTTTCGCTCGGCGCCGCGGCGAAATTATTCGTTGCGGAAGATAACATCGGTTCCTTGAACTGATTGCCATTCAAGGTCGGCTTTTCGCTATTTTCTTGCGTATTGCTGTTGCTATTGCTGTTACTACCACTCCCATTACATTCTGCTACCTTACTGTCAACAGACTCAGACGATTCTTGGCACTGATTTGCGATATTGTTCATTAACTCTGCGGTACTTTCATTGTCCTGCCAGTCATCCGACCTCTGTATTATACTTTTCTTAATGAGCACTGATTTGAACGTTGCTAGAGTTTTGCGGAGAGTTATGCAGAAACCTCGAGATGCCGGGATGAGCGGGAATTCGGGCAATACTTTCTGGTCTGTAAATAGAACAAAAACTTTTTATCTAATTCTCATCTAATAATATATAAAATATTATAGTAACCATAAAAAGGCATATGTTACACGTACCGATATCTGCAATTTCCTTGAACGTGGTGGGAGTAACCGGGGACAGCGGGTGCTGATTGTTGTGCTGCTCAGATATCTCCATCCACAGCTCCAATCTCTGCAGCAATTTCTCGGCGTGTTTTTTGAAGTGCATGATGATTATATCCTTGAATACAGGTGGTGGATGTAGCAATAGCTTAGTCTGCGCCTGCACCAGCTTCAGCACCACCATCTCGTTGTACATCCTCGAGTTTTCGCGTCCTTGCTGCGAGCCCTTCTGCTTCTCGAAGCCGGCCTCGTTGAAGTACGGCTCACTCACGAGGATTAGACCCTGTATCGAAACTATCACTTGCAACAGAGTTGACGAGCTCGTCCACACCTCTGTGCCACGGCCGGACCAGGTGCCCAGCAGACTCACGCACACCTTCCCGTCCTCATAGAGATTCGGATTCAGCCGATCGCTGCAGTAGGAGATGTAGTGGCAGAGGGGCGGGGCGACCGGATAATCGGCGGACAACTGGAAATCAAAGAGGAAAAGCCCGTCCTCGTAGGGCGTCTTCTCGGGGCCGCGGAACATCACGGAGTACAGATCTATACGGTCCTCAAATCCCTTCACCCAGACCCCCGGCGGTAGCGAGCTCTTGAGCAGCTTCAATTCTTTGGAGACCGTGCGGAAGAAGTTGGACAGATCGGTGGGCTGGAACATGGTCAGCTTGAACTTGTGGCTGTCGGGCGCGGACTCCTCGATGGTGAAGCCCTCGCCCTCGGTGTAGATCGTCGGCGGAACCTCGATCGAGCAGGACGGATCCGTCATCGTTTCCACGCGTTCCTCCTCCTCCTTCTCGCCCTTCTGCTTCTTCCGCGGGGAAGACGAGGTCTTCTCCGCGTCCGACAGTGACATCTTCCCCAAGCCGAATCTCTTCGACACCTCGGCGTGCGCCAACACGAGCTGTGCCTTTATCAAATTACAAAGTTTGACGCACACCTGCGACGTTCCGATACTCTGAGACGTCAGCAGACTCGTCGGCACTTTCTTCACTTTGCTCGCCTCCGGCGTCTTCTCGGGCGAGGTGATACCGTTTATCATCGACGTGGACGAGCACTCCGGTACGTTGTTGACGTCCTCGCTTATGAGGAACTCCCCGCTGGACTCGCTCGAGCCCGATTCCTTCTTCGAGTTCTCCGCCGAATACAATCCGGAATCCTCGGGGTTGGGATTGGGACATATAAATAATCGGTTAACGTTCTCCTCGTCGTTCTGCTTTTTGGCATTGCTTTCGATACTTGGAATATTGTCGTTCTCCGATTCGTTGATAATCGTGGTAATTTGCTTCTCCGCCACGCTAACTGCACACGGATCATCGTCGTTGCTCGACTTTTTCGAATCATCCTTATCTACGCTTTCCACAAATTCCTCTGGATACTCGGACTTGGGCGTGAAGAGCCTCGTGACCTGATCCGCCATACGCTGCGCGACGTTCGCCCTGCCGCGTTCTCTCACTCGCTCGAGAAGTCCCTGAAAGTGGCACTCGTGAAAGAACGCGGTGCCCATTAGTTTATCCATGTAACGGCAATCCTTGTAGACCTCGAGAAGCTTCCTCATCACCTCGGTCGTCTGCAGGGACGGGTTTTGCGTGAAAATCTCTTCCAATCTCGACATTGCGATCCTAGCTTTCTCGATGTGCGCCGCCAATTTCGGTTTTATGTTATCCAATTCCGTCTGCTCGGTACCGTCGTTGTCCGCGATGAAGCAATCCTCCAATTCCGTCTCCCACGACGAGTCGGACGATACCTCGTCCCACAGTTCCCCCTCGTCGCTATCGTACTCGCCGACCTTGTACAGATCCTGTGGCCAGCACATGCTAACGTGATCGTCGATCCACCATACTTTCACTCGCCCCTCCGGATAATTGTCTAACACTTGACCGGCAGTACATCCACTATCCTCGCCCTCGAAATTTGCTATTCGAATCACCAGAGTTCCCGGTCGGTATTGAAAGTCTGGATGATCCTTCAAGTCGTAAACGCTCACTTCACGCTCCTCCAGAAAGATCGGTCTGAGCAAGAAATAATTAACATATTTTAAATAGCAAACTTAAAAAATGTATTAATTTTTATTTTATTTTATTTAGAATGATTTTAAATTATGTTTAAATTACAAGTTCCAAGATAGAAAATTCTTGTCTTCCACTTATTTGTATTTTTCTATCAACACGCACTTGATATTGACGTAATACAAAAATATGCTAATCAAAATAAATAAAACTAAAGTTCTAAAAGGGAAAATAAAAAAAAAACAGGACAAATGTTTTTACTGTAATACTTACTCCGGGTTTTGACTAGAGGTATATGTACGGAACCATTTTATCTTGGCAGTACGGCCTTGATGATCAACACTTTGTACAACGCCATACATTCTAGCCTCTTCTTTCTGGTCTACAACAAAGTCACCTGGGAAAAATTCCTTATCATCTAGGTGATGAATTGGATACAATTGTGTTGATGGTATTCCTGGAAAAAAAAAAGAATAATGTTTAACATCATTACAAAACTTTTTCAGTAATCAAACTGTATATTGTAATTTGAAATTTCTTAAAATGTAATTTAGATTAATATATTCTTTATATATTAAGAATATATTAATATATTCTTATACATTAAAAAAAAAAAAGATATTTTGTATCTACGTGAAAGATCTTTCGTATCTAAAGGCATCTATTATACGCAAATCTTTCTCTAACAAATGTATTTATATAATAATCAATATCAATACCAAATTCTACTGAGCCGTCTTGCCACACCACATTCGCTTTCGTATTAGTGGACAGCGTTTCTACGACTATCTTAGTCCCGGGAATTAAAGGAACCGGCGGCACTTTCTTTTTCGCTTTTCGCAATTTCTTTTTCTTCAGCACTTTCGTCATCAATGCAGGACCCTTCTTTTTCTTTCCCACTGATGACATGCTGGAGCAGCAGCTAGAAACCTACAAAGCGCACACATTTCTATATCTTCGATCTCCTTCGATTTTCGTAAACGAAAAGGAAGATGATTGAATTACCGAAGTAGAGTCACTTTGCGAACCCGTGTCTTCCGTATCCCACTCGTCCGAGCTCTCGGCGTGTTGATTTTGCGGTGGCGGTATCAAAACGTTGTTGATTATGGTATCTTGAGAATTGATGCCGTTACTTTGGCCGTTATCCTGCGTCGATGGCTGATCGGACGTTTTGTCCTTCTTCTGCTCCTTCTTCTTGTCTTCCATCAACTTCGTCACCATGATATTCGGACGCGTCTTCTTTGGGCTTTGCTTAGGAACTTGATAAATATCCCTCTGCTGCTTTCGCCACTGCTCACGCGTGATAACGTTCTCGTTGCCCTTGATGATGTAGAAATTACGATTGCCGACCTGCACCGTCGACGGCTCGAATACGTTTAGCAGTTTTATCTTCTTCAGATCTTCACCCTCGACCACGAACTTGGGTTGAACCTGATCGGACCAGCCCTCCTTCGAGTACGCCCGGCACTGCCAATGCACGCCTATCCAATCGGTCTCCACCTTTTCCACGATCACTTTGGTTATTTTTTGTGGTTTCAATTTCCTCTTGGCCTTCATCTCCTTCGTGCACTGTATCCACTGCGCCTCCTCCAGGCAATGAACCGGTCCCCACAGGCTCTGGCCAGGGTAGAATTCGGTCGGATGTGGAAAATCATTGTCCTAAAAAAAAAAAAAACATACTTGTCGTTTGGATCCTACATGGAATGATAATTCGTTCGATCTTACGCTATCTCGCGCCTCTTCCAGCTGTCCCAGCACACAGGAATCCATCTCGTTTATGACGCAATGAGATCCATCTGGCGTCACCAGCCACAATTTGAAGTGTGTCATTCTAATGCCGCCGACCCAGGAGTCCAGGCACACCGCCATATCTGTCGCAAATTCCTACAAATAACAGCTGTGTGTTTCAGTATGTGATCCACGCGCGAGTCTGTCTACCGTAGAGATATCGATGTATACCTGCAACGGAATGAGATCCTCGCTCTTGATGTCCGTGAGAACCTGTTTGGTACCGATGACCTGCACGCAGGCTGTCAGCTCCACGTCCCGGCAGTAGCCCCTCTGCGTGTCCTTTCCCTTGATCATCCTACGCACCACGTCTCCAGGCATGAGTGTCCTGTCGGCCAGATGAACCTGGGAAGCAAGTTGTCGAGTAAGAAACTGTACCGCACGGCGCCGCCTACGAACGTCGTTAATTTCGTAATCCTAACGCGAGCCGAGGTCAAATGAATGACAGGTGCGAAATATGCGGACTGGATGAGCTGAAAGACCGTGCGGAAAAAAAAGAGAAAAAAAACGGCGTGTAACGTCGAAGTGTGTTTCGGAACGGTGACGACCGCAGCGGGATCGGAGCCACGTCGGCGGAGAAACCTGATCTAGATACCTTCTTGCAGTTGACCAGCTCCTCGACACCGGACGGATGCCAGATCATGCGGATCTCGCCCTTCTTGCGCTTCGGCTGATTCTCCTCGTTGTCGCTGCTCTCGTCCGACAGGTCCAGGTCGTCGTTCTCCATGACGATGCCGAAGACGACATTGCCGCGCTTGTCCATGCGGTAGACGACATCCTCGTAGAAGTACTGATTCTCCGGCGCAACGTTCGCCGCGGCAGCCATTTTTCCTGCCCTTGCCTGGCGACGACCGCACCGTCCCAGACACAGACACCACTCGCGGCTCGCGCCTCGGTCAGCCTCGGTACGGTAGCCGCCGTCGATGGCCGAGCCTCTCCGCGCTCCACCAGCGCTCGCCACTCACCGGCGGCTACGTTCCGTCTTTCGACGACGTTCGTTCGAACGTTACCGAACGCTGCCGAGCCGAGCCGAGCCGACGATGGCAAACGGCACGGCGAACGGCGACGGCGACGACCACGACGACGACGTTGGACGGGTCACGCGTCGCGCAGGCACATACGTCGTGTTATAACTGCATTCTCTTTTGCATTTTGTGCATTCCGACTTCCGAGCGGCCACGATTTCAAAGGGGGGGAAGGGAGGAGGGGGAGGTCAAAAGGGGTGACTGCAGAGACCTCTCTTGATGTAACTATGAATCACATGATCCTGCAATGTCACACTTTCGGCGCCAGGGAAAATGTTTTCGTCGCCACCCGTAGCTATTTTCGAGTCGAACGGTATCGCATCTAGATTTTCCTGCGCTATGGTACTGCGTAAACGGATAAACGAGAAATTATCGATCGGCAATTCGATTAACTATCCATTCGCTATTTCGTACTTGCGGCACTTACGCTGCTTCTATCGCAATTGACGCAACATTGGTATGTAAGTATGCCACGTAATAAGAGAAATAAAAATGTAAAAAGAACGTGAAAATGCGATCTATTAGTATCGAATATAATTATTGACAATTGGTGAAACTAGACATAAAGTTGAAAATTGATTTGATCGTATATTTTTGAAATAACATCTTTATTTTAAAACTTATACATTCGCAATATCTGATCTGAATCTCTTGCTATTAATTTAAGGGAATGAAATCCTTATTAACAGTAATTTAATTAATATATTAATAATTTTGCGTACATATAAAATTGATAACTAAATAAATATGTGGCATGAAAGAATATAAAATATTTTAACAAAATTATAATAGTTGTACTACAATAAATTGGTTAATAATACAGACAATTCTTTGGTTTCACAAGTTTGAGGAAAAGTATTGATAAATAATATAAGGAACATATATAAAGGTAATAATTAATATTGTCCTTTACTATATAGTTCATTAAATCTAAATATGTATCTATATTATACTGCAAAATGAGTACGTTGAAATCCTTGTCCCAGACTCTGTAATATTTGTTGGACCTCGATTTCATTTTGATGATAAAAGATAAAAGCTTCAAATTTTGTTGCCACGTTACAATTTGTTTCTCTAAAAATAATAAATAATATGAGTAAGTTGTGCGCATATTTTAAAAAACATACAATCCATGCTAACATTAATTCAATAAAGCTCACCCTGCAATGAATGCGAAATAATCTGGGATATTGATGGTGCGTCCACAGGACGAGATTTCCATATAACTTTGTTTACATATTGTCTGAAAAAAATTAAAAATATCGTTTTTTTAATTTAATGCACGTATATTACAATATTTACTCTCTCAATTCTTCATCTTGAACTTAATGATTGAAATAGAAGCTATTTTTTTTCATGACGTCCAATAATTTTTTTTTAAACTTGTGATTATGCTAATTAATTTACCTGATTGTCTACTTCCCGAGTTACTGCAATTCCAATTTCTAAACATTCGAATCGTACAGGCACTTGTTTCATTTCTCCCGACTTCAGTAAACGCCATATGGCTTTCTCAATTTGCTTAACATCTCCCTCTGCACCGACGTGCACAGAGCCGCAATACTTCACGGAGAATCCGCTGCCTAATGTCTTACTTCCTAATTTATTGGAGATCTGACTTTTTTTAGTGGCTTCCTCCACTTGGTCTAGTCGTGATATCTGTATCAAGGGCATCAGGCTTTCGACACCCGAATTTTTTATAAGATGCACTATTGGCTCGTAAAGCTCGCGGGATTTTTTGGTATAATGCTAAAAGTAAACGGTAATCGTCAGTAATCATATCAGCATCTGCACGTTTCTATTGAATCATCACATTGCAGCGTTACCTTAATGATATGTAGCATTACCGGTTGTCCACTAGCCTTCCTCATGATTTTACGCAGCTTCCCCTTGCTATCGCCATTGATGACATTCTCGTTTATCTCGTCCAGTACATCCCCAATCTCGACTTTATTCTAATTTACATGCGGCATATGAGTAACGCTGGATTTAGAGCATTTGTAATTTTAAAAGGTTATAGATACTCAGAGATTTCTTTTCTTACATCTTCAGCAGCCACCGATTTCTCGTGGACATTGACAATTAATGCCTTGTCGTTAGTGAAACTGCAATAAATAAGCAGCGAATAAAGATACATTTACATGATTTCCACTTTCCTCTGTCGCAACAAGTTGCTTACCACACAGAGATGCCTAAACTTTTGCAAGGTACCAGCTCCAAGGCCACGCATCTCGGCATCAGCCAGGTGTCGTCCAAGAAAGCTGCATTTCTTAAATTCAGTTTAAAATTAAACTTGCCGCACTGCAGTAGCACGGACAGTAATATCTCCCGTAGAATGTCATCTCCCAGAATGCTTTTCAAGTTGTAAAACTCGGTGGCTAGAGCTGGTATTCTGTTCTGAGGAGAGACACAGTTATAAATTTCTACAACTTAATTAATTGAGAGGTACACGTCAAGTGCATTTGGCATTATGTCTCACCAATATTTCTACCGGCATGTGAAGGCATCTTCGCACTAGACATACTCTTATCAGGAGACGAAGTCGCCCGGTGGACGTACGCACCTTTGCATTTTGCTTCACTTGCTCAACTGCCAGATGGAATGTATTGTAACCACTAAAAATCACAAATGACGTTGAGTAACAGGCAACATACGAAAGTTGTGTGGATATTGATGAAAGAGTAAGGGGGTCACTTTACCTGTAATTCTTGGAGGCGACATATTCTAACCAGTGCCATGCACAAGGTACCTTAAAATATCCAACACTATCGAGACCGGGCAGTAAATCCTTTTGCAAGCAATCTTCTAAGCACTTACAAAAGTGACAGAGATCCTCATTTTTATCGGTGATTTCCTTGGCGTGTTCTATCAGCTTTCGAGTCCATCCTGAAATAATATATGTATACAATTATTTTGTAAACTCACCTTGTATTTATTTTGTCAAGATAAATTTCATAGACATGGTAAAAGAGTTATTAATTAGATTTGCAAACAAAACAGCGAAGAAATATGTATTTTCAAAAGCGTTGGCAGCGAAAGACATTTTAATTGTTTGTTGAAAAATACATATGTAAATATATGATCTGACATTATCGACACATGATAAAATGAATATTAATATTAATATGTGATGCCATTTGTAATGACTAATGACTGATGGCTATATAAAACACTGAATTGATGACTAATATTTTAAATTAATTAAAGATATAACACATTCTCGTTCATATACTCACACACACACACACACACATATATGCACGCTCACGTTCTATTCAAACACTGTGACACCATATGACACTGCCAGTTCAAGCGATATTCATCGTATCAGAAGTTAAGAACCAATATCTTTTTGCGAATGTAAAATGAGACCACAACAACGAGACTGGAAACTGACGTCGCGATAATTTTGAAAAGAAAAATCGTGTATTCATGATATATGAAAGGGAGCCATAAATCCCCCTGGCGTTTAACGACCCGTCTAACCTGACCTGCTCCATCGCGAGATTACCTTTCAGCTCTTTGATGAGAGGATCCGAGACCGACATGGCATATTCTCCGCGGAATATGGGCGTTAAATCGACCGCGGCGCGTCCATAGTACGTCCCTCGCGGAAAATCGGTTTATACGGCCGCTCGACACACGCGTCAGCCGAGCCTCGTCAGCGGGAACACCTGCATCGTGCTGGCGAGTGGCGACGTATCACGGTATCAGCGACATTCAGCGACAGGAATGAAGTGGTAGTGGTAGTAAAGTCGCGCAACTGGATCGCGCTCGTTGGAAATCTAATGTCGCTTTAGTTTAGTTAATATATGTCTAGCAACGCTTGAGCCCATTTTATTTGAGATATTTTAAATCTATTTCTTTGACCGATGTCAAATCAAAAGATTGCGTCAAATTTTAAGATTAAAAATTCTATTGAATATAATTTTATGTATATAATGTGTGTTTTTAACATATTTGGATATATATATATATATATGTGTGTGTATATATTATATATATACACATATATATATAAATATTAATTATATATATTAATTATTAATTAATAAAGAATTTAATTTTATTATATTTTTTAATAATATCAATTTAATATTTAATAATTATATGATTAATAAAATTAAATTCTTTATTAATTAATAATTAATATTAATTTAATAAAATATGTTATTGCTTTGTACTAAGTAATTTATAAATTATTAACATTTCTAGCATGCTTGAACTTACGACGCGCACAAGCATGTGAATTAATAATTAATATTTCTAATAAGCACTTACAAACGCTCTTGCGAATGATGTTTGTATTTGTGTCTATATTACTCTTGCCGACAACTGTTTAAATATACATAATATGTATACATATGTATATGTAACATCTACTCTTAATATTAATACAGTACGTACGAGATATCTATAAGGAATAATATAGCAAATACTTTAAATAAAAATAATATTCTAAAATATTAATATATATTTATCACAAATAATTCTGTGATATATATATATATATAATTATTATTATCATTATATTATAATTTATATCTTCCAGACAATCACGCGTGCTAAAAAAAAGTCTCAAGAACGTAATGCAACAATTAAGGGTCGTACAATAATATTTTATGTCACTTGCAGGTAAAAATCGAGCACCGTAGTGTATCATTGAATTCATTGTCAGTTTCTGCTGTCGAGACACGTATAGTCAAAGGTTGCGCTGATAACAACGTCGTTGTCGTCCCCTATATATAATCACGTAAGGAGATTTATTAGCATCAGTATCTTCGCGACTGTTGGCCGCGATATTAACTATCTGTTTCGTCGCTTAATCTCCATTTCCGTCCGTAGAGTCCCGGTCGTTTCGTCGCGTGCATCCCAAGTGATATATATATATATATATATACATAAATTATATATATAATCCGGAGAATATTTCGGCATGGCGGCACTACTCCCGGACATCAATAGCGTTAAGGCGAAGGCGTTGCAGACCTTCGCCGAGAAATTCGGCGAGCAGGCCGCCGTTTGCGTGTACGCGCCGGGACGCGTTAATCTCATCGGCGAGCACACCGACTACAACGAGGGTTTCGTACTGCCGATGGTATAATAAATCTCCTAAATTGCGTTGCGCATGCAAAAAATTCACGCTTCCTCTCGCGCTCCGTCCGCGTATTTTATTTAATTAACTCTAATAAAAAGCGCAGCGTGAAACAGATTTCGTTTTAAACACAAGTTTTCTCTAGTTCGTTTTATTTCTTTTTTTTTCACCGTTCTTACTCTTTATTTTCGTTTTCTCTCCTTCCTCTCGAAATATTAAATATTTCAAGTGCATGAAATGCAGAAAACACACGTGTATACGCAATAAAACTTAAATACGAATTTAATTTGTGGCAGTCACAATTGCGCGTGGATCACAGTATTATCATTATCATTGCCATAACGTTATCACACACAGAGTTGTTGGCTCGCGCCAACGGGATGTCAAGGCCGCATGACACTGTTGCGTTTTTTTTTTCAGCGCGCTGAATTGTCGGTTGCATAACTAAAGAATATACAAATGAGAATTTATAATGAATTTATAGTTGCCTGTGTTACTCTGGTGCGCTTTAAAGATTGCTATACACATATGTATAACTGCAGAAGCGTAATAGCACTTCGACCGATAAGATATCCAATTAGTTCCCGCTAAAACAAGTGTATCGTGCATGCACGCGTGCATGACAAATATTAACATTGACTGCTTTATCGATCAAGATATTTGTATTATATTTTATTTTTGCGACTAAATAACATTATTTACAGGAGCCGCCTTCAGCAAGTGATCGAATTCGCTATTTTTTTGTCAAACGTTTATTTTGCTGCACCACTTTGGCATAATTTAAACGCTACTGAAGTGACGGGGATCAATAAAACGCTGCAATAAAATAATATTCGTGTTCGTAGTGGTATAGACGTTATCGATTATTTGTGATCATAAAAGCCGCGTCGCTGCATTCTTTCTTATTGATTGAAAAACTTTTTCTCACGGTTCTTCTCTTTTGTCCTGCTTGATAATGAATACACTGTGGCGTCAGAGATCCTTGCTGTTTGCACTTAATAAAAAAACCGCAGTTATTTTTGTAATTCATTTATATACAAACTATCAATTTGAACAGTTTGATCGATATTTACAACAATTTATTAATGAAACACTTATAATCATTTCGAAATAATTATCAGGCCCTGCCGATGGTCACGGTGATGGTTGGGAATTCTCACGGTGGTAAAAAAACCAGAATTCTTTCCTTGAGTAACGCGGTCGGCGCTATAAACGAGTTCGATTTCGAAGCCGGGAGTCGAGCTGATATAAAACCGGGGGAGCCAAAATGGGCGAACTATATAAAAGGATGCATCGCTAATTTTATTTGTAAGCCATTCGCAACTTTGATCGTCACGCATAATTTATTTGGTAGCTTGAAATGGGATACCTTACGTTATAACGCAGCCGATACACATTTTAGGTGACGTTCCCGCGTTTAATGCCGTAATTGTATCGACTGTGCCAGCAGGCGCCGGGCTCAGTAGTTCTGCGGCTCTGGAGGTAGCGACTTATACCTTCTTGGAAGCCTTGAGCGGGAAAAAACCGGAGAAACCAGAGCAGAAGGTAGCTATAATCTTCTAGCGATCATATAGCTTTTTTCTAACAACATAATGTGGTATTAGGTAATATAATATGTATATTGTTCTAAAAAAAAAAAACTAATAATTGCTGATAATATTATTTTGAGCCGAACAATACGGCGTAACGAGTGGAATTATAAATAAAATCTCCATCACATGATAGCTAAATTGGTAAATAATAGTGGCAGATAATTAGCTATATTGGGATATTTTCCATCCGGCAATTGTGAAAAGCAATGATGGCAGTGCACAAAAATTTTCTAATCACAAGACATTAAAACAACTAAAAAATCGGGGAATTTTCAAAAATTACTTTCTAAGATTTGAATAGATATTTTGTGAAAATTGGTGGCAGAGATTTTTAAAAGAAAGTTTTTTGTATCCTGAAACATCCGACATCTATCCTTTCATTTATCTATACAAGTTAAATTACTCATACAATTTTTAATTGTATAAGAATTTTTAATTGAACTTGTGACTTAAACATTTGTTGTGCAGTGCTGTTATTATTTTTTACAATTGAACAAAAAATCCTTAAAAAATAAATAAAAAAATATATATTTATATTATACGTATTAGGCTTTAGCATGTCAAAAAGCCGAGCATAACTTTGCTGGGGTGCCATGCGGTATAATGGACCAGTTTATCTCAGCTATGGGCAAGGAGGGCTGCGCCCTTTTACTTGACTGTCGCGATCTTATCACTAAACAAATACCTATGCTGCACCTACATAATTACGTTTTTCTCATAACGAATTCGAACGCGCCGCACAAACTAAGCTCGAGCGCCTATTGCGAGCGCAGAGATTGTTGTTACGAAGCCGCGAAAATCTTGGGCAAGAAGAGCCTGAGAGATGCAAATATGAATGATATTCTAGGTAACAATAGAGAACTTTATATATGAATATGTATATATTCCTTAATTTTATAATATTCTTAAATTGTACTTTATTTTATTAAGCGAACAATCACACTTTGCATAGATTTCAATACAATAACAATAAATTAACGATCTACGTACATTGCCGCTCCTACTTTCTCTACATATAACAGATTAACGGGTTTTTAGCATTAACATCGCGAAATACATCCGATCGCATTGTGAAAAGGGCTCGTCACGTGGTAACGGAAATTCAACGAACTCTGGACGCTGCGGTGGCGCTCGAGAAAGGTGACTTTCAGCGATTTGGCCGATTAATGAATGAAAGTCACGATTCATTGCGCGACGATTACGAGGTCTCGTCCAAGGAGCTCGATTCGCTGGTCTCGGCGGCCAGAGAGGTAGACGGCGTGCTGGGAAGCCGTTTGACAGGCGCCGGCTTCGGTGGCTGCACCGTAACTTTGTTGAGAAAGGACGCGGTTGACAAGGCGGTTCAACATATGAAAGCGAAGTTAATGTCTTCTCCGTCTGTATGAAGTTAAGTTTTTTTCTCGTTTTATATAAATATTAAAATATTTTCCTTATAGATATTCCGGAACGCCCGCATTCTACATAGCGACTCCGTCTGGAGGTGCCCGAGAAATCAGCTAGTCAATATCTTTCTTAATTTCTTAAATATATATATATACATGTACATATTTTACTTATTAATTGTTAATATCGTATATTAACAATTGTACGATTCTTTAAAATACATAACTGATTTTTCAGAATGTATATACACATATTGTTTGCCTGTGTTTATCGAATACACATTTTTCGTAGCACGAACGGAATTTTGATATATTTACAGTAAAGTTGTTTACAATGCATGTAAAATTGTCATAATACTCGTGTTCATTTTAATATCCGATGATTAATATCCTTATTACTACAAATTTTTGAATCGCAAAATTAATTAAAAACGATAACCGTCGCTCATTGATTAAAAAATTATTAACGAATAGAGTATGCAAACTAGATTGTTAGAAGATACGTTAATTTGAATATATATTTACTGCAAAATGAATGCGTGGGCGGAGCGTGACTGCCAAGACCTTCGTGAAGGCCAAGATTAATGTCGAAGTTAAAATCATCCGCGTGCCCGTTGAAACGAATAATTACGAAAAAAGTTTAATTTCCTGTACTTTCGATCTATTTTTTATATATACAGAAATGCATACATTTTTTTCTACGACTTGTACTACCAACAACGCAGATCATTTTGCACGCCTATCTAAATTCGAATAAATTTGAATAGATAGAGTATCACTTACTAATAAGTTTGAAGTGTACATTTGTATCGGAATATATGTAGGCTTTCGCCTTTTGTAAGTACAAAAATATTACACTGTGTATATTGCGTACATTTACAGGATACATGCTAATTTCATAATAGCTTGTGCTCATAAATATTTTATGTACGTACATATATATACAAAGTATTTAATTGGCTAAATTTGAAAGTAGCATATTTGCCTCGCAGTAATAACCTGGCCTTTAACGAAAACACCACGGTATTTTCTTACCATTAATACTGATGCTCGCTAAGGAGGGGAAAAAAAAATATTGTTCGTATCTCTCTATCTGTATAACTAATATCGATTAAGAGTCTCGGTCGAAGCGTTCGTGTATTCTGAAAATAAAAAATACGAGATATTTAGAAAGTATTGAACACATAGAGAAGAGTCGCTGTATGGAAATCGCGATTTACCTTTAAGATGATCGTTGAGCTCGAGCTCGCTGGAGCTGCACGTGAGCCCTGAAGGTTTCACACCTTTAAAGATCTCGATAACGCTCGGTTTCAAGTTATGAAAGATTAATGGTTGGCCCCGTTTAGTAAAATCCTCTATCAAAGTCTTGATACCCTGAAGAAGGAGGAAAGTCGGTATGATACGTTTAATTTATGCAGCGAGAAAATTTCATTTTTCTTTTATTCCTATGAAATTTATTCACCCTTGCAGCGGTGAAATCAGCTGCCTGGATATGCGTAGAATCTATTACCACGGGCACGGCGGTACCCTCTCGTAAGCCCTGCTTGCTAATGACGGCTCGTACGTACTCGACGCTTGGAAACACCAGACTCCGATCCGGAGTTATGACAAGATATTCACAACCACTAATACTCTATAAATGAAAAAAAAAGACGATATGTATTAATTCGGCTCTTAAGACTTTCACGGATATTCTCTTTAAAAGAGGTTTATAGGGGTTTATATATATTAATATATATTTCCTAAATTATAACTCTGTTGCAAAAGATACACCTTCTGAGAATTCTTCTCAGCTATTTTTCAATTAGCATTTTCACTCTCGTTTATGCTGCTATACGGAGTTATAAACTTACCGTAGCTTTATGAACTCGTAACGTCGGTCTGGCCGAGGCATAAAGTAGGAACAAAAGATTTATACCGATGCCGATCACGATGCCCAGTTCGAGTCGTATGAAAAGACAACACAGGAACGTAGTTATGGCCGGTATGAGATCAATTTCTGAAAATAATGGTGCAGTAAAAAAAAAAAGAAAAACCTATATATAAAATTAAAATAACGGGTTTTATAATATGTATTCATTATATGTATTTATTTGGCCATAACTGTTTATAAATTTTAAATCGGCTCTTTCATTCCCGTTATATTATTTGATGTTAAACAAGGGAGGGCGTACTTTTGCTTCGCCACATTGGCTTCACCACATGAAGCTCCACCATAAAGACGACCGCGGCAATGATGACGGCCGCCAGGGTGGCCTTGGGTATATAGTACAGATAGGGTGTGAGAAACTGCAACGATATGAGCACTAATAGTCCAGTGTAAACTCCACCGAGCGTCGTCTTCACCCCGGACGAGTGGTTGACCGCGCCTCGGCTGAGGCCGCCGCTTACGGGCATTGATGATACAAACGAGGATATCACGTTGCACGCACCCAACGCCAACATTTCCTGAGTCGCGTCTATCGACTTACCCTCGCCTGTGGATGCAACATCGATTCAATTATTTTGGGGACAGAAAACACATTTTTTTAGACGTCAATAATTTGCCGCCTTAAATAAAAAATTATTCGAAACAAGAAAGTATATAGGAATATACTTTAATGTGCTCATCCTTAAATATAAAATAGAGATAATAATCTTGATCTTATACATATATTGTTAATTTTATTTTATTGAATATCGTGATTTATATTTATTGCTCGTAATTAGTCCAAAAATTCTAAATTAATTTAATATCGAATTTAACACAGCATCTATATGATTAATTTCGTCCAAATAACAGATATGTTTTTGAGACCAATGTTTTAATTGTGTTTTATATATTTATTTTTGTAGATTTTTAGTTTATTATAGTTTAATAAAATGATTTAATTTGGGAAGAATATTATTGTCAATCAACTGTAAGCACTTACAGAAAACTTTGGCGATTGAGATGGTTTCTAGCAGGCTTAGCATGGGAACGACTAGACAGCCAGTGCCCAGAGCGGAAATCATGTCGATGAAAGTGTAGGTCTCATTCCCGACCTGAGCTTCGAAAGGTGGCAAACGGAATTCCGGTAGTCCTTGCTTCACGTGGCCCGTTAAAATGACGGGTGATTCTCCCAAGTGCTTCTCGAGGAGAAAGCACATCACCGCGCAGACGATCACAATGATAATGTTTCTGGCAGTGGAGATCAGCCAGAACGACTTTGTGATAACTTGTTGAAGCCGCGATGGTACTTTAGTATTTTTCGGCGCCACCGGCAAATCCTTTACCTTCTATATAAACAAAAAATTCTACTTACATTCTTCAATCTCTCTTATTATACTTTTATTAAGAAATAAAAATATTCCGGAACAACTTTTTTCACCAGAATTTTCGAAATAATAAATATTGTCACGTCTTATATTTTGGCATATGCATGTAACTTCGATCTAATAACAAAACAATAAAAATAATTTAATTTATAGTTGATTGATTACGGAATTTATCCTAAACATTTGGTAAGGAAATGTAATTTTGTGAAAATGAAATAAATAATTTCATTTATTTCATATTTGTATTTGTATACATTTTTTGAAAAACTACGCAGTTTGCGGATTGTTTGCGCGATATCTCGAAATATTATTAAATACTTTTATGAGTGTAAATGGACAGTTATTTTAGATAACAATGTTTCAAGGCAAAAAGATAACCCGCAATTAGCTTTTTTGAAGAAAATACTTAAAAGTATATACATACATTTCAAAGCAAGTTTTACAAAAACTGTAATTAAAAATGTGTAATACTTTTAAATATACATATATATATATAATTTTGTTGAGTTTAGTTGTCGATATTTATACATCGACATTTATAAATAGAAAATTATTATAAATTATTAAAAATTAATAAAAGTTTACAGATTCTCTACCTGTTTCTAAAATCAAAATTAGAAATCGAACTTTAAACTTCACTTAATTTCAAGTTGATTTCAAATCTGTAGACCGTAATGAATAATCGAGGGAGATGTGTTCGACCATGGAGTTGGCTGTTTAAGTACCGGAACAACAGGTAAACTAAACTATACTGAAATGCAGTAGTGTTGCATTTACTCGGAGAAGTAGAAGAACGATTATGCAGACAATTCCCAAAGCGGCGTCCCAAAGTCTCGTCTCGCCGATATGCTCGAAGATACTTTGCCAGACCTGCATGAACTTGGTACCGGAAACTTTGAGCCCAAGAATATCTTTTACTTGACTGGTGGCGATGATAATCGACGCCGCCGACGTGAAACCAACCGATACTGGTCCCGATATAAAATCCAGTAAGAATCCTAATATTGTCGAAAGAATAGAAAATAATTTAACGAAACATACATTAAAAATTTATTATAAATGACAATATATATAAAATTAAAATATATATAATATGTATATAAAATAAAATCTTAAATGAAAAACGCCCTTTAGAAAAATTAAATAAGAATGTATGAAAACTGCTAATTTGGAAATAATTATAAATACGATAATTTATAAATTAGATTAATTTCACACATTTGTTATGATCTTTATAATATATTACCTAATTGTAAAATGCCCATTAATAAGGAGACGCAGCCTGAAATGAAACACAGCAACACTGCGAAATCGGGTCCTAGATGGGCCTTTTGTAAAGTTTCTCTCGTTAAAATCGCGGCGATTGCGGTTGGCCCGACAGGCACGTCTTTCCAAGAGCCGAAAATTGTGTACACGAAACAGGCCATGAAAGATGAATAGAGTCCATACTATTCAAACAAAATATCGTTTTATATTAGTAATATTAATAATATTCCACAAAAATCGCTTTAAAAATTTTGCACAAATCATATTTTTTCATAAAACTGTAAAACTTGTTTTGAAATATTTTTCTAAAATAAAAAAAGAAAGAAATATATTTGAGAAAAAATATTAAATAATCCATCCAGTATATGACCAGTTCAATATATGGACCAGTTTCTTGTATATATAAATAAACAACAGATTTGGTTAATGTTTGTCTAGTTTCAGAAATCTGAAAATGGCGTTGTCCTTCTGAAAAAGTAGATAAAAAAAAAGAGATCGACATAATAACTAATTTTCTTTGCTAAGCGCCGCCGATTTTAAATATGCTTATTCATGAGCATTGCATGGCACTCAAGGTTAATGATGCATCTAAATTGATGAATATTTTGATGCAGCAGTTTTTGTTAAGAAACACATTTCTCACACTTCAGTTTTACACCAGTAATTAATTTCGATTAATAATATTTTATTATAGTTAATAATATATTTTTTTATCAAGATATTATTTTTGAATGACGCCAGTCAGTTTTTTTCTATTAAACGTTTCTTTTTATTTTTAATTAACAATTTCAGTTTTACTATAGATGTATAGTATATGTAGGAATGATATATAATATCTTATGGTTTGAAATTTCTTTCGAAGGCAAAGATTTCTACACACATACACATACGTAAAATTTAAGTACAATAAACGATTACATTGTACTTTATTGAACGTTTATTTTTAATATTGAAACAAAATAATTAAAAAATTAAATTTTTTAATGATATTTTAACTAATTGTAAGTCTTAGGTCTAATTTAATTTTCTGACATTATCACTTTTGTAGGAATAACAACCACATTGTAAAATATTTTTTAAATATTTCTTTGATTTAAAATTCTTTTGATAGGTACTTACCTGTAACGGTAATCCCGCGACGTTAGCGTATGCTATGGCTTGCGGTATGACGGTGAGGCCTACGGTGATACCAGCTACTAGATCGCTCACCACGTATTCCTTCCGGTAATTCGGCAGCCACGTTAAGATCGGTATTCTCTTGAATAGCAGCTTCTTCCTGCAAGACCTTCTAACCCGTCGATAGAACCATCTTCTTCCGGATGTACATAGACCACTCGTGCCAGAATCTTGTGGAACTGCAAATGGAAAAGTCAAGTTTGTTAATGTAATAATCAGAGTTGGATATCAACTAGTTAACAAGTTAAAAGTTAAATAAAAAATGAAATTGTAAGATTCACGCAAAAATTATTATTATTTAGCATCCGCTTCACAACCGTATTTGACGTTTTTTCTCATTGAACTTTTCACAATCTCGACTTTTATATTAAAAAGTTAAAAATTTAATGACTTTTAACTTAACTTAATTTTAAATGAGGTAACTTTTAACTTTAGTTATTTAAACTTGAATTTTTAAACTTGAATTTATTAACTTTTTTCTGAATTAAACATTTTTTTAAAAGTAGTTAGAATCATCAAAGTAGCTAATCATAACATCGATACTTTTAATTAACATTGTCGCGAGATACGTAGACGCGAGACGCAATCGATGTTGCGAATTGATCTGTCTGCGCCACGAGACTTTTTTATAATGCATCAGATGATTTAAAAAATACTACTATGTAAATTGTAAAATAAAAAAAAATACATGCTAAAAAATATTTCTTTATTATTTTACATAAACTTAATTTACAAATAAAATATTAAATTAATTTAATGATGTTATAATTGTTTTATTTAGAGTAAAGTAATTTTAAAAACAATTACGACATTCTAATTTAATCTTAATAATGCTTTTCAAAATTAATTTTTGTTTTATAACTTCAATTAATTTAATCTTAACATAACTTTAAATGAGTAAGTTTTTCGTTCATGTAACTAAATTAACTTTATATGTCATTAACTTCAGCTTAATTTAATTTAAAAAAAATAACTTATCCAATTCTGATAATAATAAATAAATATTCACATAAAATCAAACAAGTTTGGCCATTTATACGAGTATTTGGAGAAGTTTGTTGTATTAAAAATTGAACACAGTTTATACGTTTCACTCAAAATTATAATATGTAATAAATAATAGTTACACAAATATCATCTTTATAGCTCAAATATTTATGAGCTGACAAAACTTATTGAGATCTCGTGACGTTTGAAAAATGCGATACGGATGAGATATTCGCGCACGAAGAGTCAACATTTCAAAGTCACTCACGAGGTGACAAATTAAGAAGCGTCATATTTCACACGAAAAGAAGCAATTCCATTACAAAACGTAATAATACTTTGCATCATGTTATATACTATCATTACATACGCATTAGCGATAATTTATTTTTTTGCGCTCATCAGTGTCGCTTTGTAAAATTATTCGTGTTCTTAATTTTAGCAGAAGAAAAGGAAAAATACTCAAATGTATAAACATGACAAGACAAATTATTTTTTGCGCATGATACAAGGTGCCCTTTGATTAAGTGTATATACTAAGTTATTTTTCAAAATAATGGAATTAAAAATTTTTTTCGACTAAAAGTTATTTTGTTTAAGAATCTATAATAATTCATATATAATTTATATTAAAAAGTATATTACAGTAAATTTATATATAAACGAAAATTTTAAATTATTTTTCTTTTAAAATGTTTTCATTCTATAAAGTACCTTACAAAACTGTAAAAAAACAGATATATCCATTAAAAAGAATAAAATTATCATTTAAAAATGTTTAAGAAAATTATTTAATTAACTTCCGTTTAAGTCATTTAAGTTTATGTAGATCTTATAAATGCAATATCTTTTACATTTCAAATATTTTTCTCAATAGAGCTATAAGTAGAATCCGTAATTAGACACAGCAGCACGAACTGTAACTGAATAAAGTAGACATAATTGATACGATTTTATAATCAGGATACGAAACGAACTGTATATTTAAATTGCGTCGCATCTTCGAGGATTATGACGCATGAACTTCAAGGATATTAAGAGTTTATGACGCCTGCTTCTATATTATTATCTGAACGAGACGCAAATTTCCGCGAATCTCACATTTCCATTTCCAACACGAGAAAGAGTAACATCTTATGATCAATCATCCGTCGTGCGATTCTACTTCGCGACATAAGCGGCACATTTAATTTTCAATTAACAAAAAGTATCGCGCAAATTGTAAATCTAATTGAGCGGGACAGGGTAAATCTACAAAGAGCGTCCCCGCAGCAGTGCATTATGTCATTACAATAATTAATTAACGCTTAGCCTTTTAATCAAAATTAAAATTGATCGAACGACGGATCGTGCAACTCAATTGCAGCTCGTTGTATATTCGATGAGGCCGCATCTCATTAGCTACACATGGACTCTGCTTATTATCATTAACTGAAGCGTAGCAATCAAATCAAATTTTGTAGCCGTATTTTATTTTCGCGTATTTAAATTTAATTTAAAATTTATTATTAAATACTACTAAAGTCTATTATTTTTATTATTATTATTATTATTATCTACTTCGTTACTGTGAGACTGTTAGAAAATGCACGAGCGTCGTTTTGCATTCGCACTTTCAACTGTCTGCAAATAATATCAGTGTATTATTTTTCTGCAACTTGAATATCATTTTGAACGATCGCATGGGCGAGGTATTTGCTAGGTGAATCGACGGACATTGATAGCGATCTATACGAGAGAGAGAGGAGAACAGAGAGATAATGGCTTATTTAGAGCTGCGATACGCTTGCAGCCGAGATGTCGTAGACGCAAAAAGGCTTTTTGTGCGTCGATCGAAATAAGCTTTGATTAAGACAAAAAAAAAAGAAGTTGATGTAACAGCGTCGATTGTTGCATTTGCAGAGACCTATACCGTTTCTGCAATGCGAAACGTTACTCCTTGCAAAACAGTTATTGTGTTTCGGAATATCGTTATTTGTCTTTTTGCGCATTAATCATTGCCGACACCGAAACTACAAGCGACAGCAAATAAAGTGACGTGCAAACGGTGTACTTGAATAGATCCTTAAACAATGCTAAATTTCTTTATGTATCCAGTAGTTTCGTTATTATAAATTAACTAGGTTTGAGTGTTTCACAAACTGCAACTATTGTCGCAACTGCATTCGGCTTCTGTGCAGCAAGAAGAATTTGTAATAGTAGTTCACGCCATATATTTCTGTCATTTCCATAAAAATAGAAATGAGACGTTGTGTTTATTTTGTGAGAAAAAGAAATGATGAACGGGAGAATCGCCGGACATTAAATGCGTGCATAAATGCACAAGCGCGATGCGAACGAATTAAGGCAACGTGCCTTGAAACAATTTTTCGCCGAGATTGCGAGTACTATAAAACGCTATAAAGAAAAAAAGAACGACTGTTCAACCGTGAAAGTGAAGGTCGGTGTACGGTGCAGGGACATATTTTTGCGAATTTTTGTTCGATGTTGCCGCGCCGTCCTGCATCTCCGCGGCGCGCGCGCGACGCGGTTAATATCGCGTGGTGTGTTGAATCACAGGCCAATTATTTTCTCACCCACTTTTGCACCGCACGACACCGACGATATTTTTCGTGCGAGTCATCGATGGGTTCGCATACGCGCGATTTGCTGCCGCGAAAAAACCGTTTCCGTTTAGTGTCTTTTCTGAAAATACAGAGAGATGGGTCATCTTTTTTTTTTCAATTCAACATCTCAACGTGGAATTTTATTTTTAATGTTCCTCTAAGGTGCAATATTTTTTTCAGAATCAAAAAGATATTTTAAAGTCAATTTTTTTTTCTACGCGCAACTACCCTAATTAAAGAATCCCTAATTAAGGAAGCAATAATATATACGAAGCGACAGCGACTCACCCTCGAGATTGACAATCTTCGCGTCTTTGGTGATGGCGTGAGCGCTGCTGGGATTGCTGTTCAGCGCATTCGGCTCATTGTTGTTGCTGCGAAGAACGTCGTCGAGCGCGTTGCTGCTGAAACCGGTCAGCGTGACCTCCCTGCGGTTCTCCATGTCGTGCTCCTCGTTGACGTTGTACTTGGACATGGCGCGGTCTCTCGGGGATCGACGAGAGGAGCAGACGAAGTGCGGACAATTCGGACGGAACGCGTGAACGAATATATAAACGCGCGGACCGATATGTAAGAGCCTTCTCCTCAGGTGGACTCCATCCTGTCGGGTGCTCGTTCGCACAGCGACCCTGAAGTAGGAAAAAATGAACGGATTGATTTATATTCTGCGTAACGATCCCGTTAATTTTTCACCTGTCGCCTTTATGCTTAGATCTCTCGCGCTCGCTGATAATCCTTGCGATTATCTATTCATGTATCTTTAATCTTACGTACATCAGGTGCCCTCTCACTTAAACCGTTTCCTGCTAGAATGATTTATCTAACAATAAACGGCAGGATTTCCTTGCTACTGCGAAGCTTTTAGGCGAAGAAGTGAAGCCAAGTATTTCGCACGATGCATTCACGATTCCTTTTAATTCTATACATTCACTATAATATCACGTAATTAAATTATTTCAAATTTTTTTAAATTATTTAAATTTTATTAAATTTAATTATTAAATGAAGGTAATTAATTAAAACTAATTTTTTAAACAAATATTTATACGTATAGTCATGTTGTTTTGTTTTATTATATTAATAAATATTTCTTAATTTAGGATATAATATACAATTTTAATGATAAATAAAGAGAGCTTGCGAGAGATTGCTTCAGTCAATGTAACGGAGTGATTAGAAAATCGTGAATTGGGAAATGCAGCGGATTATTTATTATTGAGACTCTTAGTAATTGCAAAGAGCGAAGAATAGCGATCTGAAAATTTTATACACAACGCGTTTTTCCCTCTCAATCAGGTGAATGGATCATTCATGTTGTTTTTGCAATTGTTTAAAACGTAGATTTCTCAAATAACCGGCAAAAAAGTGACGATGACAAATGGCGAATGCGGCGAATTGACGAAATTTCGCAAACAGCTTTGCGAAAACTCGCAAAGTAATGGGGTAATTTGCTCTAACGGCGAATACGTGCGCCGCGAGTTGAGAAACAATTGTCGTTAAAAAGAACATTGTTGCAAATAAGATAATCATTGCGGAGCATACTTACAGAAATCTATTAAATAACTTTATATAACTTTAGATTAATGCGTAGATATATAATTCAATAAAGTACGTGCGCCAGAGCTTGCAACGAAAACAAAGGAAATGTGAAGGAATGAAACGTTACGAAAAATTAACAACGCTTTAAAAGCATACCGCTTTCATCCAATGACCGTTTCCCAGCAGTTATCGACCACTAGATAATCGGCGTGTACTTTGAAAACGTTGCAAATAGTCTGTAATTAAGCAACGTGTATTCGTGTTTTCGGTGTTTCGTATCGACGACGTAATTACGACGATTAAAAGCTTATCGTCACGCTCAGGTCATTCCAAACAAACTGTAAAAACACGTGTACACGCGGCTATGCGTGACACGCGATTTATCGTTTATATTAAGGAAAAGCCTCAATGAATGTCGCGGACTATCGAGATAAACGGTAATCGTGATAAATCCTCATCGTCGCCGAATACAATTTTACGACAAAATTCCGCTTGCAGGCGTAATCTTGCCTCCACCTGACAGAATACCCTGATAAAGTAACATCTGATAGAATTCTAACATTTTATCGTAGATAATTATTACAGTCAATAATGTCGACTTGTAAATGCACAGATAATTATACAGTCGATTTACTCAACAAAAGTTGTCGCGGAATAAATCGAAGCTATTTCGCGTCTCGCTGCTCGTTCGAGCGTCGGGCTCATTATGAGAGGCAGAAGCGCGGCGACAACCGGAAACTATGTAGTGTTTGATGATACAATCCATTGTCAAAAGCACGCGCGCGCGCGCGCGTTGAAAAATTATTCGAATTACGCGTGTATAATATAATATCATCCGGTGCAGTTTCGCGTACGGATAGCAATAACGTAATGTTTCTCGGAATAATCCGGGAGATGCAATATCGTGTGGAATATCACCTGTCCGTCCGCATGCGGAAACACTCGCATGCGGAGTGGAATCTCGGAGACTTGTGGCGAGACGTTTTACGTAACCAATTTCGTACTAAAAAATACTCCGATTAGCCATGCCTTCGTCGAGCCGGATAAACGCCGGTCTCATTATTGCCTATCTATCGTATTAGATAATGCGATATTATGTAAATATCAAGCGAGATCGGTAGAGATATGTCGTTTGTTAAAAAAAGATAAGTACAATTGCAGCTAATTTGTTTGCGGAGATTTCAACAACGGTGACACGTGAAACAATGTAAAGATACGGTGATAAATGAAATAATTCAAAAAAGGGACAAACTTTGCATTTCCGATGGAATGGACTTCTCGACAAGATTTTAATTGACATCGGAATTATCACAATGGCAATTCTCATGTGTTATACGTAACAATTTTTTTCTCAGCGAACGTGAATTAATAATAGAATGTGTATCAACATATGTAAATTTTATTTATGTGTACACTTTGCACGGTCATTATAAATAACGATGACATGTCTGCGGTTGGGTTACATTCAAATTCGATTACATTTACATTTAATTGCTTCTACTGTTGATTTCAGCTTCCGACTCAATTCGAATTTTTCCTTGAATTTTCTTTGTTTTTTGCTTTTCTTTTTTTCGCTTATATAATCTAATATAATATTAAATAAATAAATTTGATAGAAAAATATTATTACATTCTCAAACGGTACAGTCAGACATTTTATGGTTTTCTTGGAATTGTAAAAATGAAATTATGTTAACATTCGATATTGCTCATTTGGCTGATTGATTTCATACTCTCAAACATTACAAATTTTATTGTAATTATCAAGTTTTTATAAAACTTTTCGCCGACTAATCTGATAGTTTATTACAAAGAGTTTATTACAGATCTTAAAATTATAAAATGTAATATCTCCCAAATATCTTTTATATAAAAAAAGATACAAATGTTGTTCAAATAATTCAACAGTTTCCGGATATTATAATAATAAATCTTATTATCATATTATTAATAGAAAGGCATAATAGGCAATAATAGGATCAAAGTATTTTAAATTAATCTGTCAAATTAATTTTAGGTACTGTTAACTTGGCTTAGTTGGCTATACTTTATTGTATTATTAATAGAATTATGGACACGGTTATTAATGCCAACATGAAAGCCTAATGCTAATGACGATGAAATAATGATCATCATTGACCAATAACCTCGTTACGATCAAATTTGTCGCGTATGAACGTACATGATACATGTACGTAAATGAAAAATTAATAGTAATATACATATCTGTTCGTTGTCTAACATATTCTCTTAACGCTTAATCATCCAGATTTTAATATCCTGCGATTTGTAAATCAGTTATGAAAGTATTTGATCAAAACATAAAATCAGTTATGAAAGTATTTGATCAAAACATAACAGTGTAAAGGATATCTTTTTACTCGCTGTTGAGCGTTTTCCGTCTAGAATGGTACCGGCCGGTAGACTTAGATTCCAAAGTCAAACACTTATTGTATATAATAATGATCTGTTTTCTTCGATTACTTGTATCTCATTTTACTTTATAATGATTTATAAAGTCTTAAACAGCACTTACACGTAACAAACTGAACAAGATTAGTTGAACATTATAGTAATCAGTATTAGAGCTGAGTTATGAAAATTAATAGCGCAGAAGATCGATATGTGTACTATTTAAAAATTTACTTTTCTTAAATTTGATTGAAGCGTACAAATTAAACAATCAAAACGTGATACTTATTGTAAGTCTCGTGTAGTAATAAATTATAATTAATCACGCGTCTAAACAAATTTTGCACTATTATTTTGTTGATAATATATGTAATATACCTGCATCAATCATTTAATATTAAATATTAGCATTATATAGTTTTTAAATAGCTATAGAATTACATTATATAAGTGAAAAATTACGGTCTTAATTTATTTAATCTTTATATGCTTCTCTCGGATAATCTTTTATCCTCTTACGATTTTCAAACCGCAGTGTTACGTGCATATGAAATATAAAATATGTGTTTGAAATCTAAAAAAGAGATACATGATGTAAGTTACATGATGTAATAATATTTTCATCGTAATTTCTAAATTGCAATTGTGTATAATCTAAATTGCAATCACAATGAATAATTTGTCTAAAAATTGAATCGCTTTCTATTTTTTTTCTTTTCTTATACCTCGGGTACAACTTCGTCGGGTTGAGAAAGCTTCTAACAAATTTTTTAACGCGAAAGATGCATCACAGAAAAGAATGGAAGTTTTTATTACACTGGGCCGCTCTTACTTCTCGCGAGGAATTAATTCCGATTCATTGCTCGAGCGTTCTGCACGTGACGAAAGAATGTCGCGGCGAATAGCCGTCCGTGTTTTTAAATGGATCGTCGATGAATCACTGCCTCGCATTAGTCGAGGAAATGAGTGGTTCACCCGAGAATCCTTGAGCGCCTTTGTGGCAGGCAGACGAGCGTAATTTCGAGTTTAAGCCCGAGAAGAATAGCCGAGCTATTTACTGACGCTATCCAAAACGCTAAATTACCATCGTTAATGTCTAACTAACTATAAAACAAGCGACACTTCCTCATTCGCGCTAATGCGATTCCCCGATACGATTAACTGCAATTTGAGATATTATTTATTGGAAGCTTCATGAGAAGAGATTATTCGCGCATAACACATGTTGATTTCCGACCGCAGAGATCGCAAATTGATTTTTCCAGAACTGATAACCAATTATTTCCTATGAATAAAATAACATTCATATAGACAACTTAGAAGATAAAGAATATAATTAATATATAACATAAAGATATGTGTATGTATGCACTTTTTTAGCGGAACTGTTGAGATATTAATAATTCTTAAGTATAAGCGAACGAGAAAGACGATTTTTCCGTAACTAAACTCAGGGAGTCAAATAGAATTATTATTTTAATTTGTAGAGTCTACAAAGATATATAAACGGTAGAAATTGAAAAATTTCTGTAAATAACGTTGATCTTCACATTTTTGCTAAGAAAAAATTGATTCTACATTCATCTCATATTCCACCGTTAAAAAGAAGGAAAAGTTAAACACTCTATGTATATAGTGCATCGGAAAAAATTCAAGACGACTTTTAGATGTTCTTTTC